GACATGCCGCTGTTGATCGTTGTTGACACAAATTTTAATATAATACCTGAATTTATTACAATAACTTTTGGACGGAATATATTCATTCAGGCCGCCGATCGGCGATTCGCGGTTTAAAACGCCACTCAGGGGTCAACGGAGAAAAAAAAAAGAAATAAATATGATCTGAGTGCATACATTTTTTATTCTGAAGCAGAGGTTCCCAGCATGAATGGACGGGCCGCGGAGTCAGTTCGGTCGCCGATATAATTAGACATTTCTCACGGGTACATGGTATGTTGACCCAGAGTCAATTTCGCTCTACGTACGTCACGATTTGGGATGTTACCTCCTCGAGTTGTAGCTTTCACTTTGTTTTGTACTCTCTCTTCTGCCAGGTTACTTTATTCTGGTCCAGAAGATCTTTATGCCTTCCCAAAGCATCGTGTATCATTTCTGAATAATCTCCCAGTTCAGAATGAAACAGCTCAACGCTGGCTTAACGAGGGACTACGGGGCGGTGAAAGCGAATTTTTAGATGACCGGCAGGATGAACCTTCCTGGTTTTCCAATACAGTTTACAAGGAGATAGGTAGCTCTGAGCTGGAAATGTCAAATGACGCTTCGCAAATCTGTATGTCCCCTCGTGTTCAATTATACTTGTTTTATTCACGGTCGGTTTCGGATCTAGCACAGTCTCCGATACCAGATAATTCGGGTTTTATATTAAATCATATGAAAATGGGACCAGATAACGACTTTATTTGCCTGATCCCTCCAGCCCGTGACACTCCCATCCAAGTACGGGAGAATATCGACAAAGATGCAGCTTTGCGCAATGGCTGGTCACTCCTGGAACCTTTATCCGGAAAATGTCTTTATGTGCGATATTTTCCTTCCTATGGTTATCAAATATCGCTCAAATGTTCCTTTAGCACCGGCAAACGTGGTTCACTTATTCATACTGCCACAATCAAGAAATTAGACAGTTCAAGGAACTTGCTCACACGCAACCTCGCCCACCAGGTATTATCTTCCCATTTGGCAGTGTATGATTCACTCACACGTGTACAGGAGCTTACGAACCCGCTGAAGACCCAGAAGTATGCGTTATATTATTTGATTAATGCTTTCTAAGTGATCGTCTAGTGGGAAGCGTTTACTTTGGGACGCGCCCCCTCTGCACAAGATTCAGGAGCTGACGTAGCCGTCACGGATCGGCACGCACTTAAACACATTGAAGTTGCTCATGGTCCGGGTTCTCGTTATCTGGTTCAACGATGGGGCGATGGCACATTCTGTGATAAGACCGGAAAACCTCGTGAAGTCGAAGTTCAGGTAATTTTTTTCAATTTTTTTTTCCGCAACGCACTCAAATTATTAGTACAGTTCCATTGCTCGATGACGATGGCGGATTCTATCCTTCTCGTACGAGAAGCAAAAACATGTTCTTACGTGCTGATCGTACAAACTCCACGTTTATGCGGAGAACCTGGGTTCAACTCGCGAATGGAATTGCCAGAACAGACCTTTATCCGCTGTCGGCAAATTATTCACCCTTCGCTGAACTCTGCTCCTCAAACTACCCAGCTCGAACAACGCAAACCTGACGGCAATCGAATACCACAAGATTCCGACCTACCTTCGTATCTGAACCGCGAAACCCGTTTTCCCATACCATCCCCCGCAACAAAGAGTTCTCTGGGTCCCAGCGCAGGTCAAAGCGAAGACCCGTTGGATGGGATATTGAAACGCACGCTAGAGGCGTTGATGAACAGTCCGGAGCTTCAATCCTTGTCGGGCGAAAACCCTCAGGTCGTGTTTGGGCGCGGCCAAAATGGCGAGATTGTGATCGAGATTTTGGAAGACATTCCGTTTGATGACCTCGGAGAGGCTGATTTACAGGAAAGGAATATGAACAACTACGCTCATATAGCAGAAATCCTTCGAAAGGCCGGTCACCAGTTGGTGGACCCGAAGGACGAGAATGAACAAGAGGACGACGAGGTCAGGGACGGTCAAGGGGAAGATTTAGAAAATTCTCGTGAAAGGAAAGACGAGCTCTGAGGTAGGCAGGCATCTTACTGTTGGTTTAAGCAGCTTGTTAATTTCGTTTCTGCACTAGGCTCAAGATCTGATCGTCTTGACACTGTCTCTACTTAGAGTGTTCGTTGACTATAGCAGAGTGCTTACATTGGTTGACATCCAAATTATCATTACTCTCCTTGCGTCTTGCCTAGCTCTAATCTGCATTTCATGACTAGCTGGCAAAACATTCCCTGAGCCTCATGTCTTGATGCAACATGCCAGAGACTCATTAGTGATCCACAGTAAGTAATGGCATTTCCAACACTGCTAGGTATGTTTTATTTGAAGTCGCCTCGGACCTTATGTGCAGTTTAATGTATGTGAAGCCGATCCAATCTTCCAATCTCTGAACTCTATCTTCCCGGTCACAAGTTTTGTTCTGCTGACTACACAACGTCATCAGGGACAGCTGAGCGTTTGTCGATAGTCTCATCCGGACAGATCTACTAGGACCATCGCCGGACTTCCCAGGGTCAGTTGCAAGATGCTGCCCTGGCATCTTAGGGATATTTCGGAATATAGAGAGTGCTAAATGATACAGCGAATAAGAATTTCAACGTAGCTTCCACGGATCTCTGGCATACCATCGCATTATTTCCCAACCCCAAAATTTTGGCGAAAACTCACGTCGAATCGCACCAATCAAATCGCTTGGGTCGTCTACACCAGCTTCGTCGTCCTCTGCTTTTCTGCTGTTACCGACCTGAATCTTCGCGGCAAACAGGCGTGGTATCGAAGCTTCCTTCTATTTGATCGATAATCGAGGCGCTTATCGCCGCTGTTTCCAAAAGTCGGATCGCGCGTTCTCTGTAAAACCTTGAATAACTCCTCCAAGTTGAGTTTGCGCCCTCTGTAGAGACTCAGAAATTGAGATTTAATTCTAGTTTCACCAGGTGCATTCTTGTGCAATTTCCCGTCGATTATCTGCTACTCATGCTCTTAGATCCTTCGAAATCCAGCCGCTTTTATTTATTGGGTCTAATTATTGGCAGGTGGCGGCCACTTTTGAGTTCATTCAATCCATCAACGTTCAAGAGCATGTGCTTTTTTGACGGTTGGTGCGCACAATTTCCAATATCTCCCCCGTCGTGACCTCTTCATCATTATTTTCCGCTGAAACGTTGGTGATTATTTGATGGTTGTGCCATATGCATCGCGAGCATCAGCATGTGTTTTTCGTGATGCTTTCCATTTCCGCCTGGATAATGTTTATCGTTATTGTTCAACCCTTCAAGCACGAGTCCCCATCGCCCAACTGAGGGAACTTAAAGGTAACTGTCGAAATCTGATGAATCTTCGTAACCACCTGATCATCCCTCCATTTTTCATGCTGGAGGCGCCCACATACATAGATCAGGCTGCATTCCTCCAGAACACGGTCTTGGTTCGCGTGATCCTCCACTTCTCACCTCTAGGTCAGCAGTGACAAACCTTTCATACGTCTACTGATCAAACCGAAAGGGCAGGAACACCGAGGATAGCTTATCGCAAAACTCTTGCCGCAACTCTCGCCGCCGGCAGAGCCTTGTCGTGAGCCACAGGGGAAAATAAATAAATACTCCCGAACGTTGCAGATGGGTGCAACGAGTGCTCAAAATAGTCTTCCTGTCGACGGCAAAACCACGTTCTGCACCCGTCGGTGCTCATACTCGGGGAAATATATTTGCGTATTATTTCTTGATTATATTTAATCGTCACAAGGGCCCTGGAAGGTCGGATTCCGACCGTGCCATGGCATGGCACTCGTGAATATCATTGTATTTTTTCCTCAATCTCAGGACCTCGTGGATGCGCAGTACGAATGACGGTCACCCGATCGTTGACTAGAACAAATATTACCCAGCACCAGGATAGATAACGAGGGCGCCCACTCACCCAACCCTCCCTGTCGTAGACCCTTAGACGGGCCAACCCCGAGTTTCTATACACGGTGACATTACCACACCCTCGGCGTCCCCGTCCCGGTTCACCTTCTCGACCTCGTCCCGTAAAGTTCAAGGGTACTCTCCCGACAACAGATTCAGAACAAATTTATTATAATTCAGGGGGGATTTTGAAGCGTCTGCAACGCACACCCCGCTCTTCGAATCCATATCTTCCCACACAATGTAATCCATAATCGTCGTATTATTGCCCTTGCGTTCTATCAAGCAAAAGGTACGGCATGCTTTTGTGGGCGTAAAGCAACGAAGTAGAGAAATGAAATGAAATGACATTTAATCAAGAGACGAGAATGCATCAGAATGAAAACAACGAACAGATAAAAAAGATAGCGAATGGACTAGGCTAGGTTGACGAGAATAAGATAAGTGATAGGTGTAGTGTCGTATCATGTCGCCGCGGGGGACACCATAAAAAGGAGCGAGAGGATGAAATAAATGGGAATGAACGTTGTGATTGATGTTTTTAGTGTCCGCCGTATGTATCGAACCGTGCGTATGCGTGCTAGGTGTTGTGTTGTATATACATGCGAGGGAAGATGAAGTGCATATGAATCGAGATGGATGGGAAGATCTTTGAAGGTGGTTTGGTGGGCCATGATTGGGGGTGGTCGAAGTGAATGAGTGATCGAGGCTAATCAGATGGAATATTACACGGTAAGCGAATCAGAATAAAATGGAATGATAGTGGCTCACGCCACGGTTCTGGAGCGTGAAATCGATGCAAGAGTGCCGCTAGAACCATAACATGAGGATTGTGAGGCTGCGGATATGGTACATAACAAGCGAAGCGAAGGTGGATGATGATCAATGTGAAGGCAGAGGATGATCAGGGTGATGGCGCACGATGATTGTGAGAAAGGGTAATAACACATGCATGGCATCAGGACGGCATGGATCCAAGGTAAACACAGCTGCTGCACAACAGCTCCATGCGTACGCACAGCCAGACCAGCATGACACACTCGAAGGTAATGCCAGCCGCCTCCCAACTCAGAAAAACCTATTCTTGAAACTCTTCTCCTCGTTCTGGATCTTCACATGGACATGCTTGGGCGCACCGGTCTCTGTGCACGTCTCAATGCTCCGCACCCACTCGTCCCCATCCGCATCATCCTCCGCAGCATCCTCATCCTCATTACCGTCCTGCTCTTCCGTGTCAGATTCGCACTCCCCATCTTCGCAACCACATTGTTCCCCTTCTGCTAGCGCAATGATCCCACCTGTGTCCCGTCGACCCCACAGTAGCTCACCCATGGTCGTACGCAGCTTAGGGTCGACACACAGCATCCGCCGTAGCGCAGGCCGCGTTTCGCGCGGTAGCAGGCGGAATATCGAGTTTGGCGACGTTGTTGATGATGCACGAGGTCGTTTTCCAGGCGAAGTTAGCGTGCGCTCTGGTAATGATGGTTGAGCAGTAGGTGCAGGTGAAGAAGCAGCAGTAGCTTCCTCTGGTATTGACGGCGTTGGTATACCGTTGGCTTGGACACCATTGACCTTCGTCCCCAGGGCCTTGTGCGTCAGAGACTCCCGCGCGAAATCCCGCTCCTTAGGGGCTTTGCCCTGCCCATTGATGGTGCCCCTGACCTCATCTCGGTTGTTAGCCCTCAGCGCAGGCAAACTCTCCGTCGAAACTCCAGGGCGCGCAAACACCAACACGCTCTGATCCGTTTCCCCGCCCTCAGTCAGGTGTGCACCCTGCGAGCTCGACATTGCAGGCAGCGTGGCCGTCCTTGCACCAGGACTAGGTAATCCCAGCTCAATCGCACGCCGGCGCGGCGAGCTTTCGCTCCCTGTATCGCTGCCAGTCGGTGACGATAACGTGAGGGTGCTCGCTGTAGCGGTACACACCGACGTATTCGACAACACCGACTTGTTGTCGTCGAGAGGCTTGGTCCCGTCGGCATGGATACTTGGAACATCCAGGGACGTGCTCCGCGGGTCAGGACTCGGTGGGGCACTTATGGTGGGGCTTGGCGGGCGAGGATTTGAGGACACGGGTTTTGCGCTATTTGGACGCCTGTGTTTACGTTTGGATTTAGGGCGCGGCAGCGGGCAAGAAGCTTCAGCCTCGATAAATGCTTTAAATGAGTTGTCGCGCTCGCGGTCAGGGACTGCCCATGGGAAGCGGCGGAGGACCATGCAGACCTGTCGAAACTTTGTTAGCTTCTGCGATAGATGTGGCGCAGATGGATAAAGCGGCCTAGATAGGGCTTATGGCAATGCCCGGACAACTGTCTTCAGGATTGGTCCGGAACATCACGAAAAGACCGTGGGTCACCCATCCACCAAAGGCATTTCGCCCTCAACCATAAAAGTAAACAAGAGGAACAGTTACTCACAAAAATGACGCCGACGCCCCATACATCGGTTTTTCGAGGATCATAGGAGCCACCTTCCAGGACTTCTGGCGCAAGGTACGGATCGCTACCAACTATACCCGTGGCAGGTATCAATCTTGCATGGGAGTGCGGACCGGATGGTGGATCATTGGGATGTGGGGGTTGTAAAGGGCAAGGGGCATCAAGGGCGCCACCGACATATCCTGTGACTACAGCCGGTAGTGAGGTGTTGGATGTGCCGGTTCCGGGATAGGCAAAGACGACGGCGGTTCCGAAATCGATGAGTTTAACGACATCGCCCTGTGTCATGACGCAGTTATCGAGCTTTAGATCTCTATGTGCTAGGCCTAGAGAGTGAAGGTATGCGACGCCGTTGCAGATCTGACGGAAGACGCAGAAAATTTCTGGACGTAACATGCGGCCAGACATGACGACGCTGAATAGGTCGTAGGGAGCGTACTCCATGACCTGTTGGGGATGAGGGGAGGAAGGTGTCAATGAGTGATGATCTAACCTCATAGTAATGGCCATGATCGCAGACGATATCGACTGTTTCGATGACATTGACGTGCTTCAAACAGGCGCCGACGCAGAATTCAGCTCTAACTTTGTTCTCGTACTCACGCTCTGATTCGCCGGAACGTCTTGGGCGGAATTGCTTGACGGCATAAACGGCACCTCCTGCTTTGGTTCGTGCACGAATGAGGCGGACTGTGCCACCTGCGCCAGTACCGAGAACACGACCCCACTTGCCATATTTTTTGGATAGATGAGCGTGAGTGGCTTCTGAAAGAGAGAGAATTGGAACGGCAGCATGAGTTCCTGGAGGACTTCGTGATGAACGTTTAGACGATAGAGACGTGGATGGAGGGGATGATTTTTGAGGGGAAGATTTGTCCTTGTCGCGATTGCGTGCTTTTTGTATGAAGCTGAAGGGCGAGGACTTGTGAGTGGATATTATAGGAACTGCGTGTATTACGGCATTGGTGTCGAAATCATTACCCCTTCGCTGATCTGCGGGTTGAATTTGTAGTTCTGGAGGTGTATGGGACGATGAAGCATTCGAAGATGGTGCAGCGCTAGAAGATGCAGAAGGAGAATGAGAATGAGGTATATGATGGTTGAGAAAGCGTTTGAGATCATGGAGAGGGCCATGTTTGGCGAGTGGGGGGGTGCCTGGAGGCTGCTGCTTGAGAGCGGATGAAGATGACTTTCGGGGAAAGCGGAAACGAGATTGTGGTGCGATGTCGGGAGACTGGAAAAGATGTTAGTGGAGTTAGATAGTGGGAATTGAACTGACATTGATAGGGATTTGAGTGGCAAGACGACCATTGTGGTCGATGTCTGGGACAGTGAGGAGGGAATTAGGTTGAGGGTCGCTGTCAGAATCTGGACTACTAGGTGGAGAAGGGTCATTACTAGAAATAGAGAGTTGCTGCATTGGAATAGCAGAGAGCATCGTGGACGGCGACGACGAGGACGACGACGGGGACGATTGTGATGATGATGGTTGAAGCTGAGTGTGATTGAAAGGTTGGAAGACTAAAACTATATCGCGTCAGAAAACCCACACATCTGTTCGGTCCGATCGGCATCCAATCGGCAAGTGATTACAAATCCAAGGGATTACCCTGTTCGCCAAGGTTTGAAGTTCCAATGGCATCGCTTGTCGTTCTACGTAACAGTCTTGGCTGTGCTTCTAGAGGGTTGCCTTGACCCCCGAAGGGTGTCTCATGATCCGGTTCGAGGTAGCAGGCTCGGCGTACTCCATCTCATGCCCGAACTTGTCGCTTGCTTACTCTATCCTCTTCGTGTCAATCCAATGCCAAAATAAGTGTGACAAACCACAAAGCTGCGCTCCATAGCCAGGGCCTCCATCGTCGGAGCGGACCACCATTTCCCCGTTGGCCCGTAGCTCTCACGTTAAAGTATCCTTATAGTTAGACCAACACTGGCTTCGCCTCATCGTTTGATTCGTCAATATACACTTGACTTTTTAAAGCCTGGCGTCCGAGTCCTAGCCTCAACCAATATCATCAGCATCACGCTTCCTTTTCATCTCTCTTGAAACCTTGTGCTGCGCAGATTCGTGCTTGGCAAGCTCTGGCGCAACTTTGGACACCGGACTTTTGGATATTTCTGTGTGAGAGGGCAGTTAGTAAATGCAAACGTTTGACATTCAAACAGGAATCCGAATATAAACGAAACTAGCGTAGACAGCAGAAAAACCACCGATAAACAAGGTACACACGTATGACGCCACCTGCAAGATAAATCGGTCCTCTTTGACAGAAAAGCCAGAGATAAGTAAAGATACAGAAACCAGGGAAACCAGCGTCTAAGAGTGTACCAATCCAACCGGGATGGAACGGGACGGGATCCCGGGTGCCCACCGGTGCGGAATACAACCAGAATGAAAAGAGAAATTTTGCGAAGACAGCCAAGACAGCCAGCCACACGATTGATAACGATAGAACCATAATAAAAAGCGGCGTCGTGGCAAAGTGCATGAGAATGGGGAAAAATCGCACCTTGTTTGAGATCGTACCTACACAAGCAAATAATTAGCCGTGTTCCAAGCTCAGTCAAGTAAAAAAAAAACTCTGGGCAAGCGGTCATCGGTGGACTCCCCGAAGGAAGATCCAACAAATGCAGCAAGAATGCCACCAAAAAATTGGGATAGATACGTACATGACTTCATCGTCATCATTTGTCAAGAAGGTGATCGCCGTACCCTGTTTGCCCGCACGACCCGTACGACCTACACAATTAATATCGTTAAATCGCTTAAAAACCTAGATAAGGGAGATGCCCTACCAATACGATGCACATATGCCTCAATGGTACCTGCCATCTGGTAGTTGATGACAAGACTGACATCCTGCACATCAATACCACGTCCAGCAAGGTCCGTGGCAACGAGGATGTCGGAGTCACCGGAACGTAATGACTGTAGGGAAGCCTCGCGCTGCTCTTGTGTTTTTCCAGAGTGTAGCGTTGCCGCGGACCACTAAAATCAAACTAACCTCAGCGACCGACTTTCAAAATGACAGCAACATACCCCAGCACGTGAGAGATCCTTTGCAACCATGTCTGCAGTCTTCTTCTGGTTGACGAAAACAATAATCGGTGATGGATATTGGCCACTGTTCAGAATCTCCAGCATCAGTTGCCTGTAAATGCGCGTAATTAGTTTCGTGCCGCCAAGACGTGCACAAAAATAGACAAACTTCTTCTTCTCGTCTCCATTAACAAATTCGACTTTCTGCTCGACGGTATCGACCGCACGACCAGCTTCACCAATAGTGATCGTAGCAGGTCTCTTGAGATATTTCCTCGCAAGCCGTTCGACAGCAGGCGGCATCGTCGCACTAAATAGGGTCGTTACCCGAGTACGACCCTTCCTTACTTCCTCACCGTCGACGTCCATTGCTCCAGTATCCTCGCCTGCCATCGTCTCGCTCGGAAGCTTGTCAAGGATGAACAACAAGTCGGTTTCAAAACCGAGGTGCACCATGCGATCTGCTTCGTCCATGACGATGTAACGACATTGAGAGAGTACGAGCACGTGCCGCTCTAGAACGTCTTTCAGACGTCCAGGCGTAGCAATGATGATTTCAGCTCCTTCACGGAGGTTGAATTGTTGTTCCTCAACTGCACGCTAAACACATCATAATGAGTACAAATCCCGAGACCTGAGAGGAGTGGGATAACGTACACCACCGACTATAGATACACAAGTGAAGCCCAGCGGCGATGCAAACTTGCGTGCCTCAGCCTCAATCTGCTGGGCAAGCTCACGCGTAGGGGCGAGAATGAGTGCATAGGGACCAAGATGACGGTTTTCATCTGTGAAAAGTGGCATGTTGGAGATGAAGGTAAGCATAGGGATGACGAAGGCTGCCGTTTTTCCGGAACCTGTTGCGATGTTAGTGTATGAAGAAAGTAGACGGAGAATTGATGTACCTGTCTCTGCAATACCTATGATGTCGCGGTTTTGCAGTCCAATGGGAATCGCTTGTCGTTGAATGGCAGAGGGTTCTTTGTAACCAATCTTGTCGATGACACTCAATATCTTCTGTGGGATCTCCGACTCTGTCCATGAACGCAAGGGGTGAGGTATCGAACCACCTTAATATTATCGTTAGAGCCTGCGACCAACACACATGAATAAGCAGACATACCTCGAGCAGCAATGCTGAAGTCCTCCCTAAATATCCGCCAGTCACGCTCCCTCATCTCATCCAACGGCTTCTCCGACCAATGCCTCTCATCAAGACCGCTCTTCGCTGCCATCCTTCTTTCTATTGGGTCAGCTAAATTGGCAGTTGCAGCCCCTCGACCAATCCTCTCGCCACCACCGTCATCAAATCCACCAACATGGCCACGACCAAACATCACCTGCGCACCCTGACGGTTCACACCAACAGCGACAGGAGAATCGCTCGAGAATGTATCTTCCTCCACATTCCAGTCAAAGACAAATTTCCGGTCATTCATTTTGCGGACCTTGCGCTTCTTCGTGTTCACACCAAGGTAGCGATCACGTACAGCACTGAGATCGCTCTCGGTCATGGGAGGTACATATGATGTACTGGGCTCCGAAAGAGGATCGTTCACATTCACATTACTGGTGCTATTAGCATTGCTGATGGGTGCAGGGGATGCGTTGGAGGAGACAGGACCAGAAGGCGTGTTTGAGTTTTTGAGACGGTCGGCCCTTGGGCCTGTTGGGGCATTTGGTATGTGTTTTGGTGGTGGTGGCTGCGCACGACGGTCGTCCGGAGGGGGTCCACCTCCTCGACCTCTCCGCCCGTGTCCATGCCCATGCCCGTGCCCATGTCTGGTATCCTTTTCGGGATGTCCGTATCTTAACTCTCTATCGTCATCTATTAGCACAAAATCAATACGAGTTGCTCGAAACGAGAGGAAACCATACGTCGAGCAGAAGCACTGCTGTACCTAGCAGTACGCTCCCTTTCCTGCTCTCGCTGCCTCAATTCCTCAGCCTCACGTTCTAGAGTTTCACGGTCCGTTCGTGCTTTCTCATCGCGTTCCCGTTGCTCTCTGAGCTCTGCAGCACGCTTCGCGATAGCTATCTTTGCACGCTCTTCTTTCGAGAGGAATTTAGGCTGGGCAAGAATTGAATCAGAATCAGCATTTCATGTTCGCAGCATGACAGGAGTCACCTTTGCAGCAGCCTCGCGCTCCTGTTTTTGTTTCTGCAGCAAGGACTCTATCGAAAGTGGTTCTGCTCGTGCTGCCATGCCAAAGTGCTCTCAACGACCGCGGGGTGCGTTCGTCGATGTATTTGACAAGAAGCGTTAGGGTTCCGAATTGGGCGAGCTCTGGCAGTAACTTTTTTGAGAATCAATCATAGACTTCTACATTTCTGAATCCCTCCCCTTGAAGATGTACATAGTATGAGGGCCATCCCATCATGGGAGCAATTCTAACACGCTTCTTGCAGTCATATTGGTATGCAGTACTGCAGTGCAACTCCCAAATTTCTCCTTTCTGCAGAAGTATTGTATTTCCCTATAACGGACCGCTGTTTGGTATGTACACGTTCCTGGAAGACAATCGAAGTCGTGCTAGTTCCTGCATCGGAGTCGGCCATGAGTTTAGCGTGAGATTCTTGAACGCTAAGCATGAGGCATGATCCCAGCACAAACATCTGCACGCCCAAGAAACTTTCGAAAGCACCTTCGAGTATCAGAGTCCCCGTAGAATATGGATGCCATAAAAATGATGACCAGTGGTTACACGCAGACGTCCGTCAGCGACAGGTCGGCTCACCACGAGCTCTGGAGAGGTAGTAGCAAGCTCAGGGCAAAAGATACAAACAAAGTTAGCACGTGCGAAACTGTAGCAGAAAAAGATAAGCATTAACATTACAATCTCACCTTGCAAAAGTAAGCACGTGAGATTTTATCAGCACTCTGAAACAGTCCCAGATGGTCGGGCAGGGTCGTCGCAGGTCACGAAAGTGTTTTACAGCAATGAAAACTGAAAGACACAGTGCAATGGCCTCCCAAACAGTGTTGAGCGTCCAAACAATTGAGTTCATAAACCAGACATCCCCCTCAAATGCGTAACCGCACATATATGTGCCAGAAAGCATCAGCTCCTTTGATGTTTGTCCAATAAGCTGTGTTCTTCAAGTCACCAAGCAAAAAAAGCTCGCCCAGTACATAATCCTTGAGTCCTATGGCCGCAATTACTCCAATTTGTTACCGAGACCATCGGCATATTTACTGTGTGCTGCCGGTCAGATGAATCGAACATAGCGCATACGAGACATACCCAGAACGCTGATACTGATTATGAAGGCTATTAGCACAGCACCAACCTGTTGACCTCCGAAACATACGCAGAATATGATAGTTCAATAACATCTTGGAGTCAGCGCAACTGCCGACCATGCTATAGCTTAGCATGAGATAGCACGAACAATCAAATACAGCGCAGTCATGAGAGACCAGCGTTGCCTCCGTCGCGAATTCACTGTATTCTCGTATTATTTCATCTGATGTGATCGATACTCCGAGCCCGCGGCCACTCACCCAGATCAGTTCAATCTATAATACCATTCTTAGCGGGTTGGCTGCTCCGGAAATGGCAGTGACCTACCTCTTGTTCGAGTGTCAATACTGGAAACATCATAAGAATAAGAATTAGCGGCTTTCGAACACTGTCGTGCTCACCCCAGTCGTGTATCACCACAAACGGCGGCGGCAACTGTAAAATTGTTGGTGTTAGATCGAGATATCATCACTAGTTGATACTAACGAACATTTGAATTGATTGTCTGGGATCATTTGAGACTGCGTGATATTCGGGATGCGCGTCATGAACGAGTGGGGGATGTTGAGGGTATATAACGATCTAGCGTTTGTGCTAGATATGTTACCGTTCAATGTTCAGCATTAGAATCGAGGAAGCTGCTTCTTCCGTGGGCACAGCTGCGGGCCTTCGTGTTGTCTTTCTAATGCTATCCGTGCCAGACCTCGTGGTCCCTGTATCCAGCAGCAGAATTCTTTATGTAATATGTCACTGGGTAACTTTCCGTAGAATTTAGATTTTCATTCAAACCTTGGAATTCGTCTCGCACCTCATCGCGATCTAGAAATGCTTTCCGAACCACAGACCAATTGCAGCTAGCCGTTTCTAATGGAGTGTCAAAAGGACATGACAATGGCATAGTCACGAATTCAGGCTCGCCTGGCAAGTGTTTTGAACCCCATATGAATCTACATAGAAGGGCAGACTCACCCTTGGGCCTTCTAGATGCTCACTTGGGTGTTATTGACGTGTCACGGACTAAACACTGACGTTTTGTCGGCACGAGGGCTTTGAAACATAAATTTAGTGTTGAGTCGTGAAAGTCAATGATGTGTTGTCAGTCGTTGTATTTTCATATAAATAAATAAAGGCACGTGCAGCACGATGAGCACTCGCTCGCCTGTTTCATTGATTTGATCCAAGCATCAATCTACCATTGAGCACTAGCTCGAACAGCGAGCACGAGGATGGCGCCCAACAATTTTGACTTGCGTATGCAGTCCCCTCGCCCGGAAACGCCTGAGCCGTCATCGAAGCAGGGCAGGCGAAACGCCCAGCTTGATGCCCAGTTGCTTGACGCCGACGGTGCAATTTCTGACAAGGTATGTTTTCACTCGTATTCTGATATTGCATAATGGTGCTGATCGATCTACATGATTTGTGCAGCTCGAACGCTGTCTTCGTCATATTTTTGCAAAGTATTGCACGCCTTGCCCGGCGCGTCCCAAAAAATATGACTTTACGGTTCTCCTCACGCCTCCTGATGATGCGATTCTTGACGTAGCAGGGCTAGATGCGTGGGCACAAGACACGAATGGCGCACCGTTTAGTGAAGAGACAAAAGAGGAGCTCAGGGAGTTCTTGGACGTCACCGAAGAAGGCGAACTGACGTGCGTGATTTCCAGTTCATTTATCTCTCCTGCTTTTCTCATGTAGTTGCCAAATCTTCTTGGTGCTGATTCTTGTATTTTTGTAGGTTTAAAGGCTTCGCGCAGATATATCAGCTGCAGACAGAGAATGACGAGGAAGAAACATGGAGGGATCTGGTATGTGCACTAATTTCTCTTTTATACCCATCCTCTTTGTTCTTTCGACGTCGTTTTGTTTTACTACCATCTTATTTCCATCCTCTCGGATCTGCGTAAAGGGATGAAATCGACTCAATTCTGCGTTCCCAGTCAAACCACGGATTTGATCGCACCCTCACTCTTGTTTCGACGCGTCGGGAGGAAGAGGCTGAGAGCAGCCATATGCCCCTTTTCGTGCCGTGTACATGTACGTCAGGTCGCTCTCACTTTCCATTTATACGCGAATGTCAATCACCTTTCACGTAGGACGACACAAAAACGCGTACAACCTTTGATCCGTTTGGGACATACTAACCACAGACCATACCATGACCTTACGATGCCCATGACTTCATTACTTATCTAGCTGGAGATCCCCTCCGTATCCACGACTTCGTTTGATCCCACCTGCTGGATGATGTTCGCATACTAGACAACTTAATCACATCTAGCATCTGCTGGTTTTCATTCCAACTGAGTAAGAGAACTTTTTATAACAAAGGTACTACAAAAAAAGTCATGATATCGATTGGATGACGACTAATCCCAACGCCTGACGCCTCTGCACATCATATATCCTTCATACAGCACACAAGATCACCTTTACTTGTCAGCCCTAGTGACCCCATCCCACCTTCCACGCCATACCTCCACGCCCTCCCACTCCCCAGCGTCCCATCCTACACCAACACCGGCACGCCTTAGCCTCTTCTCGGGGACGCGCTGGAACAAAAGTCCCCACTCCTCACCAGCACGTCTAAATGCGGCCGTGATGAGTGTGGGGTCGCGCCTCTCAACGGCAAGGTAGATGACTGGAGGCTTGCAGGTTGGAGTTTCAGGGGATTTGGAAGGGGGTACAGGTGATGCTTCAACACCGGAAAGTGAAGATGGCGGGGAGAGAAAGGTGGATGAAAGAGCAGAGAGCGCACGGATTGTCTCGAATAGAGGAGCAACAAGTGCCGTATCATAGATCGTATCGCTTGACACAATCAGATCAAATGGCGGGGCGAGGAAATCGCAATTGTCATCGCCCTTCTTTGACAAAGGTGTTGGCGATGTGATTGATACGTGATCGTCCCATTTCCATCCCATAGGGTCGACACCCCAGTCCAGCTCACGCACATGGACATGCCCAGGGACGAGATGCGCATTTGCATTGATGTTGGAACGCAGAACGGAGGCACAAACGTGCATGGTATCAGTGGCAAGTACATCATATCCTATAGATGCGAGCGCAAGACTAGAATCCATGAAGCACCCGTCATGTGCGGCAGAGTATGTGTTTATGGTATGTTGATGAGTGATCCTCTTCACAGTCATCTATGGACAATCAAACGCACGCCATGAGGCCAATCCCGCTGCCCAGTTCTATGGCCTTAGGGCGTGCTGTGTCGTACAGAACTGAAGCACTATTATGTGTTCCGGTCTCGATAGTCCTGGATTTGCCCTTGAATTCGGCAGAAAGGTAGACGGATAGGACTTGGGCACCGAGCCACAGAGCAGTTCCGTTGCTTATACCGTCATCTCGCTGAACAAGATGGAATACGACATTGTTAGCTGGATATGCGAGAACAGGCAGGTGTTTTGTGTGGTGAGCTGGTTGGGTATCCGACATGAAGAGATCCAATCCTAAGCATGTAAGGTAATCGGAGGCAGTAATTTTCTTCAGGCTTAGTACCGATTTTGTATGATAGGCCGCAGTTGTGACACTTATGTAACTTGATGTTGACTCATTCACATTTTGTTCACATTGGACAAAAAAATGTGAGATGGTGACATATCTGACCATCTCAAGCTTCTGCATCATCACGGGTCTCCTGATCTCACTGTCAGCCAGTACTACTGTGATGTCACCTCCAATGTTGCATGCAAGGTGCCATCGGAGTCTGTATATGTGGGATCGCTGAGTCAGTTCAAGGAGAAGGGTCACAAAATACGTCAGTTGATAAGATCAGTGCGCCTGAAGAACACTTACTTGAACATCAGCCAATCGCCCAACGAAGCAGAGATGTACGTGCAAGTACGCATAGAATAGTTCGTGTATCTTGTAGATCAACGAGGATGTTAATGGCAGGGAGAGGAAAAGAAATAATCAATCCTATGCCTTCGAATTACTCGAAAAACTATACTTACCCTCGAGGCACAAGAAAACAACCCTTCTCCAATTTGAACTGCATCTCCAGAGCTTGATGTTGCTCGTTCCGGGGCTGCACCGTAAGTAGAGCTTCTGGACATGCCGGCAAGCTATGCTTTGCAAGATAAAGGCTGACTTTCCATCTCGCATCAACCCCTATATGGAACAACAAGCCCCATATGCGTCCTGCAGATATTGACATGCGTGTAAGGGAAGACTTGAGAGGTATGGGTTACATACCTTGCGCAATCAATTCCACGCACATTTCCTGTGCAACGCGCATGCGTGTCTGGAACATCCTGATTTGCATTTTGGCAGTGAACTCGTTCTGTTTATCTCCTCCGTACACCTGAATCTCAGTCGGATAACCTAAAGATCGATCCAAAGTCCTGTTCATATCTGATTAATGCGCAACGATCAATGCTCGCCGAGGACTAGGGATTACCAGTACTCACAAGAACAGGATGTTAGTTTCAGCTTCATGAACAATGCATGGTCGCTAGTCACCATACATGCTAGACGCACGTCGCAAAGGCGATTAGACGTATATGTGGTCATGAATTTACACAAAGCCGAAATAGCTTCTGGACGGCTATTCACGATGGCCCAATACAAGGGTGTGTGACCCTCAATATTGGATTCTTGAAGGATGTCTGAGAACTCTCCGGCTGGGATAGAAGCAGCGCAGGCGTCGAAAATTGGACCAACAGAGGAAGGGACAAAATCCGGCGTGGTGACAACATCACGGATGAGAGATAGAACGGTGGTACGTATCTGCTTGGTCTGTTCCTTGGAAAATACAGATGGTGGCCTGCATTTGACGGAATCTCCTGATATTGGGGACATGGAAACTGCATTATACGATGGAGGCGCATTGGCATCGGACTTTTCATCATCATCAAAGAGCTTGAACTTAGTATCCATCATGGGATGAGATGGTGAAAATATAGGGGCTGTTCGATGACACAGCACGGGTGAATACAACTGGACTCCGGTTGTTTGAAAACGACTTTGATCTGCCTCGCATGTCATCAGGGTTCTCTGAAACGAAGTAAATATGATCGTCGATATCAATGCTGCTTGTACCGTATGGTTCTGCCACATGGGACGAGTTCGAGTGCATTTGTCGTGTCCATCTTCTCCGAGTCCGGCGCAGGATCATCATGACGTGTTCTTCGTGCCAGAGTAACAATCGCTAGTCTGTAAGGCCACAGGTCGACGACGATAATCCCTCGCCTAGTGACCTATCCACCTTGTCATGAAGAGAAGTACTTCGAACAGCTCTGAATGGAGAAGGCTACGCCTAGTAATTTTTTCTATCTGTGCTAAATCAGATTCTCAAAATCAAATCATCACGAAAACATCCATGCAGTTGATGCCTGGAGTATACTCTTGTTGCTGGGTAATACAAATGGATAGCTGCACGTTAAACTCTGGTCCAACCGTCAATTTACCCATGATTTTCCTACTGCTGCTTCGTTCATTCCTTGATAACTTCGTGCTGTCCTGCGAACTGTTCCATGTACGAAATGAGTTGGTCCGTCTCTTCTTCTGTCACGGCATTATATATGGACACTCGGATGCCTGGAAAGATAAAGTGTCAGTGATCTAATTATGTATGGAGATGATAACGCTCCATACCTCCTACAGAACTGCATGGAAAGATAATGAGAAGGTGGTCTGGTATGACGCGCAAAGGCAAGGACTTACCGATGGCCCTTAAGACCCTTCATGCCTCGCTCCTCTGCGCCAGCAACGAACTTGGCTAACAACCCTTCGCCAAGGACGTCGAAGACAACATTCATCTGGCTACCAGATCCCTCCTTCACTTTACTTTTGAAGATGCCTTTATTTTCACCATCCTTCAGCGCATCGTACACCTTTCTCGATTTGCGGTTTGTGAGGTCCGCGTAATAGTCCAACCCTCCCAGCTGGAGCATATACTCAAGAACGAGACCAGTAATGTAGATGGAAAGTACCGGGGGAGTGTTGAACAGGCTGTTATGGTCCGCAAGCGTTTTGTACGAAAGACATATTGGGACTGAAGTAGCCCCGAGCCTTGTAGCGGCGTCAACGTCAACGATACAATCGTTTCTGACGATTAAGATGGTGAGACCAGCGGGGCCGACGTTTTTCTGCGCGCCAGCATATATGATAGCGTGGTCTGAGAGATGTGGAATTGGCCTTGACATGAAGGAGGAGGAATAATCCCCGACAAGTGGGAGAAGTGCATTCTTTGGGAGAAGCTGAAAGGGAAATGAGGCTGGTGAATTTTCCTCAGCTGAGAACTCCACGCCGTCGACGGTCTCATTGGCACAGTAATAGATAAGAGCTGGGTCATTTGAAAAGGAATATGCATCTGCGGTTGGGATGTTGTCAAAGGATTTCTGGTCTTTAGAGTATTTGCGAGAATCGGCTGCAATGTTAACGGTACTCCCTCCCATACGCCTAGCCTCCTCGGCCGCCTTTTTGCTCCAGGACCCTGTGACGACATAATCCAATACTCGGTCTTCGTCTTTTAATTGAGGGTGGAGGAGACGATGTCGTGCCAGCATGTTCAGCACGACGGCTGAGAACTGTGTAGTTCCACCCCCCTGAGTGAACAAGATGGAGTGTGTGGGCTGGACATCGAGAAGTTTTCTGATGTTTTGTTCGACGCTTTGTAGATATGCAGTGAACTCCTTGGAGCGATGCGAAATCTCAGCGATACCGATGCAGTTCCTTTGAAATTAAGGAGACCTTTAGTAGCTTCCTGAAGCACGGAAGTGGGCAAAGCAGATGGACCTGCGCCAAAGTTAATGGCTCGCGATTCCATGGTATGAAGATTTTCTTGGAGGAGTGGATGACTCAGATGTGCGCAGTATTCAATTGCACGTCGCAGTCGTGGTCTACCCCGGGGTTTATGTAAAAATGACTCGACGGTTCAAACGTTCACACATACTATCATTCGACGGAAATGCAAATTTACACTTATGCTGAATAGCAACATCAACACAATATCGTGGATCACGTAGTGTATACTTTAGCCTGTCTTAGCCATTTTTTATTTGTTGCTCTTTTCACGCAGCCGGGAAGTATGTCGAAAACAATGAATGACAATTTCGTCAACACACGCGCGCACCTCGCCACACAATACACAGTCGACAGCGTCAAAGCGAATGAAAGTCCAGTGTTCCGCACCGTTCATAACTTCAAGCTTCAATAACGAGCTCCAAATCAAATTTCATTGAGGGAATAATATCTAGTAATAAACACTAGGATGTGCTGAGTGATCATTATTTGCTGAAACTCTATTTAATGGTGCAGGAAGGCTTTTAGTTTCACCCCCACGCCATGTATCGATTGCATCCTTGATACGTTTTTCACGATCCTCGCGTGTGAGAGGAGGTTGTGAATGTGGTGAAGGGCGGTTGCGAAAAACTCGAGCTGTCCTTGGCATTGGTCGACTGTCCTTGTAATGTAACAATGTCCTCTGGTGTCTTCAAAGGAACAGATGCTGGTATGTGCCGATTCTGCCGAATGCAAAGAAAGCGGAGACTCAACCAAGCCGAGAGTGTGATTTCCCAATCTAGCCTGACCGTCACGCTTTGCTCATGAATCGCGAATAGCATGCTGTGGTGGTGTCCTATTGACATAGAAACACCTGGAGTAGATTCAGGATGGTGCATTTCACATATTTTGAACTTTCTGTGTTGATAGGTTAATGGGATCTGGGTGGATCTTGGATTTAGTGTCCAAAAATCACTCATTTTGGGCACACTCGCACAATGTTTCATCTCGGGAAGGCTTCACAGCACCGATTTTAAAATTTTGAATTGGTAGTATTATTGAATGTATGCTAATAATTGTCCACCAGCTGTTCCGAATGAAATATATGTAGAGTGGTGAGCTCTGGAGTGCATTGTGCATTATCCATCGATTGTGCATTCCGAATCAGGTGATAGTACTAGATCTAATTGATGGTAAGTTTCAGTCGTTTATGTAAATCGACTTACTGCATGCTTTCAGTCATCGGTGCAGTAACTTGAATTCTTTGCCCATGTCATACTACATGCAATACGTGATTATGTACGGCTACAGAAATTGTTCAGAAAAGGATGACGAAAAAGAACTCGATCAAATGTCCAATGAAGTTTGAAAACACTTAAAGGTGGGGTGTGCCATTGTCGGCCTCTTCTCTCCCAGCGAGAGCTGGATCAGGCTTGCGCACACCACCACCAACCAACTCCACTTCTTCTACGTCCATACCATCTGTATAGGACAGACTGTGGTGGTCAATTGCGGGGTTGGCAGTAGGCAGCTCCTCTTCGCGTCGTACTCTTGGAGGATGCGGCTTATGAGACATCGGTGATGACAGCGAAGGAAAGTATTGGCGATACGCAAAATATGAAACAACCAGTCCGAGTATGGATCCCGCTACGACGTCTTGCCAGTGGTCTGAAGATGTAGATGAGGTCAAATACAACAAATGCCGGGATATCAACTGACGCCGGTAGTCCATGGTGCGGGAAATCGCCACCAGGATAGCTCCAAAGATAGGAGTGACAGAAATCCAAGCTTTGTGCTGAGAAATATATATTTTAGTGCCTCGCCGGGGGTGGAAGACATTTGTGCACTTACAGCGTGGCCCCTGGTATCAAACAGGTGCATCTTTCCGGCCAAGTAGTACGATAGGAAGCCAAGTCCGGCGTGGGATACTGAAAATATTTCACAACCTGGTTATTCCTGGATTGATATGACGACTTACAGCTGGAGTGGCCACTGGGGAAGCTCCTCCAACCATCGATCATGATAGCTGTGTCGGTGTTTGTGCATATTGCATCTGTCGAGAGTCCAAAAGTAGGGTCCGAGGAACCTGGAATCGGCATGCATCGTGCGAGCAGATCTACAAGCCCACTTAAAACATTTGTAAAATAGGAAAAGTTGCATAGCACTAACCTGGACGGGGACGGCCAACAGTGATCTTCGTAAACTGAGTTATGGCACCTGTGATAGCAAGCCCCAAGACGACTGTGCAGCTCGGTGAGCGTGAACAAGATATTACGCTTAAAATATGACCTACGCCCCAGTGCGCTGCAGTGGTAATCCCAGAAGGACCGAACGGTGAATAAATTTACTACCAATTGAATGACGAGCGGCGCCACAATTGCAATAAAGTATAGGGCAACATCCTAATTGCGAATGGAGATTACGATGTACTTTGAGGACCCGTTATGAAGCTTACCGGAACACGTTCATGAACTGCAAACCTAGAACGACGAGGTCACGCCGCTTAAGGCAGGTCAAAGCTATGTCCCAACTCACGGAAAAAGTATGCTGCATCAAATAAATTAGCAACCGTTCTTGATGAAAGAATATAGAATCTCACGTTTCATCATGCACCGAAAATTCTCGTCGGAAGCCGTGCACGCCGTCGAGGGCAAAGAACACGATCCTGTTATTAAGGTGTCAACAAAACTCGTGATTTGCACGAATGGCAGACTGTACGCTAAAAGAATTGTGATGGTCCTGCATAGAGACGGATCATACGATGAGTATGGAAAGTAATATGAAGCTGAAACTTCGGACCAATCGGGAGCATAGGACCTGATTATTTTCATCCGCCTCTTGCTGTCAGTTCGTTTGGTGGTCCTATCATAATAATTTGGGTTCTCCCAGAATCTGAAAGAGGCCATCGTTGGTTGTCGTGAAAGAGTTGGTGGAGGATTGAGCTAGGGAGTGTGGCATGGGAGCAAGTGGAACTAAACGTGTCACGGTGTAAGACAATCGTGTTACTATATCATACTCCAACTTGGCGAGGAAAGTCCTGCACGGACCGAGATCACCTGTCACAGCATACGATTGCGGAAGCACTACACCAGTAGACGCACAGAAGTCTGCTGGCAAGGCGCTAACGCTTGAAACTCCCATAGCACGGCGCAGTTGTCCAAATTCCAGCCTGCCATCGACTGCCAATATGACATCCATGACAGAGAGTGCATATGACATATCACAAGACTTCCGCTGGAACCCAAGTAAGAATTTTACTCGCCGGAAGGTCTCAAATTTATTATCCTACCTAGATTATGATGCAGTGTTAGAGCAAATCGCTGACTCTGACATAGAAGAACCAAAGTGCGCTCCTCCAGCAAAGCGATCCACGCGTTTACAACTCACAAGTCTATGTTTTAGGACAGAATGGGCCCTACTACGCGACATGATCAAATACAAGGTGGACGAGGTGATCGCGCTCTTTGGATGTCAAGTAATCTCTTTATGAAGCTAACTTCGACATCTAGAATATCGCCCTATTTCTAGCAGATCCACTGCCTCACAATACAGTGGAATTCCAACCATTGCCTGAAGATCTCCTCAAGGCTGGTAACTTGAAGTTACCGCCGTTCCCGCTTCGCGAACAGAACGATCTCAGCCACAGTGAGGTACCGAAAGCGTATATGAACCAGCAAGAAGCAGGCGAGATCAAAGCTTTCATTTTTAGGCAACTACATGAATTTGACGAGTGCGCACATATCTGTGGTCATTAACGATATCTGATTGCAGATGGCTTTAGCGAACCTCCTTTCACGATACAACGCGTCTGCGAGCTCTGTGTACGACCAAAACAGCATTACAAAGCTCTTGGAAAGTATCTTCGAGCGGTAGAGAAATCATTACTCGTTACATCCTCGTGGAATGCTTTCCCAGTGGAAGAATCCAATCAAGACGGCCCAACAATATCTTCATTATCGATGACAGCTGGTTTACTATCAGCACCGACTACTCCCCTCTTCTCTCCCATATTCTTTCATCATGAAGATGCACGCTCAAAGTCACAAAGTCCTCCTCCGTCACCTCTAACACTAAGTGGCATAGAATCTACGGGGAACGTCGAACCCTTGGAAGGAATGCCACCCAAAGCACTTGGCCTAGTAGACGAATTGGACGACCCAGGCCCAGGGCACTTGAGTAATCATCCAACAGCTCTTACAGCTGTTACTACGGTAGGCTCAAAGCCTTTCATGGACACCCTGGAGACAAGGTTTGTGAAAGGAGAGGGACAACATGATATGGATAGCGGTGATCAAAGGATGACAGACGGAGCGGGAGACAAGGAAAATATAGGTTGACAGTGCTTTCATCTGAACTGGGAATGAAACAGTAAGAGCTGTGACATATACTCAGCGCGTCAAGGTACGCACCACGATAAAGTGGGTGTATTTATCTCATTCAAGTATAATCGCGCTTGATTTTTTCGAGCATGGCCGTCATCCGATACTTCATATTGGGTTGTCCCTTCTCGTGCCCCCGATCTCCAAAGGAAGCACTGCGCCCTCCCCTGGTGCTGCCTCTCTGCGGATTGATACCACGAGATGGTTTTGTATCATGTCTTTTAGTATTTGACTTGTACGTATGAAGGGAATTGCGCGAGTAAGCTTGTTTTCCGAGTTCTCGAAGTGAAATCCTGTCATCAGCTGAGCTATTTGGGACTCGTTGCTGCTTGCACTCGGGATGACTGCTAGAGTGAGAACCTCGATCCTTGTCTTCTGGGTCGCTGCGGCCAGGATTTTCCTGATGAGCAGGGGGTGGGTCGTCATTGGAAGATACTTCGGGTTTCCGTTGAAGAACACCTTCCCGTTTTTTCTGGGCTTTCCACTGAGACTTTATCTTCGTGCTCTCAACCCATGACTGCTTTAGCTTTTTGGCTGGAAAATAATCTGAATGTAACCATGAGACGAAACTCATGACTGCTCACCTCTATTGAATGGAAGGTGACCAAAAGTCGGAGGTTTTTTGCGTTTGGTTCCTTCGGTGGTCATCGCTGTAAATTCCGCGCTCCTCGGCGGCCACAAGAATATGACTCTGCCTAGATGCTGAATAATCACTGATTATCCAATTCCGGAACCGCACCACGAGTATCATCCATTCTTTCTTTTAACGACTATCTTGTCTCAACACATCCCCACTCAGTTCACAAGTGTATCTATCTCTCCACATCGCATGAACGTGCAGAACCTGAACTCTTTCGGTGAGCTTGTTTATCTCATTTTACTTGATGATGTTGGCTGAGGGCGCTTCTCAGATCCTTTTGCTGACGAGGGTGACCCTCTCGGAGGCAACCAAGACGTTGGATCCCAGCAGAATTACCTTCATATTCGTATTCAGCAGAGGAATGGAAGGAAGACTTTGACTACGTTGCAGGGATTACCCAAAGGTGAGGTTGAGGGCTTTTCGCCAGCAGGTCATCATCTGATTGAGTTGGCTGCAGAATATGATCCCAAAAAACTCTTGAAGGCTTTCAAGAAGGTAAGAAAATGCGTTTCGACACTTTGCGAGCGCCAACAATTTTACACAGGAGTTTGCTTGCAATGGCACCCTCGTTGACGACGAGGAAATGGGTCAAGTCATCCAGTTGCAGGGTGATCAGAGGCTTAAGATTGTCAAGTTCCTCACGGAGGAGGGCATTCCGAAGAACACCATTAAGCTGCACGGGTTCTAGTCCATGTCGTCCGAGGGAATACTTAAGCCCTCGATGTTAACGCCGATATTTCTCTGTCAGCGTATTTTTTCTTTCTCACATACTTCTGGATACGTCTTGTTATGTATGCCGTTTGTACCACTAGCGATTGTTGACCGATTAGATGTTTTCTCATGTACTAAGTTTTCAAAAATTTGGACTTCGCATATATTTCCAAAAGCACCAGCTGCAGGAAAGATGCAGTATCTGAGAACATACGTAAAGCTGTCTCTCACAAGAGAGGAAATGCAACTTATCTTGCGGCAGGGCTGGAGCTGAGCTACTTAACTTTATCTAATGGCCGGTTGAATCCTCCGCGGCTAGAAGGAGTTATGAGCAGCAAAATGTGGACATGCGGGCATAACTTACCGATTCATATACTGACGCCACGTCCTGATCTTCTTGATATTGACGGAGCCTTCTTGATTTCCTTCGACATGCTTGCCCTGAAAATAGAGTGAATTGTATATTGTAGCAACTTAAAAGACTAACGTACCTTCGTGGTACCAAACCCTGTAAGCCCCATTGCAGCCATCATAGCCTCTTCATCGGCGTTGGTAGTATCCATGGCCTCCCCTTCTTCAGATAGGGCATCTGGATCAAGGTTCGGTCTCCTTGAAGAAGAGGGACCTGTATCAGTAGACGGGGCTGAAATTAATGATGAGAACTGCTTTCGTACAGTAGCATACGAGTCTAACCTGGGGGTGGAGTTTTAGCTTGCAAAGGCTTTTCTGAAACTCTCTCAGCATCATGCCTGCCAACTTGTTGTCGATTTTCACGTTGATTTTGGGCGTCTTTGTGTCTTAGTTCCTTGTCCCGAGTCGGAGGCTCGCGCATTTCGTCACGTCTTTCAGGCCGTCTATCGTCTCGGCGGCTGTCTCTGTCGTAGTCTTCTCTTCGCGAGCTCTTATAGTCTCGATCTCTGTAATCTCTGGCATGATCTCTCCTGTCTGAATAGGTAGAATAAGCTGTTCTTGTAGCGCTGCAAAGGAATTTTGACGTACCCCTCCTTGGACTACGGGACCTACTGTCTCGTTTACGACCGCCATCCCTTTGACCTCCTGCTCTGTTGCCTCGTGAATGCCGATCTTTTCCCCGTTCACGATCCCTGTCATCTCTTTCCCAGCTACGCTCGCGCCTTCTTCCGTCATGTCTGCTCGACATTGTGGTCACTGTCTCAAGTGCATGTGATCACGTGGTGTCAGTCCTCAAATCATCACAACTGCAAATCTTGTCCTTTAACTTCATCGCCCTCCGAATGTTCAAGTCAACAGCAGTTCGGCGCGTGGTTCCACGGTTCGTGGATGGTGCGTTTAGACACTCAGTTTTTTGCTTTTTTAATGATGTGATTTTTCTCAGAGGGCAGGACACATATACAACTGCGAGAGCTGCCACGTTCAGCTGTCCTCACCGACTTGCGCAGACTATGCATTCGCAACAAACTTCTAGGTGTAACGGATAGTAAGCCTCGTTACCCGTAATGTGACGTATACGACGCAGTTCATTCTATGTCACTAGTTGCCATCGACTATCACCGCTTCCTCCCTACAGGACGTGCATACCTCGCCCTCGCTCACACAAAGCACTTGCAGAAGAACCTGCAAGCACTCGACAAGGCATCTGTGGGCAGTCTGCCAATAAAAGCCGTGTCAGCCCCTCCCCCACGATCCGGTCATGGGCTGGACAAGACAAGGACGGAACGCAAGGTTTTTTCTGGCAATGGTCCTCATGGTGGGATATCCTCCCGCTTGAAGCATGTCGTTATCTGGGGCTTCCCTGGAAAGATCTCTGAAGAAGCTGTTGAAAATTACTTGCGTGATTTCCGGCTGGACAATATAGACAATAAGACTGGGGCCGTCAAAGTCGAGCTGTAAGTTTGGGTTTTTATGACCGCAAATTGCGACTGAGATATGATTTTACCTACAGCACGGCCAACACGTTCTCCTTATATTCACGATACCTGGTTCGGCCCACATCGATTGCTGAGGCTCATCGTCTTGTACGGAAATTACACATGACATATTATGAACCAGAACACTGGGCGAAGAGATACCAATTGCGTGCTCGTGTCGTATACTGACCATCAGCTCATACATCCCATAATTACTATCGTATAGTTTCACATTTTGATGTCTCGCGCCAAAAGTAAGAGTATAAGGAAAGCAAACTGTAACAGCCAGTACTTTCACATTCGTTCGACTTCCATGTCGTCCCGTGAACGATGGTGACCCTGTGACAATGTCAACTACTGAATCACTTGGAACCGGTATGAACATACCATACGAATGTTGTCTCCTTCATCATCTGGTGACCGTCCGCGTTTCCGTGAAGGAACCGCTGTTTCGGATTCTTTCCAGTCACCGCCTCCTCCAGCAACCGCACCAGGTCCTTCTTGTGCATCCGCGTACCGTTCTTCCACTTCTCTGCGGCGCTCAGCCTCAAGCCTCTGCGCTTGTGCACCCCATCCGCCTCGTCCTGGATCATAATCCTGGCGGTGCTCGTCTCGTACCTGACCGCCACTCTTACCCCGTCCAAATTGCCTGCCCTCCTTATAGCCTAGGTCCAGATCACACCGAATGATACGCTCGTCCAGCTTGGTACCACTAACATACTTCATGCTAGCAAGGGCTTCTCCATGAGTGTAGTACTCCACGAAGCAGAACCCGCATGGTGTGCTGACAGGTAAGGTTTTAGCGTCAGTTTCTGGTCGAGTGCATATGACCACAGTTCGACAAACCGTGTGTTTCGGTCAAGGCCCATAATTATTCGTTTGATACCTCCACCGTCCTCCGGGCTGGCACATTTAGTGAACAACTCATATATTTGCTCTTCTGTGGTATAAAAACTCAAATTACCAATCTATGAGGACTGTGAGTTTACGTTGAGACATATCGAGAGGAAAACCTCACGTATAATGTTGTAGATTTGGAGAGAAGGTCATTCTGTTTCGCGCGTTCTATTCTGGTCTGAGAATCTTTGTAATTTGAAGGCTGATCCAAAGGCTGAACGACGTGCGCCATGGTCAGGAAGCTTGCTAGCAGCTAAACCCAAAGAGATGTTGAGACTGCTCCTAGATAATCAGAAAGGAAAGTATTTACCACGACCACCAACGCGTCAGCTTCACTCAGGACTTTATACGCCAAAACACTTGCTTTAATACCTATCATCATGGAGGACGTAGGAATGGAGATTCAAAGAGAGGTACGTGTCTCACTGATCAAGAACGATTCCATGTCTTATGGAATAATAATATCAGGAGCCCGCCTTCGAGTCTGTCATACTTGAGAAAGCCGCTCTCCATAAAGAATTACAAGAGGAAGATTTGTATACCAAATACAAGAAGCTTGCGCGTCATCTAGAACTTTTCGACATCCAGGAAAGCTACATAAAGGACGAGCAAGCGAATCTCAAGCGCGAGCTCATACGTGCTCAGGAGGAGGTGAAGCGCATCAAATCTGTTCCACTTGTCATAGGGCAATTTCTCGAGGCAATTGACCAGCATACTGGTATCGTGGGTTCGACAACCGGTTCGAATTATGTCGTGCGCATTTTGTCGACATTAGACCGAGAACTTCTTAAGCCCTCGTCGTCCGTTGCCCTTCACCGGCATTCAAATGCCCTTGTGGACATCCTTCCTCCGGAGGCCGACTCATCAATAGCTATGCTTGGAAAGGAGGAAAAGCCTGATGTATCTTATCAAGATATCGGTGGGATGGACTTGCAGAAGCAGGAAATACGCGAAGCGGTCGAGCTTCCCCTCACGCATTTCGACCTTTACAAAAAGATTGGTATCGACCCGCCTCGCGGTGTCTTGCTTTATGGACCACCTGGTATGTTGTTTCCACGCTTGGGTGGTGCGTTCTAACGATGATGTACAGGTACGGGCAAGACTATGCTTGTGAAAGCAGTCGCACATCATACAACTGCGTCTTTTATTCGCGTGGTTGGTAGTGAATTTGTACAGAAATATCTGGGAGAAGGTCCTCGTATGGTCCGTGACGTCTTCCGACTTGCCAGGGAGAACGCCCCTGCCATCATCTTCATCGACGAAATAGATGCCATTGCGACCAAGCGGTTCGACGCTCAAACGGGGGCGGACAGAGAAGTACAGCGTATTCTGCTGGAGCTCCTCAATCAGATGGATGGTTTCGACCAAGGAAGCAACGTCAAGGTAAACATACACTTTCTAAGTAGATTTCTTGTTTTATTAATTGTTTGCCGCTATGACAGGTCATTATGGCCACGAACCGCGCAGATACGCTTGATCCTGCTTTGCTTCGTCCTGGTCGCCTTGACAGGAAGATTGAATTCCCTCTACCATCGAGGCGTGAAAAACGTCTCATATTCCAGGCTGTGACTAGTAAAATGAATCTTGGTCCGGATGTAGATCTCGAGGATTGTATGCCAACTTTCTCGTCAATAATGCTGATGATGCCTTTACTGAACATGACATCTAGATGTATCAAGACCAGATCGGTTATCCTCCGCAGAAATATCTTCCATTGCACAGGCAGCTGGTCTTCAAGGTCAGCTTGTTTTATGGCAGTTCTGTATTCCTAGTAATCGCTCTATGTCCAACAGCTGTACGGAAAAACAGGTATGTCATTCTTCCAGTTGATTTCGAAGAGGCGTGGAAAGTAAGTTGTTTGTGCCTTGTTTGGTTTCGCGCGTGTGGATAAAAATCTCACACTTTTTCTCTCTTCAACAGCAAACCGTCAAACGCTCCGACGATACTCACGAATTTTGTGAGCCCTTGTTCATCTATCTGCGATGCATAGTACTAATGTCATATCACCAATCCAGACCGGTAGTATATGTATCGTAAGCACATTTACAATGGTATTGACTAATGCTGATCTAGACCAACCAGATACCACTGTATTCTACGATTGCAATCACATTTATTCTTCGCCTTCTCGTGATCGCTGGTGCCTGCAAACTATAGCTCTGTCACTTTAGCGTCTCTCTGCTTTCATACGGAGGGGCGCTCATTCTAATGAGCGATATCAAATGACGTCCTGTGACATATTTTTGCCCCACTTGCTTGCCCTCGTGGATGAGCTTAATGCTCAGAGAGCAAGTGAGGTTCACACGCAGGACATATCCCCTCGAACCTGAATCGGTATCTCTAACTTAGCTAACCTGGGCCATCGAAGTTAGGTACTCAAGGTGAGTGGTTGTATGGTGACCGCAAGGACTATACGCTGATAACCTTCCCCATAGATGAATAGATGAATTTTATTGGATACCAAGCGAGATTTATGAGTAGAGATTATTGCTCCTCGACACTCTGGGCGGCGTCGTTAACTCACACGACCGTCCTCATTTTACAGGAGCAACAGGTAAACAGTGACTGAGCCAGTGTGCGCAGTCACCCTCGCAGTCGTCAATTCTTTACATTGGAGGTCTTGAAGACTGTAATGGGATACATCATACATGTCTAAACTACAACTTTATTTTGTTTATTAGATGGCGTTAACAGTGTTAACCTGCAATCTTAGTTTTTCGCGGGTTGACCAAGTTCGCTGGCGCGCTCTGTCGCGACCTGAATTGCACGAGCGATGGTTGAACGAACTTTCCCATCTTCCATAGCTAAGAGGCCCGCTATCGTACATCCGCCGGGAGCTGTTGAGCAAGCAAGTAAAGTATTCATGAGCACAACCAGTAACTTAGGTGAGGGGTTACTCAACTTGTAACCGAGTCTTTTATTTGAGCTGGATGAGCTCCCGCTTGGAGAACCATGCGTGCCGCGCCTTGCAAAGCTAGGCAAACAATGAGCCAGGTTATGATGTGCGACGAGCAGCCTCACTTTGTGCTGCCAGTTCGAGAGCCTCTGCCCTCGGGAGGCCCATCATGACACCCCCATCTGCCATAGCCTCCAAGAATATACACGCAAAAGCGGGACCAGACCCAGAAAGCGCAGTGCATGCATCAAAATTTTTTTCCTCGAGAAAACGACAGCGCCCAATAGACGAAAATATGTTCAAGATGATAGACCGATCGAGCTCGGCCTCCTCTGATATTGGTAGGTTGCTGACTACGGTCATACCCTCCCGAATCTATGCGCATCCTCAAAGACTGTTCACAGATGTGGGGCACTAGAAATACACGTACTCTGCATGGAGTGTTAGGCATTGCGCGGACAACCCTAGTTGTCGGGGGGACCCATCCAGTGAGCTGGGATATAGTCACACCAGCAAGAATGCTGATAAGTAATTTGCCAGCCAAAGCCTCCTGCATCCCCATCTGCAAAAGAATAACATGGGCCTGGTGAGGCTTGCAGCTAAAGATGATTCAGGGAAACGAAATATTAACAAACTGATGATACATACCATAGAATAATAACATCTGCTTGTTGAACAGCTGTAAGGTTCTCGCCGACGACAACTTGAACGGAAGAACCAAGACCTCCCAAGAGTCCAAACGTATGTTGGAGCCTTTGTGCACTCTCTTTCCTTGACACGGTTGCGATGAAAATGGACGGGAGTGAAGGATCAGGAGAATCAGCTGTGGGAGTGCATGTGCCAGGTGTATGTGACTCCCACTTGGGAATCTCGAATGTGTTCAGTCTGGACTGCAAACTGGTGATCACCCCAGAGATGATTGCGACCCCCATAGTCCCACATCCTAGCAAACTGGTCATGAAGCGTATGCGAGACAACATGCAGTCTTTCACTTACCTAGCACACAAAGGGTATATCCCATAATGAAGCACCGTGGACTATCGTGACTATGATCAATACAGATAGAAGGAACAAGAAAAATTTTCGAGTCATCGTATTCATCTGAGCTACATTCGATCGAAACCAGCGGCATTTGCCAATCACCAGTTGTAGAAGGCAACATTTTCCTACCACTTGAAAGACTCAGACCACCGTGACACTCTCGAGGGCATCCCTCGAGAACCATCTCATGCTCGCATTCGTGACGGTAGGTTCAACTAGATTCGATGCTCTTGTAGAGGCCGTTATATCAGAATCTGTCCTCAGCACACTTCGCGACTCGGGTTACGACCGCCTCATTCTTCAGCGCGGTAATTCTGTCATTGACTCATCGGAAGAGCTCATCGGTGAGAGTTGCACTATACAACGGCACGGTGTGGATGTAGAGATATGGAGGTTCAAGCCTTCCATTCAGGTTCAGTGCGAGCAAGCCGACCTTGTCATCAGTCATGCTGGTAAGTTGTCTGCTCTCCTCGAACATAATGTAGCCTAAACTATGAGGAAGGATCGGGAACGATTCTGGATGTCCTGAGGTTAGGAAAACCTCTTATTGTCGTACCCAATCCAACCTTGATGGACAATCACCAAGAGGAGTTAGCGTCTGCCCTTCAGATATTGGGTCACCTAAAGGCGACATCCATTCAGTAGGCCCTTTCATTTATCATAACCAGGTCGTCTAATGAAGCTGATTGTCAGGGATCTCGCATCGACAATTGCATCATTTGAACCTCGAAACCTAGTCCCGTTTCCTCCCTTCGACGGGACTAAATTCTCTAAGCTGGTGGATGAGGAAATGGGTTTCATCTAATGCCATGAAGATTGTGTTGAGTTTTATTGATGAGGAAGCGATTGAAGGCGGATGCTGTACTCAGTACTTTTCCAATATCCATGTCGTACCCATACCACGACGATCCAGTTCATCTGTGAAATGAAACCCGTAAAAAGTATCACGATTATCGATGATCCGCAAGTACACGAAGACCAACACGTTCATGCCGTGTATGACCAGATTGCCTCTCACTTTTCATCCACTCGGTACAAGGTGCGATCTGCTGTATCGTAAATTCAATCATCATGACTTGATCGCCTCTTGCAGCCTTGGCCTATCATAGCCAAATTTCTCTCTGATCTCCCAACTGGCTGGATTGGTCTGGACTCGGGAACAGGGAATGGAAAATATCTTCCTCTGCCTGCAGATCGCCCTGGTAGTGTACTAACAATCGGCCTCGATCGAAGTCGCAACTTGCTCCAGATCGCCCAGCACGCTGGGAGTGAGCCCGGCTGTCTGATCACTCGAGAGGTTGTTTGGGGTGATGTCCTTGGAAGTGGTTGGAGACCAGGCATATTCGTGAGTATCAACAGCTGCTATTCGTCGTAGGGCGACTCGTCTTGACTGCCTTTCGACAGGATTATGCTATATCTATAGCTACAATCCATCACCTAGCATCGCATGACCGTCGAAAACTCGCCGTTCAGGTTAGGTCTGCTTTTGTTTAGACAGAAGGTCTATCACTAACACGATCTGTAGCGTCTTTTACAGGCCGTCTCCCCAGTCCACGGACGCGTGATGATCTATGTGTGGGCCATTGAGCAGGACGAACTATCCAAACGATCGATCCCAGCTAGTGACACCGAAGGATTGGATCACTACCCTATGACTGGCGAAGATGTATTTGTGCCCTGGGTCATGTCTCAAAACCAGCACACCACGAAAGGGAAATTCAAAAACGACGTCCCCTCTTCAGCTACATCGAAAGAAGTCGCGTCAGCTATCTCAACGTTAGCGGTGGAGACTCCCGTATACAACAGATACTATCATATGTTTGCAAAGGGCGAACTTAAACAGCTCACGGTCCAAGCAGCTGAAGAGTTTGGACTCATGGTTGGATTACGAGAGAGCGCAGATGCTAAGGGATGCAGAGGCGTTGAGATTATCCAAGAAGGATGGGAACGGTCGAATTACTATGTCGAGTTACGGTGCTGGGTATCTTGACTCATCATCCTATGTGGGACGTACCCGATGCGAATAACTTGCACGAGTAAAGCAGTGATATGATACAGTGACGAGAAACCAGAGCACTGAGCAAGACAGAAGATTATTCGCTCGCTGCCATAACTATAGGTAAAATTGAGCCAGAGGGATAGAGGGAATCAGTAAAACGACTCACTGGCATTGATCAGATCTCCTCCGCTCTCTTTCAATACTCTGACAGCCTTGGCCCTTGAGCAGTTGACTTGTGCCATGACTAACTCAATGTCTTTAGGATCAACACCCGTCTCATCAACTGGTCCGTCGTCTTCTGGTGCTTCGAGTTCTGGGATGTCGTCGTCATCATCACCCTCGCCGCCCACACCAGAGTTTTCAAGGTTGATCCCTGCACCTGCACTGCCAGTAGAAGCAAGTTGTTGAGCCGTAGATAACTGAGCTTGCGAGTTCATGTCCTCAATCTATGGGAATGAGACATCGATAACCAAATATATATCCATCAGTCTGACGCACCTTTGCTTCACCAAACACGATGTAGCAGTCGCTGTTTTGCGACTTGTAGACATCGGGAGAAGAGAGAACGAATAACACGTTCTTGGGCCTGCGGAGGGTCACGCGGGTAATGCTGGGAACCTTCTTCAAACCCAAACCAAGAAGAGCTTTTCGGGCCTTTCGCTCTGAACGAGACTGAATTTTGTCGAGAGCAGCCTGGGAGGTGGGGTCCTCCTCGTGGTCATGGTCAGAGTGGTCCGAAGGGAGTTCTTCGATGGTAGCGGACATCTAAGGGACGCGTCAGTGACGTGTTCGGGTACATCTGAAGTGAGCACTGTCGATCCATCCAAAGACTCTCGATTCGTCACAAGTAACGTATCCCGAGACTTTTCAATATCTGAAATGACGCTCACCTTTAATTCTATGAAGTTTTTTTGAATGGATATGTACTCGTCGTCGTCAACAGCGAGCAAGCAGAGTCAACCTGTGAACTCGGCGTTTGCCGAAAAAGGCAACCCCCGCACCCGAGGTGAGCGGCCCGACCCATACATATTTGCGCAACTTATTCAATAAAACCATCTATGCAATCATTGGTGATGTCCATGTAATTCACTTTCTCTTTCATCCACTTCAAATGATTTCATGACACGGTCACGACGTCATCAATAACTTCCAGTGCGATAAGGCATTCGCATTAAAAAACACTCCTGTCCTTCAGAGCTACAAGCTTCATTCACAACGAGTCCAGCCACCAAGTACTATGTAAAGGTGTCTGACACGGCTGAGGCCTGAGGCCCGACGCAGCAACTTGAATGATGACCTAGTCACTATCAATAACACTCAACAGCATCTTCAAGTCAGCGCATTCCACATGCTCGCACAACTTGCACATGCAGTTCTTCCTACTGAGCATCCGGTGTTTCACTATTCCTGCAACCATTCCTCAGAGAATTTTCATCAGGTAGGACGTTGAATACGTGTGGTGATCTGTTTTGTTTCTCATTCATTAGCGAGGGATCTACGACTCCAACGTACCTGATGCTAGGTTGATCTGTATCACAGGTGACGGTGGCATTTAGGCGACGATTTGTTCGTTACTAATTGCTGTGCAAATTTTCAAGTCGCTCTCCAAAGAAGAGACTCACACAAGCGCGAGGTTTGTCATTTGGCTAGTATCTCTCCCTTCATTTGATCCATGCCTTGAGGTAAGCTTTAGCGATGCACGGGAAAATTATTTTAATAACTCCTCTATTAGACGAATGTGTTGTTCCGAAGGAGTGGCGTGGAGTGTCTATGCCCAAGTCGCCCCAAGTATCTTTGTATGTTTTGTGAGTGACACAGCTGCTGAGCGCTGGACAAACAGCCATGTTGCATTTGCATCAGACTTATGAAAAGACGATCCGTATGTGAGCTTTCGACGATTGCTTTTAACTGCCGCTTGGACCCCTTACCTAATGTCTCGGGTGCCACCCAGCGACGAGGCGTCCATCGCCAGGATGAGTGCTTGTGGGATTTCATCATCAGCGAAGCAGTTGCGTAAAGGTATTCGCCGCGGTATCCGACCGATAACAAATAAGTTGTACGGGTATAACGTTCAAGTCGGAAGAAACCTGAATTGAGAAGGAAGATCGTGCAAGTATCCTATTAAAAGTTAACTGTTAGCATAGACATGTAACAATTTGAAGTCAGGTGGGAGGACTCGGGGCAGTGGGCGCTTATACGATGTGACATAAAGCTACCACTACAAAACCCTGATCTCTCAGTGCCCGCCCTGCTTATGTCGATAACAACTCTGTCCCACCAGGTCCGCATAACATTAGAAGAGGCTCCAGATGATGCGCGACTAGAACAGGCTCTCCAGGTTGTAGATGAATTTGTCCGTGAATGTGCTACATCTAAAGAGCCAGATGTTTTACTCTTCCAACTGGAAGAGGAACTCCAATCATTCCACAGCAATACAATCACTCACAACTCCCTCCAGCACACTGCAGTACTATTGGCCATCCTATTTCGTTTGCGCCCCTTGTTAACATCAATTTCACTCATCTCTACATGGTTCGACCTAGTTCTTCGTCCTGCCTTGCGAGAACCACGGCTCTCCACTCCGGCTGTCAATCACGCCAAAGAACTAATCATCTTAGCAGCGGTTGGGACAGACGAAAAGCATCCCGAGAAGGTGGCCGAATTTCGACGTCGCCTCCTTGACCTTTATGTTTTGGATGCATACAATGAAGGATCTGGTGATGACTTGCTGGAGTGGGCCGAACTCGACCAGGAACAGAGGGAGAAAAGATCGCTGTGGAAGTGCAATCTAGAAGATGTTCTCGTGAAGTCTGGGTTGCGTCGGCTTCAGGTACCCGACAGATGCAGTTTGTCTCATCCAGACGTACTGAAGAACGTGCTTAGGATTTCATGTCCGCAATAAACTACTCCTTTGCAACACCGTCGTTGCGTCTGCAACTATTGATCCTGCTCAATCGATACACTTCAGAGCCGTCGTTCCAGTCCCTTGCAGCAGCACTTGCCGACCATCCTTTGTTAGATAGTCTCCTCAACTCGCTACTACTGGACAATTCTTCGACGGTGTGCACCATTGGATTGACCGTCATAGTCAAGCTTCTCCCTATCTTTGCTGTAAAAGCATGTGAGAAGCTGAAGACGATGCTCCCTCGTCTTCTTGCAATTCTTGCCAGAATAATATGCTGGAAGGCAAGATCCGTTCCTAAACCGGCATTTGAGGAGGGAGCTGAGGATACAGACGAAAGCTCTGCAAATGGCGATGCACAAGCATTAGCGTATAACGAGTTCACTGCATCCTGTGACCTGCCCTTACGACCTGAGCTCGGCTGGGAAAGGCTGGAGCTCATGTTTAACGCAGCATCTTCCACTCCACCACCTGGGATTTATTTCTCCTGCCTCTACTATCTTTTCCCATGTAACTTGCTCCGCTTCCTACGTGGTCCATCAGCGTACCTTAACGATAGACGCTATGAATCTCCCTTCTCTATTAGTTGGGAAGATGTTCTCGATGAGGACAACATAAGGAGCAAATCAGAGGTGCGAAATGACCATTTATTTCGATTCTTGTGACTGAGTGGAGCTTGCAGTCACTTTTGCGAGGAAGAATCGTCAATTCAAGAGTCATATGGGGAGATTGGAGGAGGGAGTTGACAGAACCCGATACGTGGGCAAATTACAGTGTCTCTCGCATCGCCAGCGAGTGCACGATGCTTGATGTGCGAAATACAGCTTTAGGTAGCAAGCAGTCCTATGCTGGCATCGCGTCAGCTGCTTCAGAGCCATCGCTCCTCGGGTCAACTACCATATTTGACGGAGATACTTCAACGGCACCAACGCCTCACCCTGGCTACGCAGAACTGCCAGCTGCAAAACCCCGCATCTCACTGGAGAGCATGATCACGGCATCCGTTGCACTCAAATCCAACCTGGATGTGGAGATCGAGGCCCCAACCGCCGCCTGGTCATCTCTGTTGTTTCCTACAGGGAGCAGTTCTCCGACAAAGCGCGCTTTCGATATACCGTCAGAGCCAAATACTTACAATGAACAACAACTTCCATCTCACGTTGCACAGGCAATTTCTGGTCTCCAACGTGAAGTCCTACTTCTGCGAAATGAACTAAACTTTGAGCTTTGGCTTTCACGGGAGAACGTGAAACATATTGGGCGTCTTTACCAAGATCGGATTTTGTCGAAAAATGCAGAAGTTGAGCAACAGGGGCTGGTGTGTGTTTTGTTCTCGAATTATTCAACTTGCTGATCATTATCTCATAGTTCAACAAGCTACGCCACTACAGAGCCGAGGTTCAGCGGTTAGATCGTCAGCTGAGGGATCACAGGGAACAATCATCATCTGCAAAGAACAAATATGCTGATTGGAATACCGAACTGCAGAACAAGCTGAAAGAGTTTCGGGAGGAGAAGAAGGCATGGGTCTCTGAAGCTGCCTCGCTACGGACGGCGGAGAAAGAAGCTCAGGTAGAACTTTATTCAAAATCAGGATTATATATTAATTCTTGCCTAGGCTCTTTTTGCTGCTCAAGGACAATTGCTCGCGGATGCAGTCAAACAAGTATTTGAGCTTGAGACTCAGAGGAAGGAAACTCAGCACAAGGTCGACCGCCTAAGGGACTACGAGCGACAGATTGAGCAGCACATTCGCATGCAACGTCTCTGGTTCGACTTTCTCACATTGGGTTCCGCTATGATGTTCGCTGACTTGTTTGTAGGGATGCAGACTTCCAGAAGTTCAATGATCGGGCTGAAGAGCTCCAACAACTAAGAACGCAATACAAGCAGATGGAACTACATCTGGAGAGCTATCAAAAGACATTCGAACAAATGAGTGACGATGCTCGGTATGAGTTTCATTGGTTTTGCATGCATCCTGAACAAAACATTGTTGTAGGAGCCATCGACGGCAAAACCAGGCACTAGAGGCCCGTCTTTCTGTACTTCAAAAGAGGTGTGATGCCTCCCGACGCCTTCCGGAGGCTGAGATAGCAGCATTTATGGAAGAGAAGTCGGAGCTTGCCGCAGCCAACACCAGGTTGAGGGAGGAAAACGCTGATCTAAAGGACGAGATGGGAGAGATGAGAGCAAGGATGGAGCTTATGAAGGCTCAGATTGATGGACATAAAGGCCTGATCGGCGAAACGCGATCCATGCCAGCACTATGAACCCCCGACTAGATGTTGAGGTATGACCTTGAGTAATTACTGATGTACAAGGAATCCAGTCACGCAAATTACGTTCACAGAATCAGCTGTTCGCAGCTCTACGAAAGACGCATATATGCTAGCTGTGCTTTTGAATCATGACTCTAGAACCATATAGCTCCAGTCGTTTGATCCACTTTCGCCGTGGTCTCGTACATTTTCCTATGGGATCAGGCCGTAACGAAGCACTATCCTGGGCTTGAATTGATCCAGCATAGTTCTCGTCGACCACCTCGGAAGGTGAGAAAAACCCTACTCTCCAAGTACGCAAGTAGCACATCTCCTGCAACAAGATCAGTCATTTGACATGTAAGTAGCTTGCCGATTTTGATTTGCCTCAACAACGCAAGCAGGTCTGCACTTCACTCACATGTTTCAATGTAACCAGGATGTCATCTTCATAAAATCCTTTTTCCATTCGCTCATGAAGGTGTGTACCCGATCATAGGACTAGAAACCCACATCCATGTGGTGACGCGGCATATTCCACGCATATTTCTTATACTACCTACAAGAGCAATCGTTCACAGTGCGTGAATGTTGTTCTATGAGTCAGGTGTGCTCGGTCAGGAGAGCTGAAGCGTCGAGAAGGCTACCGACATCGAATTTGAGAGTAGGTACATTTTGGAATCGTGTCAAGAACAAACTTGAAATCGACACGTGGATTGCTGTTCATGCTCTCGCAGAATACTGAGGGATTGTTGAGCAGAGTAGGTTGTTTGTGTATTGGAGTGTGCAAAAAGGTATTGGCGCGACTCTGCCTTTACAACTCACAACCCAAGCCTTCAGATGCATTCAAATTCTGAACGTTACGATCTAACTGAGATAACACATGCTAATACTTATACAAAAGGTAAGTTCGTGCAGTCACACATGTCACAGAAAGTCACGGCATCGACGTGGTGTTGACTCCAAATCATCTGCCATCCAGGCGCAACCAATGTGCCAAATCAATTTACAACTTTTGCCCATAGAAGTCCCGCCCACCTTAGAGTAGTTCAGAGCCCCTTCAACAAAGTTCGCATCAAATCGCATTACCATGCATGCTCTCCTTAATTCGGGACCTGCGCTAGAGACAGTTATTGGCTGCGACGATCTTCGCTGTGATTTACGATCGGTGAGTACTGTAGTACTATGAGTGGTTTGCTTTGCATCCAGGATTCAACCCCATTGCTTACCCCATGTACTTTGCAATTTCAATAGTCTAAAGATTCTGCAATCAGTAAGTAGACTGCTCACCGATGGACTGGCAGCACGTCTGGACAGCGACTCGTGTTTCTGCTTTCGCAGTGCTATGGCTTATGGCACAACACGTAGTTTGTTGGCGACTTGGTCAATGCGGTTATTTTTCCTGGAGTATGGACAATTTTCCCTGCTTTATGGGCAATGAAGGCGTTTTTGAATTATTTTGAAGACTGGATATCGATCGATGTGAGGAGTCCAGATTTGTGCCGTGGCATTCGATATTGCCAAAGTCTGCATTATCTGCATAACGGCTGTAGCAGTCGAGACGGGACCATTACTAACAGTGGGCGCGTCCAAGGCCTCGGACTCACCACGACTGACATTATTATTTGACCCAGTTGATGCGTGTGTTGTTCACCATTCAACTCAAGAGTCGAGACTAACTAAACGCTTCCAATATCTAGACCCTTGACGCGTGGAGATTTCGATATCTCGACACGAACGGATAGCTCCGCTATTTCAACGATGCAATTGCCGAATCGAGCTGCGCTGGTCCACAAATCGAAGAATTGTGGACTCTTATTAAGCATTCAGATCCACAATATGGCATTGGTCATTCGTCTGGTGACTTTAGAAAGCTAACCACCAACCACTACCATCCAATACGCTTTTGAGTCTCACAGACCACTCCAACTTCGTTCTTCGCTCTTCGTTAAATCCACTTACTGTCATTCATACTATGGACGCATTCGCATCCATCGCATTCGCAGTTTTACCCATCGAATGATGGTTTCTCAGGAGATTCCGACGGACTCCCAGTTGACCATGAACATAAACCAGAGCTACCTGGTATATTTTGTGTCATTGCTTGATGTCGATCATCGACATGATGTTGCTTCGTACAACAGTGTAAACCCTCTTCTCATTGCTCGCCGATCGAATTCAGTACTGAAGTACACTTTGGCAGTCACCGAGCTTCCGACTACCGCATATTCATCTTCTCTCACCATCAATCTCGTATACCGTCCACTCTTTTGTCGTCGTTTTCCGGTCGTGGTATATGCTGAAGTGACTACTGAAGGTAAAGACGAATAACTTACGCTACGCGATACATTTCTCAACCTTTGCACAATACAGCAGCACCACAATCACCCTCGGTGACCAATAGACAGGGAACAGCGCCCGCGAAAGCGGCCGAGTACGCGTTATATTGATCCTGTTTACGAAAGTCATCTCATCTTCGAAGGGCGGCGCGTCTAAAACGGCCGGCGGGAACGGCGGACTGATGGGGGTACGCCTCACATCAGGGCATTCGCGCGCCCAGAGATGCGTCGGGGACACTGGGGGTCCCCTAGAATAGACCATATTTTCCTCCTTATAGTACTACTCTCCCTATGACATAAAAATGGATATGCGTATGTATAAAAGACAGGGAACAGGCTGAGATTGGCACACCGGCACAAATAGGAATAGAACTTTACGCGTACCGAACGAGAATGAAGCAAAGTCTTCAACCAATATCAGATCATGGAAGTGTATAAGAGCGATTTCTGCACAGTACCGAGACGTATAGACGAAATTGAAAACATAGCAGACACATCTAGTGCGGCGGTCGAGCATACAAATTTGAAGTACATGAAGTATGGACTCGGATGTTCCTCACTCCTACAAGCTCGGGACATCAAGTTATACACCACATCTGATCGACCGCTGTGGCATGGACACGAACTCCCGTTCCTGGATCCCGATCTGAAGACCAGAGATACATGTAACCAATAATTCTGCACACAAACTCAGTCAATTGCATCCCACCGTCCACTTCGACAGTGTCCTCCACGACCACGATCGCGGCAGCGGGATGCATACAGAATGGTCATCATGCCTGACTATCACTGCTAAATTCCGCTGCAGCGAAATTTCCCGACGTTCCAGTATTGGAAGATCAGAGAGTCGCCCTGCAGGCACTTGGGCAGATGCTACCGAAACATATATATGAACTGATTCTGTCGGCAGGTGCGATAACAAGGATCAAGACATCGAGCGACCCAGAAAAGGACAGCAGATTGCATGGGTACTAAATTAGTACAATGGGATTACATTGGTCGCCTCAATTATTCTTGAATCTCCAGCACGACCCACTTGCGTGTCAGCAAATTGAAGATGCTGCCAAAAATCAATGTCATGAGCGTACAGCTGAGGATAATGACGTTATAGGGCATGCTGAAATCCGGGGTGGGGAGATCGACGAGGAGGTTCGGGGTATAGATCCTCTCCCAATCATAACTCGAAGAGGTGTCGTGAGACGATTGAGAGAGCGGGAAAAAAACGGCCCCTGGTAGATCCCAGCCTCTCATCGCATCAGGTGGATGTTCGGTGTATCTGAGAAAGGCTTTGTTGACCTCCATGGATATTTTGAGCGTGGTCTTTGGTGGAATTGTGAGGACAGCTTGCAACATCGAGGGAGAGAAGTGGTCATTAGATTGTAGCGAAGGTGGATTATATTTCAATCCTGAAAGTAAGTCGCCTAGATACACCAGATAATCAGTAAAGACAATCTTTCCATAGCCGTAGGTCATACTCCGTATCTGTGAGTTTATTTCGACTTTCAGGGTGTGCATCCACAGCGTGAGGAGTGCAGGCATCATCTCCAGATAACCTACCGATATCTCCTGGGGAGAATTGTTGGTCGCAGACACAGATAGAACGCCTCGTGTTTGCGTTGTACCATGAATTGTTCGCTTTACGCTAAGCGGAGTAACCGGTGTTAATGGTGGCAGCGCTACGTTGATAAATCATCAGTAAGCTGGTTGTACGGACAGAGAGAGACTTACGATACTGGAAGCTATGCTCATTTGGCCAGTACATGGCAATGTTGAACGGAGTTGTGAAATTAGATGCTTAAACATGTTATTGGTTCAAGTTTATTGCAGAGAAATACCTGTACGACGCACAGGAAGATAAATCATAAATGGCTGAACTGTCGACATGGGCAGGATTTTCAGGGGTTATTTTGTGGTCCTTCCCTTCCGGTAGAGTAACAGTGATGGAACTAGAACTCGCTACCGGGCATGATCGTTCAATGGAACGATCGAACAGTGATTCAAGATTCCAGTCTGTCAGCATTGTCAGTGAGAGTTATATCACGACTCGGTGACTAGTTCACCTCGTCTCTTCCCTGCGCTGGTTCGCACTGGATTGAATACCGCTTGTAAGGTCAGCTTTAATTCAACACCAGTGTCCTCCTTCCATATAACGTGAACCCCCATGCCATGCCAGTCCGCATCAAACACCTTCTGGGGATTGAGCAGTGCAGCAAGCCCTGCATGGCTCTTACACGGAAGTAGCTTCAAGAAGGGTGTTAGATTCTCCGTGCAAACGTTTTCTGAAGGAAGTGAGGCGTGCCGAAGTTCGTGTGGGGAAAAAGTAGGGGTAGACCCAGATAAAGGAAAGGCGACCGTCGGTGACAATGTTCGTCTAGAATCTAGCGACCCAAGAGAAGCACAAAAGAGTCCTGAAAGTGCGTTTCGGAGACCGGACCATCGTTCATCCACTCTGACAGATTGAATGAGTGAAGGTGATCATGGCTAGTTGTTGAAGATACACACGTCGTTGCCTCACTAGCGCCCATCCAAGCCCATAGCTCAGCTCCAGTTCCAACCCCAGCTTCATGAGGATGCCCCCAGTTGTCATAATTCCATTTTCCAGCGTTGAGAGTCAGGTGCAGCTCGGTGACCGCGTATTCGCGTAGGATTTGACCAAGAGTCAGTGGGAACAGGGCGTAGTGTTGGGCTGCGCAGCTTGCGTATTTTAGGAGTGAAAAATGATGATGGTAGACTCACATTCATCTCGTTTTCCTAAAGCGTTCGGATTTCGCGGAACTGCACCCTCTAGAACAGTCACGAAAGAGAATGTCGTCGATACTCGTCCATCTCTAAGTGATTGTATTTGAAGATCTTCCCTATAAGTTTCACCACGATATAGAGCAAAGGATGGTGTACACAGGTAAGCTAAGAAAATCCAGACTGAGGCGCGACGCATTTGGTCTACAACTTCGAAAGCAGGAGCTTCAAAACGATATAATGTCACGTGATTCCCGCTACCATTAGGGGAGTGGGTACTGTCGGTTTTGATTTTCACGTTTTGGCAATAGTAAGTTCGTGCAGTCACAGATGTCACAGACAGTCACGGTATGGTGGTGTAGTTTTTTCCAAATCATCCACCTTGAAGTTCTGCCATCCAGGCGCAACCAATGTGCCAAATCAATTTACAAGTTTTGCCCATAGAAGCCCCGCCCACCTTAGAGTAGTTCAGAGCCCCTTCAACAAAGTTCGCATCAAATCGCATAAACCATGCATTTCTCCTTTCTCGTCTTCTTTACCACTGCTTTGGCAGCATGTATGTCTGTCACTGCATGCTCTCCCTAATTCAGGACCTGCGCTAGAGACAGTGATTGCTGCGACGATCTTCGCTGTAATTTACGATCGGTGAGTACTGTAGTACTATGAGTGGTTTGCTTTGCATCCAGGATTCAACCCCATTGCTTACCCCATGCACTTTGCAATCTCAATAGTCTAAAGCTCGTGAAATATTCTACAATCACTAAGTGGACTGCTCACCGATGGGCTGGCAGCACATCTGGACAGCGAGTCTCGTGTTTCTGCTTTCGCAGTGCTATGGCTGATGGCACAACACGTAGTTTGTCGGTGACTTGTTCCTGGAGTATGGTCAATTTTCCCTGCTTTGTGAGCAATAAAGGCGTTTTTGAATTATTTTGAAGACTGAATATCGATCGATGTGAGGAGTCCAGATCTGTGCCGTGGCATTCGATATTGCCAAAGTCTGCAACGGTTGTAAGCAGTCGAGACGGGACCATTACTAACAGTGGGCGCGTCCAAGGCCTCGGACTCACCACGACTGACATTATTATTTGACCCAGTTGATGCGTGTGTTGTTCACCATTCAACTCAAGAGTCGAGACTAACTAAACGCTTCCAATATCTAGACCCTTGACGCGTGTAGATTTCGATATCTCGACACGAACGGATAGCTCCGCTATTTCAACGATGCAATTGCCGAATCGAGCTGCGCTGGTCCACAATTCTTGAATTGTGGACTCTTATTAAGCATTCAGATCCACAATATGGCATTGGTCATTCGTCTGGTGACTTTAGAAAGCTAACCACCAACCACTACCATCCAATACGCTTTTGAGTCTCACAGACCACTTTAACTTCGTTCTTCGCTCTTCGTTAAACCCACTTACTGTTATTCATACTATGGACGCATTCGCATCCATCGCATCGCAGTTTTACTCATCGAATGATGGTTTCTCAGGAGATTCCGACGGACTCCCCGTTGACCATGAACACAAACCAGAGCTACCTGGTATATTTTGTGTCATTGCTTGATGTCGATTATCGACATGATGTTGCTCGTACAACAGTGCAAACCTCTCTTCATCGCTCATCGATCGATTCAGTACTGAAGTACATTTTGGCAGTCACCGAGCTTCCGACTACCGCCTATTCATCTTCTCTCACCATCAATCTCGTGTACCGTCCACTCTTTTGTCGTCGTTTTCCGGTCGTGGTATATGCTGAAGTGACTACTGAAGGTAAAGACGATAACTTACGCTACGCGATACATTTCTCAACCTTTGCACAATACAGCAGCACCACAATCACCCTCGGTGACCAATAGACAGGGAACAGCGCCCGCGAAAGCGGCCGAGTACGCGTTATATTGATCCTGTTTACGAAAGTCATCTCATCTTCGAAGGGCGGCGCGTCTAAAACGGCCGGCGGGAACGGCGGACTGATGGGGGTACGCCTCACATCAGGGCATTCGCGCGCCCAGAGATGCGTCGGGGACACTGGGGGTCCCCTAGAATAGACCATATTTTCCTCCTTATAGTACTACTCTCCTTATGACATGAAAATGTATATGTATATGTATAAAAGACAGGGAACAGGCTGAGATTGGCACACCGGCACAAATAGGAATAGAACTTTACGCGTACCGAACGAGAATGAAGCAAAGTCTTCAACCAATGTCAGATCATGGAAGTGTATAAGAGCGATTTCTGCACAGTATCGAGACGTATAGACGAAATTGAAAACATAGCAGACACATCTAGTGCGGCGGTCGAGCATCCCAATTTGAAGTACATGAAGAGTCCATCATGATAAGCATGAACATATGAATAACCATCCTTTGTCCGAGTCCAACGCCTCGACGATCCAAAAATCCCTGACCCAGACACACCTACTCCTCCCTCTTCCTCTTCCGTCCCACTTCAGTAGTAGGTCCATCGCCGTCGTTGGCTTCACTGGTATGGACTTTGGCGATGTAAGCATATGATTGCAATGAAACGCTCTGAACTACAAAGTTAAGAGCGGCGACCTCGCTTTCAGTGCTGGGCGAGGATACCCCTTCATCTTTATTGCATTCCTCTGATTCATCACTGCTGATGATTAGGAAATTCTTCTGAAAATGTTAATCAGTGCGATCCTTTGGTGAATAATTATTAATACTGACGGAATGCTTGTTGTTCTTCTGATCCTCCTCGATGACGTCGCTCGCTTTGGGCAAAGAGTGTTTTATGATGACCACTTTTTGGACATCAGCTACCAGTTGATCTGGGTGAAGATTGGGGTAATGCGGCGAGACCGTCATCGGCTTGACTTTGATCGAATACGTCGGGGTAACTTTAAGAACTTTGCCCTCGAGCCGGGGCCAAAGTTTCAATGTGACCTTGTTGTTGATTCGAATGACCTTTCCGGGAATCATGGCAGTTAGAAGTGAGCACGAAGTAAGAAGGAAGGTTTGTTCTGCGATGCAGCGTTTACTGGGGTGAGTTTGGTAGCTACCTCCGGACCCCCATCCTTTAAACAAGTTAGAGTTGTGGACGCATTATTGCGGGCTTGTGTTTGTATCCACAACAGACATGCAGCATTGGATTCGACTATGCTTCGGATGGTCATTGATCGCCAAATCTGTGAGGGCTCGTGGTTTGAGCACAGCGATAAGAATGGCGGACGCTTGTGTAAGTGGATGTTGTCGGTCAATGCGGGAGCACCTCCACAGGCTCCACTGGCATTGAGATTGACCATCGTACGTGACAGTCCAGTGAGTTATCCGCCCGCTGGTTCAAGGCATGCATACAACGACTTCAAATTAATGAAGCATCAGCACTAGATTTCTGGTTCCGAGAATTATACACCTCACTAGCTGCTGAACGTCCCGTAGGATTTATTCAAGATTGACGCGTGGATACTTGGCCAAAGGAATACAATGAGGCATCGACTAGTATGCGTAAGCTCGGGCCATTGTTAATGAAGTACTTACTATTTTTCTAAATCTTCGACCGACGTTCTATATATTATTCCACTGCTCATGCTGTTCATGCATGATAATAAAGGTATTGCATTTGGTCCTAAGACTTGCATCGTATGTTTGTCAACAATGACTTCCGAGTCGACCTCGTATCGAAAAGCCAACAGTTTGCTTCATGTACTGCTTTGTTTGTTGCAGGTACGTGGCATGATGAACAGCAGTAATAACTAGCATATATTACACACGACGTGCGAAACTTATTGGGCATGGTTCAAGACGGCAAGGAAACGCACTGCATTGGATTGTTGAGCTGGGCTTCGAATAAGCATAGAGGACCGGGATTGTGTGAACAGAAGAGTTGGTTGAATGAAAGACTGCAAGGAGGATGCAGGAAAGAAGTAAGGGTTTGATTTGTCGGAATCCACGAGCACTGAGGAGCGCTCACAGTGTAGGTGCGAATGCTCGAATCGTCAACTTGTTCTGAGATTTCAGTTTGTCTAACTTCACTGAAGAACACACCAAGATAATACTTTGCGGAGCACTTGGCTCCTGTGTGAACGACAGGACAGGGTAGGACTCGTCTCCTGCACCGAGTTGCAAGTTCGTAATTGTGTCTGAGACTCTAAAAACAGTGAAAGCAGTGAATGGATTGTACAAGTGTTTTCTGGAGACCCTCAGACAAGCGAAAAGGGGGCAGCCCTGAGTTCTCGCATCATAAGAAAGTATTTTTCGAAAACTAGAACTTTGAAGTATTCTTAGTAGATGTCCGAAATCAAAATAGCTAGCGCTCATATCACACGTGACACCAGAAATTGTCGAGATGAAGTAAGCAGGGTGGTCGCAATACTATTGCTTTGGAGTTCAATGTTCATCGTTATTGTTCGCTTCCATGTAAGCTCTTTTGTCGTTTCTTCCACTATAATCAATCTACAGGCCCTTGTGGGTATCGAAGATAACCAAAAAATGGTCTGTCCACAGCTGTAACTCATTTAAAGGACGCGGGTCTGCAAGGTAGCTATCAAGTTCGTCCCACTTAAAGTCACTTCATTCCCCATTCCTCACATCACTGTTTACCATGTCGTCTGACTATATTTTGCGTCTTGGCCCCAAGGTCACTCTTAAGCTCAAGACTTCCTGTCCAAGACCAGCAAATTCAGATTCGTCTAATCAGAACTCTGTCTCAGCGTGCCCCCAAGTACAAGCCTCACAAAACCACAAAAAGAGATCTCGAGATGCTCGAGATGAAACCGATACACCTGCCATCCTATCCTCTTCCATCTCGCCCCTGCGTGTCATAGTACCATTAAAGCAAAAGATTACCAACGGAAAATCGGACGCTGGGCATTCACAAAACAATGAAGCAAATGCTTATAGCTATGGCTACGCGTCGGAGCACCTCCCTCAAGATTGGGAGATGTCAGATCCAGCCAACCCTCCTGGCGCGCCCATTCCTACCCAAGTTCAACTGCAGGACGACTGGGAGATGGCATCTTGGTTAGCATTTCATGTCTTTTCAATGGTATGGGAGGCTGATGACATGTCACAGATAGGTTTTCTTTGTGATATAAAAGGGTTATAAAGGGAGGTCTCAAGGACTGTCGAGGGAACTTTAGGTGTACACTGTACAAGCGCCGCTACTGTAATTGTCTCGGAAATGTACGTTGTTGAATATCTCCTCGAACAAAGCATGGTTACATCGTCTCGCTCGCGATGGTACGTGTGAGCATTTCGATCGCTTGATGCTGATGTTCGTGTGTGAAACACGACTCAGTTGATCAAGGCTCGTAGACATTTCCACACGCAGGTGGCTTGGTCAACAGTAATACTGGTGAGTCGGCTAATGATCATCATAAGTTAGTACGTCAAACCTCCAATTCTGGCTCTTGCCCGTGAATCTCCATGCTCTTCATAACGTAGACATTCGGTCCTAGCGTGCGACTCTTTGGCTAGATGATGAATCGTGGGTTAGGTGCGAAAATGATTGCTGAAGTCTCACCGTTATGATGCTCTTATTCGATTTTCTCAGCGACTGCTTGAACCGTGACCATACTCACGGCGTGAGCACCTGACCGACGTTCTTTGCGCATATAACTCGAAATAGCGCTGTCGAAAAAAGAACTGGTATATATGACAGGTGCAGAAAGCAAGTCCTCCTTGTCATTTCTCGCCTTCACGGTAGCTTTGAGTCTCACACGAGCCAGGTGCTTTTCACAACGCTATCCTGGTGTGATCATAATATATGGTAGGTCGACTGAGGAATCGGAAAAGGAAAGGTCTGTATCAAAATGGCCCAATCCTCCGAGTCGTGTTCCTTTGGCCGACCTTGAGTATATCTCACAGGACCCCGGCAGCTGATAAGGTGCGTCATTCTTGTAACCTAGGACCGCCGGTCTGTATGCTGATACTTTGTTTGTGTTCCCGTCTATGCATTACCTCATTAGCTCACAGACCATTCGTCGGACCGTCATGGTGGTCGATGTCAGTGGTCGCAAAGTGCTTCTGTATTGACCATCATTGTTAGTTTTCAAGCGTTTCCATCGTTCTTACCACCATGATCAATCCACAGGCCCTCACAGATGTGGCGGTTGATACCGTTCATGGCTTTGTTGAGTCCAACGTCGCAATTTCGCTATGACTGTTTGAGGACAATTACACTATGGTGCGTCCTAGTTTTTAAAGGATGCCTGTCTGCAAGGTAGCTGGCAAGCTTTCCTACTAAACGCTGCCTCGCAGAACAAACACTCAAGTTCACTTCCTACTACCTTGTCCTCACATTACTCTCCATAATGACTCTACCTGGAAAGCTGATCCGAATCAACGACCGTGTCAGCATAAGGCTTATGCCCACGAATCATCTTCCACCACGCCTGCAACGCCTTCTCCAGCGCCAGCAGGTCTCCAACATTTCTGAGCGCTCCAACTCGGCACCCCTAACCATAGAGGAGCCAGCAAGCACAGCGATAAGTCTGGCTCAATCAAACCCACTGGCTATAACAAAGCCGCCTTGCCCTCGAAAGAGAAGGAACCAGAGGAGTAGAGAAAAGGAGAACCATATCGCATCACCCATCGCCTTAAAACGGCGCCGCCGCATTCGCGCAAAACTCGACCATTCTGCAGTCTCCAACACACATAGTACTACTACTAATTAGCTACATAGATTTAAGTACGATACCTCGGGGCCTCTTGACCTTGTTTTCCGTGTCTGAGACATGGTTTGTTTGATTTATTCTCGTTAAAGAAAGTACTTGGACATTGGAAGCACTTTGTTGTCGATACCTAAAAATGTAATCAAATACGCACGGTCATCGTCCAACTGCGCCTGCACGTCATTAATATTGCCATCCTTCAACGCGAGCAATGTCGTGACATCTGTTACTTGAAGCTGCCAGTGCCGTAACAAACTGCATGTGGTTCGTCCCGTCTTTAGACATGCCTGGGGCCCCCCTTCCATTTCAGCCGGGTTTCGACATCAAACATGCCCTTGCTAATTTCCTCAGCTGAATGCAGGACAGTGAAATAATTTTCACCCCAGAGAAAATTAATCTTGACATGATTCTCAACCTGTCATACGCCGTACTCCGAGGCTAATGAGGATGATTTGGTGGTGGTTAATCTGGCCGTGAAAGTATCGGGCGAGCTCACACACCTCGTTTAGATCTCAGCTTTGTCTCCTGATACAAAAAATTAGAGGTATTGTTTTGGACATCGAGGGACCGAGGTTACGATGGACCTGATACTTCAGAAGCTCTAGTTTTCGAAAAATACTTTCTGATGATGCGAGAGCTCAGAGCTACCCCATTTTCGCTTGTCTGAGGATTTCCAGAAAACCCAGTCCTCTATGCTTGTTCGAAATCCAACTCATATAGCAAATGCGGAGTACCTGGACTACGTTATACGCAGCTGCTCGCTGGCAAAGAGTGAATTTGAAATTAAAAGAGGAAAGAACATCTTGACGGCAGATGTGCAACCTCGCAGCGTCAGACTCGGAATATTTGAATAAATACACAAGAGGGTGACGATGCAAGCTTCCTCTATCATAAGCAGGCTGGGTCGAGTAGAGAAAGTATTTGCAGTATTCACTGGCAGGCTTATGGTTGAAGACTTTAATCCATTCTCGTTCGGTACGCCTAAAGTTCTATTCCTATTTGTGCCGGTGTGCCAATCTCAGCCTGTTCCCTGTCTTTTATACATATACATATCCATTTTCATGTCATACGGAGAGTAGTACTATAAGGAGGAAAGTATGGTCTATTCTAGGGGACCCCCAGTGTCCCCGACGCATCTCTGAGCGCGCGAATGCCCTGATGTGAGGCGTACCCCCATCAGTCCGCCGTTCCCGCCGGCCGTTTTAGACGCGCCGCCCTTCGAAGATGAGATGACTTTCATAAACAGGATCAATGTATCATAGTGTGCTAGCGGATTGCATAATATATAACGCGTACTCGGCCGCTTTCGCGGGCGCTGTTCCCTGTCTAATTGGTCACCGAGGGTGATTGTGGTGCTGCTGTATTGTGCAAAGGTTGAGAAATGTATCGCGTAGCGTAAGTTATCGTCTTTACCTTCAGTAGTCACTTCAGCATATACCACGACCGGAAAACGACGACAAAAGAGTGGACGGTACACGAGATTGATGGTGAGAGAAGATGAATAGGCGGTAGTCGGAAGCTCGGTGACTGCCAAAGTGTACTTTAGTACTGAATTGATCGGCGAGCAATGAGAAGAGGGTTTACACTGTTGTACGAGCAACATCATGTCGATGATCGACATCAAGCAATGACACAAAATATACCAGGTAGCTCTGGTTTATGTTCATGGTCAACGGGGAGTCCGTCGGAATCTCCTGAGAAACCATCATTCGATGGGTAAAACTGCAATGCGATGGATGCGAATGCGTCCATAGTATGAATGACAGTAAGTGGATTTCACGAAGAGCGAAGAACGAAGTTGGAGTGGTCTGTGAGACTCAAAAGCGTATTGGATGGTAGTGGTTGGTGGTTAGCTTTCTAAAGTCACCAGACGAATGACCAATGCCATATTGTGGATCTGAATGCTTAATAAGAGTCCACAATTCTTCGATTTGTGGACCAGCGCAGCTCGATTCGGCAATTGCATCGTTGAAATAGCGGAGCTATCCGTTCGTGTCGAGATATCGAAATCTCTGCGCGTCAAGGGTCTAGATATTGGAAGCGTTTAGTTAGTCTCGACTCTTGAGTTGAATGGTGAACAACACACGCATCAACTGGGTCAATAATAATGTCAGTCGTGGTGAGTCCGAGGCCTTGGACGCGCCCACTGTTAGTAATGGTCCCGTCTCGACTGCTTACAACCGTTGCAGACTTTGGCAATATCGAATGCCACGGCACAGATCTGGACTCCTCACATCGATCGATATTCAGTCTTCAAAATAATTCAAAAACGCCTTTATTGCTCACAAAGCAGGGAAAATTGACCATACTCCAGGAACAAGTCACCGACAAACTACGTGTTGTGCCATCAGCCATAGCACTGCGAAAGCAAAAACACGACTCGCTGTCCAGATGTGCAGCAAGCCCATCGGTGAGCAGACTACTTAGTGATTGCAGAATCTTTCATGAGCTTTAGACTATTGAGATTGCAAAGTGCATGGGGTAAGCAATGGGGTTGAATCCTGGATGCAAAGCAAACCACTCATAGTACTACAGTACTCACCGATCGTAAATTACAGCGAAGATCGTCGCAGCAATCACTGTCTCTAGCGCAGGTCCTGAATTAGGGAGAGCATGCAGTGACAGACATACATGCTGCCAAAGCAGTGGTAACGAAGACGAGAAATGAGAAATGCATGGTTTATGCGATTTGATGCGAACTTTGTTGAAGGGGCTCTCTAAGGTGGACGGGGCTTCTATGGGCAAAACTTGTAAATTGATTTGGCACACTGGTTGCGCGGCGTGCGCCTGGGATGGCAGAACCAACCACGTCGATACTGTGACTTTCTGTGACATTTGTGACTGCACGAACTTACTATTGTAATATATATCTTTTTCACAGTCCACAGCTGATGAAACGGTATACAGAAGTACCAAGTAGTAGGGAGCGCCAGATATGACACGCTCTTGTATGGATGACAGCAAGTGACAGCTCTCGAAACCACAAAGTAGCTACCATAATACAACAAAGATTCTCATCAAACATGTTTATGACGAGCTGCTTATGACCTCTCCAGCGCTCTCTTGCCTGCTCCTACTTCTTCGTTGCATTCTCGGCTATCCTTTCTCGCTTCCATACTTCTTCGTCATGCCGTAGACCACCCGGGAAGAAAATATCTGTCAACACCACTCCTACTTTCCTTTCGACCTCCTCTGCCTCCTTCAGTGCGTCAAAGACTTTATTGTTGTGTACTTCGTGCACTTGTTTCAAATGAAAGCCCAAAGCTCCAGGCTTGCGACGTGCGCCAGAAGCGATGGCATTCTGCAGCATACCCAGCGCACCGATGAGAAGCGAGTACCAGGAGTTATTGACCACACCAGTCATGCAAAAGAGATGTATCAGCCAGAAAATGGCAAGCAAGAACGTCAGCGGTACTGTTGTCCTCGAAGTCACTTCTCTTCCTGAAGCAAGATCTGCCAGTCTGAGCTCAGCGTCCCTAACCCCTTTACTTTTGATAACCATCACATATGCACCGCCATTCCCCTTTGTGAGACACACGACCTCTGTCTGTGTTTCCTGAATATGACGTGCACTCCAGAGCTCCTTTTGCCATTGAGGCAAAGCAGCTTGGACTTGGACGAGGAGTAGCCCGTTAGCGGTAACGATAATAATCATCCAATTGCCGAACAATGCTCCGGGTATAATGGCTACGGCAAGCTGCAGCATAATGACAATAAACCCACTATAGTATACCCAATCACAATCAGGTACCCCACAGCGCTTGTTTGGAGAGGTCTCGTAAAAGGTGACAGTGAGGCCCCGAGGGGTCTCTCCGGGGAATTCGTAGTCACGGACAAGGCGTGAAAGAGGCCAGGATTTGACATCGCGGGCGTGCCCAGTGCTAACATCAATGAGGGTGCAGGGACAGTCAGGGTCCGGTGCCAAGCGACGAGACCCAATGGCACAAAGAATGGCAGAGAATGCGTAGGCTACCCAGCCAAATGAAAATGCAACAGGAGTAAAGAAGTATGGGGGTGAAGAACAGAGTTGAGCGATTGCGCTTTGCACAATATCACCACCGATGACCGAGAGTATGGTAAGAACATCTGTTGGATTGCTCCATTCAGCCTTGATTAGAGCAAAATTAGTGGAGACTCGAGCTTGAGACATGGTCAACACGCAAGGAGATGATGATCAACAGCCCTATTCCTAGGACCTATTGGTTAAGCCATAAAGCTTATGTAAGTAATCATAGCACGAGGATACCTCGTTGCCAATCCTCGCTTCAACATGGCATGTGTTGGATGTGCAGGTAAGTGGCTCTCTCTTCTGCGTAACTACTTATAACTACGTCCTAGGTCACTGAAAACAATATCATGCCGTTCCAAATTATTTCCTCTATCTGGAGGCGCATTGTAACAACCACCTTATGTGAGCATTCTCTTGCAGTGATCCATTCTTTATGCGACGAAACTCGATTCTCAGGGGTTTTTAACATCTTTCTTGGGGCTTGGCACTCCAAAGGCACTCCCTCACATGACAACCATACGTGAGTCAGATATAATGCACATGATAATGGCACTAATCGTTTCTGAAGGAGTACTTCTAGTACTGGTTGGTCTCTGACCATGCCTAACGTCTCCGCAGACATGCCTCCCCGTCCAGAATTTACCCCATTCACAATTCCATACCTCTGCATTTCCAAGCCATATGATGGGAAAGGGTTCTGGACATATCCAGAGCGCCACGGTTGGATCATACACGCGAAGGACAAGAAATGTCATGTCCTCTGTCCACCAGGCATCTGCCGTGACGGCAGCCTGGCAGACTCTAGGACGCGGGTCCAATCACCGATATTGTCGCGTATCAACGGAATGCCGGTCACTGCCAGTGACAAAGTTGAGTTCCTGCAAGCTTGGCTCTTCTTTGGCGTCCTCACGGAAGTCTCTGCTTTATGTGGACTCGAGCTTGATGTTGAAGCAGAGTTTATTGTTGACAATGGATCTGTCTCCACTGCGAAGCTCAACGGCTTACCGGGGAGATGGTTCGCAGCTGCAATGAAGAAGAATCGAGCAGGTGATCATGCGTTCATGGAACATATTCTATCAATTGTGCGACATGCAATTTTAATGCTTTCTGAAGAGAAAGCCGAGGATCATACCCGGATATTCAAGTATACGTACGCCGAATGTCGTGTCCTGCACTCTCTCGACATCACTGCCCGTATTGTCGCTCTACACCTACTTTTGCATGTATACATGCCCGGGTTTACAGTGACCGATGAGAATGGATGGGGCCGCCAAAGGATCTTGAAAAGCGTGGATTGGCTCTACCGGGAATGTGAGGGAATGGACCAGTTGTCCGATATAGTGGAAACAGAACTCACAGAAAAAGGCTGGTGCCAGAGCGAGATTGACCTGCTAGCATCTGATGACCTGGCCTTCGCATCCCTCCTCACTCGTCCGAGAATCAGGGACCATTCTAGCTGTGGGGATGTTATTTGCAATGCATATCAGACGGATGAGGCGACTTACGTTACGAGGCATGTGCAGGACGGATGCAGCTGCAAATTCGTGGGTGTACCGGCGAGCCTTTTGGTTAATGCATTGTCCCAGAACAAGGTTCCCAAACTGTGTATTACTGGGCAGTTGGAGTTACGAGTGGTTATGGAAGACAACTACCCATATATTGCATTCTCCCATGTTTGTACGTCTCCATTGCTGTCTACCCCTTCCTCCGCTGACCTTCTGTTTCCATCAAGGGGCCGATGGGCTTGGAAACCCGCTCACAAATGCACTTCCTAGATGCCAACTTCGTCGATTGCGGGATTATGCAAACAAGCTATACCGCACACACAATCCTGCACCAACCTCCGAATCGGCTGACTTGCCAGTCGCACTTTGGCTGGATACGCTCTGCATACCCGTCGAGCGAAGTGCAGTAGCGTACCGTAAGAAAGCCATCCAGCTCCTAGGGAAGACTTTCAACGAGGCAGATGCGGTCTTAGTTCTCGATCGGGAACTCGAGATCGTTGAATCTGCTGCGGCGTCGTTTTTGGAACTGGGATTACGCATCCTATGCAGTGGTTGGATGAAACGCCTATGGACGCTACAGGAGGCAACACTGGCAAGTGAGGCGCATAACATAACCCTCCTGTACTTTCAGATGCACGACGGACCTTTCTTGTACCAGAAATATGATCGCAACAGACGTGCGCTACAACGTGTCAACGAACGCACAACCGAGGTCCAGGCAGAGGAGCGGTCTCTTCTTCTTGATGACGGCATGATGCTGGAGCTCGGGGCGCAACTACCGTCTGTGGGCATGATGCGCAATATGCGACAAGGTTGGTCACCATTCAGTGTCATATACTCTGCCATAGAGCATCGGTCAACTAGCAAAGCCGAAGACGTACCGATATGCATTGCCTCCTTATTGGGCAAAGACCTATCTACTATTATTTCCGGTGCGGACGTAGAACAACGAATGGCCAACTTCTACGTTCTCATGCGGGAAGTCCCACTTGGTGTGATGTGGTGCGAGGGACCGGAGAGGCTAAGCATTAAGCCGTTTCGTTGGGCGCCCCTGTCGATCAGTGCCTGCCCGCCGACCACTTTCATGGGGTGGGAGGATTGCGTTTGCGACTCTGCTGGCCTGCATGTCAAGTATGGCGGCTTTATCTTCGCGGAGAGCGAAGAAGAACGACATGATTCGAAGGCAATTCTTCCCCATGTCATCGACATGGTATCTGCCGAGACAGGCGGTGTATTAGGGCGACTCTCTGATCTTCCAATACTGGAACGTCGGGAAATTACGCTGCAGCGGAATTTAGCAGTGATAGTCAGGCATGATGACCATTCTGGTATGCATCCCGCTGCCGCGATCGTGGTCGTGGAGGACACTGTCGAAGTGGACGGTGGGATGCAATTGACTGAGTTTGTGTGCAGAATTGTTGGTTACATGTATCTCTGGTCTTCAGATCGGGATCCAGGAACGGGAGTTCGTGTCCATGCCACAGCGGTCGATCAGATGTGGTGTATAACTTGATGTCCCGAGCTTGTAGGAGTGAGGAACATCCGAGTCCATACTTCATGTACTTCAAATTTGTATGCTCGACCGCCGCACTAGATGTGTCTGCTATGTTTTCAATTTCGTCTATACGTCTCGGTACTGTGCAGAAATCGCTCTTATACACTTCCATGATCTGATATTGGTTGAAGACTTTGCTTCATTCTCGTTCGGTACGCGTAAAGTTCTATTCCTATTTGTGCCGGTGTGCCAATCTCAGCCTGTTCCCTGTCTTTTATACATACGCATATCCATTTTTATGTCATAGGGAGAGTAGTACTATAAGGAGGAAAATATGGTCTATTCTAGGGGACCCCCAGTGTCCCCGACGCATCTCTGGGCGCGCGAATGCCCTGATGTGAGGCGTACCCCCATCAGTCCGCCGTTCCCGCCGGCCGTTTTAGACGCGCCGCCCTTCGAAGATGAGATGACTTTCATAAACAGGATCAATGTATGTGTGCTATGTAGCGGATTGCATAATATATAACGCGTGCTCGGCCGCTTTCGCGGGCGCTGTTCCCTGTCTAATTGGTCACCGAGGGTGATTGTGGTGCTGCTGTATTGTGCAAAGGTTGAGAGATGTATCGCGTAGCTTAAGTTATTGTCTTTACCTTCAATATTCACTTCAGCACATCCCACTACTGGAAAACAACGACAAAAGAGTGGACGGTACACGAGATTGATGGTGAGAGAAGATGAATATGCGGTAGTCGGAAGCTCGGTGACTGCCAAAGTGTACTTCAGTACTGAATCGATCGGCGAGCAATGAAAAGAGGGTTTACACTGTTGTACGAGCAACATCATGTCGATGATCGACATCAAGCAATGACACAAAATATACCAGGTAGCTCTGGTTTATGTTCATGGTCAACGGGGAGTCCGTCGGAATCTCCTGAGAAACCATCATTCGATGGGTAAAACTGCGATGCGATGGATGCGAATGCGTCCATAGTATGAATGACAGTAAGTGGATTTCACGAAGAGCGAAGAACGAAGTTGAAGTGGTCTGTGAGACTCAAAAGCGTATTGGATGGTAGTGGTTGGTGGTTAGCTTTCTAAAGTCACCAGACGAATGACCAATGCCATATTGTGGATCTGAATGCTTAATAAGAGTCCACAATTCTTCGATTTGTGGACCAGCGCAGCTCGATTCGGCAATTGCATCGTTGAAATAGCGGAGCTATCCGTTCGTGTCGAGATATCGAAATCTCTGCGCGTCAAGGGTCTAGATGATATAGGAAGCGTTTAGTTAGTCTCGACTCTTGAGTTGAATGGTGAACAACACACGCATCAACTGGGTCAATAATAATGTCAGTCGTGGTGAGTCCGAGGCCTTGGACGCGCCCACTGTTAGTAATGGTCCCGTCTCGACTGCTTACAGCCGTTATGCAGATAATGCAGACTTTGGCAATATCGAATGCCACGGCACAGATCTGGACTCCTCACATCGATCGATATTCAGTCTTCAAAATAATTCAAAAACGCCTCCATTGCCCACAAAGCAGGGAAAATTGACCATACTCCAGGAACAATAACCGCATTGACCAAGTCACCAACAAACCCGTGACTACGTGTTGTGCCATCAGCCATAGCACTGCGAAAGCAGAAACACGACTCGCTGTCCAGATGTGCTGCCAGCCCATCGGTGAGCAGTCTACTTAGTAATTGCAAAGTGCATGGGGTAAAATCCTGTATGCAAAGCAAACCACTCATAGTACTACAGTACTCACCGATCGTAAATTACAGCGAAGATTGTCGCAGCAATCACTGTCTCTAGCGCAGGTCCCGAATTAAGGAGAGCATGCAGTGACAGACATACATGCTGCCAAAGCAGTGGTAACGAAGACGAGAAATGAGAAATGCATGGTTTATGCGATTTGATGCGAACTTTGTTGAAGGGGCTCTCTGGGCTTCTATGGGCAAAACTTGTAAATTGATTTGGCACATTGGTTGCGCCTGGATGGCAGAACTTCAAGGCGGATGATTTGGAGTCAACCACGTCGATACCGTGACTTTCTGTGACATTTGTGACTGCACGAACTTTACTAGATGATCCAAACCTTTTGTATTAACATGTGTTATCGTCCCCCTGGGCCGCTGTGATTAATCATGTGCGCAAGCTCGCCGCAGTCGTCGTTCAGAATTTGAATGCATCTTAAGGCTTAGGTTGTGAGTTGTCCGGGTCGTGACTACCAATTGACATACCGCAAACTGTCTTTCCCGAATTTGGGATCGGACGATCTGCAGGATGACCGCGGATGTCTATCTGTGACCGGCTTCGACCCCAGAACCGACAGAAAGGCAGAGTACGGGAGACTAGGCACGTTTGTCCTTCCGCTTAAAGTACCTCTCAAACATTACCACATGGTTTGATAAATGTCGCGTATGTGCTTTCATTTCTGAGTCACCATTGAAGAAACCGCATAAAGAGCTTCAAATATCGCAAGGGGGAAGGATGCCCACCCTCCTGTATCACATTGCTATCACTGGTATACAAGACCCGCATTTAAATGGACCTTTATTTTACACAACAAACGTTGTTTTTGATCCCCCATTCTCAGGGTACCCCACACCATCAAATATTCACTTTACCGCAAACCGTTCCACAACGCCCTTCACGAGCTCCACGTCAGGCCTTTCAACCTCTATCACGCGGCGCTCCATCGTTAGAAGCGTCTTGAACGCTTCGGGAAGCACTGAGTCAAAGTCAAATCCTGGCACGCCATCAAGCGCGCTCGTGACCGCCTCAGAGAATTTTGCTGGGTGTGCAGTGGAGAGGATGATTTGAATAGTGTTGGGTGGAGGCGGAAGGACGCCTGCGACATGCAGCCCTACTGCGGTGTGTGGGTCTGTGGTATAGGATTGTGTGGAGGTGTAGTACTCCCGGATCGTTTGGCGGATCTATGTATTTGACAACGTTGGCTTAGCTTCAAATTGAAATGTATGAACGTACCTGTTCATCATCGACTCTCTCAGCTGTAAAATCTCTCCTCGCCAGCTCGAGCACTGAATCTGGGACGACAATGCGCCCGATGGATTTTACGTTGTCCATCCAGTCTTTTACCGTCTGGCAGGCCTTCTCACGCAAGGCCCCTCCGGGATTAGTGTTATGTATGTTCTCGAAGGCGAGATACCATAACAAGCGCTCGAAGTTACTCGATACGAGGATATCCATGGCAGGCGAGAGAGTCTCTACCACACCCCCGACCACAGGTGACGACGAATTCGAGTCCACTTTTTCATATCGCCCTGTCTTCCAGAAGCGGGTGAGTATGTCATTGGCGTTTGTAGCGATAACGAGTTTAGCCATTGGCAGGCCCATGCGCTTAGCATAATAGCCTGCTAAGATGTCGCCGAAGTTACCGGTTGGGACGATGAATTGGAGCTCGGCGTCGGTAGAGAGGGTACGGCGGATAGCAAAGTAGGAAAGGAAGTAGTAGACTGTTTGGGCGAGTATGCGGGCCCAGTTTATGCTGTTGACAGCGCCGAGGTGGTGTTTTGCGTTGAAGGCGGTGTCAGCGAAAAGGGCTTTGACAATGTCCTACGAATTTGTATGTGTGTAAGCTATTTGGAGGAAGAATTGAATACGAGGGATCAACGTACTTGACAATCGTCAAAGGTTCCCTTGACAGCAAGGTTGTGTACATTTTCGTCTATCACGGTGGTCATTTGAGCTTCTTGGACAGGGCTGACACGACCTTTGGGGTGGAGAATGAATATGGAGACATCGGGCTTGCCCCGCAGCCCGTAAATAGCTGCGCTCCCTGTATCACCACTCGTTGCTCCCACTACGGTCAGTGTCTCCCTCTCCTCTCCATGAGATTTTGCCTTGTTGCGGCGCTGGAGAAAGTAGGAGAAAAGGTTGCCCAGGAGCTGAAGTGCAACATCCTTGAAGGCATACGTAGGACCATGGAAAAGCTCAAGGATGTACTTGTTGGTGCTGAGTGGCTGGAGGGGGGTGATATTGGGATGGCGCCATGCAGAATCGTTGTACGTGGCATGTACGAGGGCGGCGAGGTCTGTTTGAGAGATCTCATCTGCAGAGATGAAGAGGGAGAGTATCTCGATGCTGAGCTCAGGAAAACTCTTGTTGGCCCAGGCTTTCTGCCAGTCAGATGGGAGTTGTGGTATTGATGCAGGGATGTACAATCCACCGTCTGGGGCGAGACCGGCGAGCACTGTCTGTTAAAAATCTACATCAATGAACCGGACATTGTTGGGTTTACTTACCTCTTCGAAAGTTAGCTCTGATGAGCCTCCACGGGTCGAAAAGTACTTCATGATGGCTAGTAGGAAGAAAGCTTTATGCCAGCATTTGATCTAACCGAAAAAACGGTGACTCGATTTCATCGATCATCACATTCATCTGCATTTATCTCCTCAGTCTGGACGACAACACTGAAAGCTACCTATGTAGTGCTTATTCTGAAGGTCATCAACGGTGAACAGGAATTGGGAGTGTAGGGCCAAGTTCCACTATAAAAGGTAAGTATTCGAATGTTCTGGAATATGTACGGTTTTGTGTATCGAAGGTTCTCGAATATCAAAAAAATCAGATACTTAAGGACCCTCTAGATCAACGCGTTCTTCACTGAAGTTATTCCCATCTTTTCCACTTACTTAGATCTTCTTTCATCCTGTGAGCTCGATCCAATTGTGACGCGCCTTCTCAAACTAATCATACCCCTCAGACCTAAATGGCGACCGAGAGCTTTGGATTCCAAGCTGAAATCAGTCAACTCCTTGACTTGATTATCAGTCAGTATTCTAAGTCTTTTATGCTTTATCCTATTCTCAATATCTGTGCCACTCAGACACCTTCTACTCGAACAAGGAAATCTTCCTTCGTGAATTGATCTCGAATTGCTCAGATGCAATCGACAAAATCCGCTACGCTTCCTTGACCGACCCCTCGGTTCTTGAAACCGAGAGGGAGCTCTACATCCGCATCACACCGGACAAGGAGAACAAGGTCCTCACCATCCGTGATACCGGTATCGGCATGACCAAAGCTGACTTGGTCAACAACCTTGGTACCATCGCCAAGTCTGGCACAAAAGTAATCGTCCTTTAATCATTCGTCTTCGACTGATTTCTGACCCACGCCACTTAGGGTTTCATGGAGGCTCTCAGCTCCGGTGCCGATATCTCTATGATTGGTCAATTCGGTGTCGGTTTCTACTCCGCTTACCTTGTCGCCGAGCGTGTTCAGGTCATCTCAAAACACAACGATGACGAGCAGTACATCTGGGAGTCGGCTGCAGGTGGCACCTTCACAATCACTCCTGATACGAACGGCGAACCTCTCGGTCGTGGTACTCAGATCCGCCTTTATCTCAAGGAGGACCAGACCGAGTACCTCGAGGAGAAAAAGATCAAGGAAATCGTCAAGAAGCACTCCGAGTTCATCTCATACCCCATTCAACTCGCTGTTACCAAGGAGGTCGAGAAGGTAAGCCGATTTCAGGTTCCTCCCTCGGATTGCGGCTTATGTACGTATAGGAGGTTGAAGATGACGAGGAGGAACTCAAGGATGAGAAGGAGGAGTCTAAGATCGAAGAGGTCGATGACGATGACAAGCCCAAAGAGAAGAAGACCAAGAAGGTCAAGGAGACCGAGACCACCAACGAGGAGCTCAACAAGACGAAGCCCATCTGGACGCGTAATCCTCAGGACATAAATGCCGAGGAGTACGGTGCCTTCTACAAATCGCTAACAAACGATTGGGAGGAGCACCTCGCCGTCAAGCACTTCTCTGTCGAGGGTCAGCTTGAGTTCAAAGCAATCTTGTACATTCCAAAGCGGTCAGTATTGTCTGTCTATCTCGATTACCTTGACTGACTTGACTTTATAGTGCACCCTTTGATCTCTTCGAGACCAAGAAGAAGCGCAACAACATCAAACTCTACGTTCGCCGCGTTTTCATCATGGACGACTGTGAGGACCTTATCCCCGAGTACCTCAACTTCGTCAAGGGTATCGTTGACTCTGAGGACTTGCCTCTTAACATCTCACGTGAGACCCTCCAACAAAACAAGATCCTCAAAGTCATTCGCAAGAACATCGTCAAGAAGTGCATGGACTTGTTCACTGAGATCTCGGAGGACAAAGACAACTTCAACAAGTTCTACGAGGCTTTCGGCAAGAACTTGAAGCTTGGTATCCACGAGGATGCTCAGAACCGTAGCAAGCTCGCTGAGTTCCTCCGCTTCTTCTCCACCAAGTCCCTCGAGGAACAGACTTCGCTCAAGGGTAAGTGTATCTTGCGTGTTCTGTCATGACGGTTCCCTTACAAGGTTTTCAGACTACATTACCCGTATGCCTGAGGTCCAGAAGTCGATCTACTACCTTACCGGTGAATCCCTTGCCGCTGTCCGCGACTCACCCTTCCTTGAAGTGCTCAAGAAGAAGGGCTTCGAGGTCCTCCTTCTTGTTGACCCCATCGATGAGTACGCTGTCACGCAGCTGAAAGAGTTCGAGGGCAAGAAGCTTATCTGCGTCTCGAAAGAGGGTCTCGAGCTCGAGGAGACTGACGAGGAGAAGAAATTGCGCGAAGAAGAGGCTGCTCAGTTCAACGACCTCTGCCAGACCATCAAGGAGGCCCTTGGTGACAAGGTTGAGAAGGTTGTCGTCTCTAACCGCATCACCGACTCTCCTTGCGTCCTCGTCACCGGACAATTCGGTTGGTCGTCTAACATGGTATGTGCCGTCTTATGATACCCCGAGGGCAATTCTCATTCACATCTCTACAGGAACGTATCATGAAAGCACAAGCTCTTCGTGACTCTTCGATGTCATCATACATGGCGTCGAAGAAGACCCTTGAGCTTAACCCCTCCAACGCTATCATTAAAGAACTCAAGCGCAAAGTCGCCGAGGACAAGGCTGATAAGTCTGTCCGCGACCTCACCTTCCTGCTGTTCGAAACCGCGCTTCTCACCTCCGGTTTCTCACTTGACGACCCCACGTCATTCGCCAAGCGCATCAACCGTATGATCAGCTTGGGTCTCGATGTCGACGAAGAAGAGGAAGAAACGGTACAGACTGAAGACTCTAGCGCACCTCCTCCGTTAGAAACCGTGTCGACATCGGCAATGGAAGAGATCGACTAGATGTTTAATGTTTCTCCATATAATTCTGATTCTGTACTCTAATTAGCTTGCATCATATCATGGTCATGGTCGTCGCTGCATTTTTTTTCTGTCTTTTTTGATCGCATTTACGAGACAATAGCTAAAAGTTCTGTAGTATGTTCACGAATAAAAGCATTTCACTCGAAAGGTTATTTACATGCTACACATCGTCCTCGTCATGGAACGCATACAAGTATAGGACCAGCACTTGAGCCAACACCTACATTTGAGCTAAGCACACTCAATATTAGTTTATTGACCGATCGGATAGTATAGATCTAATCGAAGTATTCGCTACAGATCAGAAACACGCTCTCTTTCAGTGTTAGGTCATCACATAACTGTCGCATCAGAATTTCGATTAATGTACGAGTGTTGCAACGTTGAACGTTGACTTGAGACGGCCAAGAAAATTCACTGGCTCAAATGTACTGTAGCAAGTTTGAATGTGACAGTGAATGAGAATGGGCAAGCAGCAAGCGTGAGAAATTTAATTAGTTATCTCACCCGCCATAATTAGCGGAAGCTGATACTTAGAGCCCAAGGCAAGGCCCGGCTGGATCTGAGTACTGAGTTCCGGTCGTGAGAAGTGCACCTGTCTGTGGTGTATGTGATGAGTTAGTACCTGCCCTAGCTCGTTGTTCAAGCTTGAGAAAGGCCTCAGTGTCGACACAGGGTACCGTGCGGTGACAATGCAGATGACGGCTTGCGGAGATAGTCTCCCTCGGGGACAAGACAGAGAATGCACTCCGAATATACATGGAAGTGCACGAGCGGACTTACGCTGAGCTGGGGGATCGTCAATAGGAATATATGGTGGGGATGGCGCAAAAGTTATATGTTCGAGTATGGATTAGCGAGGAATGACGGGGATCATGATGTTGATGGAGCGTTGGTCATCGAGATGAAATTATGATAAGCAAAACGAAAAACGTGTACCACGCCATTGGAAGTGGGGGAAAGGTGGAATAAGCATCGGCGGGTGTCAACGTCAATAATGACTGCCTGTAGAACGGGCTTAACGTGCGTAATAGAGGAAAGCTTGGCTCTGCGTCAAAGAGTAAATGGAAACTTGGATTATTCTAGGTTCGGGATTCATTCGAAAAAAATGAAAGCGGAGAAGAACCTGAAGCTGTATCACCGTAACCTAAAATATCCGCGGAACTGGAGAAACGCGGAGGTCTACGTCGAGTATCGTAATTGATACCCATGGTGGGCGCAGAGCTACCGTGATTGATGCAGGGATGTCCGACGGGACACGAGTTGCTGTGTTCGTGAATCTGCGATGATGAATGCGTAGATCATGTTCCGTTCGATAAGGAAAAGGTACTAATTTCTTTTCCAAGCTCCCTCTATGGGGGCTGAGCGCTGAGCGCAGATCTAACATTGTCTTATCAGCTTAGAAGGTATGAACACAAACTTACAGGCATCGCCTTGGGACTGAAATTTGTGCCGCGCAGGAATATTGTCGTCGGGTTCGTGAGTTGGCCTTCTTTCCACGGCTGGCTGGTCTGACGCACACGATCCTAAAATAAAAATAAAAAAGATCAGAATAAGATGTTGAGACTCACGCGAGTCACTCAAAAACTCAGCAGCACCCTTGGTGTGTGATGAAAAGTGGCAAAGCGTGTGGACAAGGGCGAGTCAGGTTGCCTTTTAGGGAAGGTTACCTCGAGGCTTCGAAACACACCCTAATCGCCTGTTTACAGCTTTTCCATTGTTCCCATTCATTTTAGCACCACAATAATGGTTCGTTTGCCTTGCGCTGGCCAAACATAAAGCTTTGCCACGTTCTTTCGTCACTCTGTATCTTTATTTGCCCTCCAACGACACCAACGACACTGTCCGCAATCTTCAAGAATGCCATCAATAATTTCCCCATCACCACGACGCGTTACCCATGCTCTATTTCAAGACGCGCTACAGTCTCCTTCCCCAGGTACGCGTCAGCCCCACGTACCACCAACAGTAATTTCTGTAGGTCTCCCAGCAATCTTCTAGGTCCGAAGTCGAGCTGACTTGTACGTCAAGGAAATTTTACCCTCACGGATGCTTGTAAGTCCCCCGCGACTGCTGTCGCCAATAACACTCAATGAGTCTCGTGTTTTGTCTCGGGTCAGTTTCTCCGTATTTTTATTTTATTTTATTTTATTACAGCAGTACTGATGCGTGTATCCTAGAAATCAAAGTCACCAATGCCTTGTGGTGCTGCAGTAAGGCGAGGGTCTACCCGTATTGCTCGCACCGTGAATAAACGCCGTCGCTTTCCCCCTCGCATCGAGTCGCCTCTCGATGTATATGGCCGCGTTCCCATGTTTGACCGTCTCCCATGGATCTCTGCCATGGAGTACCCTCCGCGGCTCGATCTCTGCGATACTGCAGATCTGTCTCTCCTGCCTGCACTTGGCGCTGAAGAACCCGCCTTCTCAGACGCGATCCCTGCGTCTGGACCCGTGCGCCGTCGCAAGTCATCACTCCGTTCAAACCCTCTTGGAAATAATCCAGAGCCGGAATCGCCATCAAGACAGATTTTTCCTTTCCAGTCCCCCAACTGTGATCGGGAGCGTCTCAAGACCCCGCCCCCTAGGGCACCTTTTGACCCCACACAAGTCACTTTCTACAACCTCATGCCAGTCTTTCCGGATGGAGCTGTCAACAACCCCTCATAGTTGCGTCGACTCATACGTGGTCACACGTTCCTGACTCCTTCGTCTGATACTCTACCATCTGCAAAGCACTTGTACCGCCATCTTACCTGCATCTTCCTATAATAGCGAGAATTACTCGCGCCCATCTTCAGCATTCATTGCACCATCTCAACGAACACCATGTATCCTGCCACGAAGAATCTGCTCAGCCATTCATTGCACGATCTTTATTTTCGCTTTCGCCATGGACCACGCTCCGCCTTGGATCAGCAATAGCTGTTCTTTTCAGGCCCCCTTTGTATCTGAAATAGTATTTATTTGTACCTGCTCGCTGCGCTTATGGACCACCGCTGCTCGTTGTTCCTGCTTTACAAATCCCTACTTCGACAGTTGTGCCTGATTTCTGCTATCATTATATCTGCATCTCCATTTTTCGAATTTCTTTCCAGTGTTCTCGTACCTCGAATCCTCCTGATGCTCTTGCTTCGTTTTCAAACTGCATGTTACGATACGATACAATAGATAAACAATATATGTATGTGTATCTTCTTTTGACCTTACTTTGTGAGAAAATCTAAGAGATGGTCCGTTCGCCAAATGCCAAAGGAGGAAGTATATGTAATGTATGGTCACGTGTACTAACTGTACAGTTGCTTCACGAACTATCCCACGCATCATCCCTGTAGATTGCACATCGCACACCATAGCCAAAATCTCGATCTCGCAATGGAAAACGACCAGGTCTGTATTGACGTCGTCATGCTACATCCTAGTTTTAGCGCTTACCTTGGTATTAGGGTATTCTTGTTGACCTCTACGTCCCCCGCAAGTGTGCGGCCACCAGTATGTTTTGAGCCAGACAGTGTCTTAGAGCGTTAACCCATTCATGGCTCAGACCGCCTGATCACCTCCAAGGACCACGCCTCGGTCCAGATCAACGTCGCAGATGTTGATGCTAATGGCCGTGCCCTGAACACTTACACCTCGTTTGCGCTTTGCGGACAAGTGCGGTCACAAGGGGAGAGCGATGACTCTATCAACCGGCTAGCAACGAAGGCGGGTTGTAAGTCATTTTCTTCACGAGTCATTGGTCTGGACTGGACTACTGATGCTTTGTTCTTTTAGTGCTCCGGAATGTGTGGTCGTACCAAAAATAAACGTTGTGTATTAGAGCGTTCGTCGTATCATCATTTTGCTTGCTCTCTTGATGCTGTAACATATGGGGTGAACACCTTTACGCGCCTATGTTGAGCGCAAGCGCACTACGCATACGCGTGGATGAAAAACAGTCGGTGTTTAGCGAGTGAAATCGCAAGAACCTTGTATTTTAACCTAAGAAGGGTCTTCCAGACAGCCAGTTCAATCGATAAGGCTTCAACTGAACCACGCCATTGGCTGTTTCAGTGATGAGGCTGTCAAAGCCGCATGTATTAATAAGCAAGCGCCTGACTTACAGCCTAGTGGATCAATTTTCACCGCGTTTCGCAAACCTGTCAATTACGCACATCGCAGCCATACCAATCCGCAAGTTCAGTATGTGTGTACATTTTGATTAAATTCCATGTGGCTGATGGGCCTTTGACAGCTTGATAAACATGTGCTGCGCTGTTGCAAAATGTTCAGCATATTCTCACAAATTCCCAACTGACATATAGCTGGCAATCATGACCCGTATGAATAAGACGACTTTGATCGCTGAAGTAAAGCGCAAATCCTGACGGGGAGGAGGACAAGAGAGAGGACAAGAAGGTCGAGGCAGGCAGGCGGTCAAAGGTACTAGCTGACGGAACATATGCGATGGAGATGGCGCACACCAGCACCAACTCAACGAGATTAGAGGCTGTCAAGGCTGCGTCAAGCCGCCGTTGAGAGGTGCGTGGTGTACCCATTTATTTCGTTCAGAACTTTGATGTGATGTCAGCCCTCATCGACTTTTTCATGGGTTTGGTACTCGCCTCGGCGCTGATGAAGCTTGTGTTGCGGTTCGATGACCTTACAAACAACCGGCCAAACGCCAACACTCCGTGCTGAGGTATGTACTATTGTTAATGTTTCTATAACATTCACCAAATCCATGTTGATCATGACGTCTATCATCCGCGTTGGCCAATCGAAGTTTGTCACAGTATCGATCGACGAGGATTTCAACGAGCGCATTCTTAACTGCATACAAATTTTAAGTGAACTCCAGGAAAAGAACATCGTCCGCTTCTTGAAGGACACGAAAGCTGCATACTCCGAGATGCTCGTCGCTCAGGAGCTGCGTGCCTAGTCTAGGTTTTTTGGACCCTATATATGCGGAAGCATATGTCAAGATGTACAGATTCAATATTATGCTTAGTGTGTATGTTTCCCTCGATGGGCTATTTCATGGGGAACAGCAGTTGTTCATGCGATAACACCAGTACTGACATGTATATTGCATACCTAGACGATACCGAACTTGACCCCTATTCCAGCTTCGCCATAGTTCCGCCGTGAATCCAGTAATTCACATGAAGAAAGTTGCTGGCAAAGTGTCGACCCACCACTGTGGCTCTCTGCCCATGAACCTAGTGAGTTCATCAACTTGTTTCTGAGTAGGGCGGTAACGATAACTGTAAGGCTGGTCGTTGAAGATGTACAGCACGTGAACGGCACCTTTAAACATGCATTCTGCTGGAACTATCTGTCCAGGAGGCAGGATTGCATATGCAGTTGACAGTGAGTGAATGTGGAAGGTCTTTCTGAAGCTGTAACTAGGGTTTCCCCTGGCATTGGTCACGGCCTTGGTTTCGGAAATGTCGGGATGTAGCTTGGCGAGGAAGGAAAGAGCAATCTCATGAAGCCACTTCTCAGATACGTAGTAACCGTACATCTGAGCATTATGTTACGGAGGTGGAAGGGTTATATTGATACGGTTTGACTTGGACTGTTTGGTATGTCCAGAATCGCGCTGTTTGTCTTGCTTGGCTTCACCAAGCTGCACAAGAGCAATTGAGAGGGATATCAACCAACCAACAACACGTGGGCATACCTGCATGTTAGACATTGCTTCATCAAGGCTTTGTAATTGATGAGACATGTTCAAGATGATCTTGAGTTCATTACATAACATTGGATCGTCTAAGTATTAGTTGTATTAGCACTGTTTCATGTTGAACTAACCTGCGACGCTGCTTACCGCGTGCTCCGTATATACACACGCACGACTGTCACAGTCGACTGTTGTCGGTGTTTGAAGGGAGATATCCTTCCCGCGAGGAATCTTTTTCTGATAGGACCTGCTCAGGAAGAACGTCGGTGTACGTGTACTTGGAAAAGCGTAGTCGACATTGCCCAGACACGGAACGTGTTTTTTTGAAATTGAGTTGTAGAATTGTGGCAAACTGCGCTCCGGAGGACTACAAATTGAGATTTGGAGTATTCACACTCGGTATATTTCCGCATCACGCAGCCGCAGCGAACAAACACTGAATTGAAGTTCGTGGCCTAAGTACTGATGCTTGTGGGCGAGAATCATCGTGCTTGTTACTCTGACGGTTCCTTATCCATAATTTCAGTGAGTCGCCACTGGTTGGCCTTATGACTTGCTGACCCAAGCCCCTCTCATCAGTCCGATTCCATGGTCGAGATTCAGCGTACCCAAAGCGAGAGCAGTGGTTCATTATTCCCTTCTGCAGAGGAAGAGAGCAAACATCGCCTTCTCTATAGCAAATCCAAGGTCTACGTTAATCCAACCGCATACGCTAGAGATAATATCCCAGGTTTTGTGGCTCTCGTCAAGCGCGTAAGCAGCTAAGTCTTGTCTCGCATTTCTCGCTCATGCATTTTACCGTCTAGGAGGCTATTAATCCTACCTATCTACTTGCATGGATTCCAGAGACACTGCTCTGCGAGAAAGGCACCGACGAATGGGAAAAGTTCGTGAAGATTGAGGAGAAGGCTACACTGGATGAGGAGGATGAAGGTCCGCAGCTTTTTTCTCTGTTTGAACCCCGGAATGCTTACCCCGTCCAAAGATGCAGTTCTGATCGACCTTCCTACACAACGACCAGAATCCTATGCATTCTCGGTTCCTCTGACTTCGATATACTCTCTTCTTGTTCATCCACCTACCCTTTCATCATGGTGTACGTTTTCATGCTGTCTTTGGACGTTGAGAGGGCTAAACCAATCACTAACAGATGGTACCATCGGTATAAACCTCATCAACGGTTCCACACTCCCAACTCTGCACTTCCATGATGACGAGTCACCTTCAGTGACATTACCGCCTCGACACACTAAGAACTCCACCAGTGCATACCCCCCTTCCACATCATCTTCTCGACCCCCAACCTCATGGGGAGGCGAGGATTTGCTATCTCGTCTACGATCTTATGCCCACCTACTTCGCTCCACATTACAGCCCTCCTTGTTTATCGTCGACCCATCTAAAGCCGACATTGATGCGCACACCACTCAGATATTCGACGACGACGCTGTGGACGATATCCTTGCACAGTCATCGTATGCTTCTTCGCACTCACCTGTACCTGCTCACAGGCGCCCACGCCCGTTATATAGTGTTCCTGCAAATACATCCAACCAATATCCCACTCGTTCATCCGTTTTGCATCGCTCTCTTTACCCACCCTCCATCTCCACCACACAGTCCAGCTCACACGCACGGATGGCGCTGCTTCAATCCTTCTCAAATATCACTAGAGCGACACGCCACGCCGCGCAAAACATCCTCTCTCATCCTCTCGCTAAGCCTATCGTCCCGCATCTCCCAGACCCCGTCAGGAGCCTAGTCAATGCTAACGGCGACTTGGAATGGGGTAGTTGGGTGGAGAAAGGGGGCGTTGGTGAGTTTGAGAGTGCGAGGGTGTATCTTGCTCGCTGGGCTCGCATAGTCGCCGAGGAAGGCGATCGAGCGCGTAGGCGAGAGGCTCAGGCACTGCCCTCCTCCTCAAATGTCGTCGAGGAGATATCCCCGTTGGGTGTATTTGAGCTTCTTCACTCTACGATCAACCTTCCTTCTCCCAAAACTTCTCGAGACCCTGCACACCCAGTAGACGAGGCGCTTTGGGCGAAGTGGTTTGATAAAGACGGCCGACCGAAAGTCAGGTTTGAAGAGATGAGGTGTCAGGTTTTCAGGAGAGGCATCACTCCTAATGGGAACCTCAGGAAGAAAATATGGCCCTTCATACTTGGTGTCCACGAGTGGAACATCAGTGGTAGTGAGAGGGAAGCGAAATGGGAGGAGAAGATGTAATGTTTCCCTTCACCACTATATCCATGCCTTCTGACCCGCTCTGTAGAAAGCGATACTATGAGATCAAGGACGAGTGGTGTGGTGTGCCCGAGGTCTTTGACAGACCGGATATCCTCGAAGAACGTCATCGCATCGATGTAGATTGTCGCCGCACAGATCGCACTCAGCCATTGTTCTCCACTTCATATGAGGATACCGCTGACAATGGCCCAAATGGAAACCGCCGATACACAACTATCTCTCCCCAGATGTCGGACATCGGTGCACAATCTCCCAGTAATGAACATATTGATCGTCTCGCAGGCATTCTCCTCACATACAATTTCTACAACAAAGAACTTGGTGAGCACATTTGGAATATCACATTCGTGTACGGTATCTAATTTGAGAAATGAGGGTATGTACAGGGCATGTCGGACCTTTGTGCTCCTTTGTACGTTGTGATGGGTTCCGACGAGGAGCTGACCTTCTGGTGCTTTGTGGAAGTAATGAATCGTATGGCAAGTACATCTGAAACTTGATGAAGACTCTGTCTGACATTTACAACAGATTCAAAATTTCCTCCGGGATCAGAGTGGAATGAAGAAGCAGCTCTCGACGCTGCAAGAACTGATCTGTGTCATGGATCCTGATCTATATCGACATTTAGGTCACTAAATCTATTTTATGTGCTCATAACTATCTGACTCTCATCTGCTGCAGAAAAAACTGACGGCCTCAATTTGTTCTTTTGCTTCCGGTAAGTCTTCAGCGAACCGCTGACAAAACATTCTTGACGCTGTTTATCTCAGATGGGTCCTTATCGCTTTCAAACGTGAATTCCATTTTGACGATGTCTTGCGTCTATGGGAAGTGTTGTGGACGGACTATTACAGCAACGAATTTGTTCTCTTCGTCGCTTTAGCAGTCTTGGAGTCCCATCGGGATATGATCCTACGGTATCTCGTAGAGGTGCGCCCTTGGTTATTTACCATACAACTTCCTTTTTAACCAGATATTTAACCAGTTCGACGAGATCCTGAAGTATTGCAACGAACTCAGCATGACCATCGAACTCGATTCTACTCTTGCTCAAGCAGAGGTCCTCTTCCTGTCATTTGCACAGCTCGTTGCAGACATTGACAGAAGGCGAGCGGAAGAAGCCACTGATTCTACTAGTAGTGTACTACGGCGACGAGGGACATCTACTTCAGAGGGACAGGCGACTCTGTCAAACGTAGCCATGCCTACTCTAAGCGACAACCTCAGGGACTTATTAAAGACTGAGCGTTGAATTGGACGAGTGGAGTTTGATGGAATATTGATTTATGTAGTGTAGCCGTGCCCCATAACTGATACTATAATGCACGTGTATAACATCGTCGACTCCTTGCGCGAATCTGTGAGTCTCAGTGCGCTGTCGGTCTGATGGTGTTCTGCATACATATAAATCACTATCTTGCTGGTGATTAGAATTTTCAATTTGGTGCTTTGGCTGGGAAGGTGTCGGTGTGGTGTTGCATCCATATTGATCGTATGAGCACGAATGTTACAAATAATTTAGGGTTGTCCAATACTGAACCAGAATTAAGCACATTGCCTGTGGCGTTTTAAAGTACGAACTGTTGTTTGATAATAATCAGATTAATTTGAACGGCTATAATGCAACAAAAAAGTCAGCCATGGAATAATGTGACTCACGCGCAGGACTTACGAGGCCTCTCCATCCTTTTGCATCGGGAAGAATTCTGGGCCATAATCAATGAGGACCTCGGCTCCAGGGTCAATGTTCATGACTGTGTCAGCCGTCAGCATTCCGCATCCACAACGGTATGGACACCATCTGACTTGCAAATATTCCTATACGATGTTCTCCATTCACAAGTCGCGCTGTTGAATGTTTGAGATGAGTTATTGAGATCGATATCAAGAGATACAGACATCACATACCAAAAGCGCGACAATTACACTGCGTTTCGCTACTGGCATCACTAGCGCCCGAATGGTTGATGAACCTCGACGCGTTGCCTGCACGCGAACTATCCAGGGATAGCGAGTCGTTGAGACCAAAGACATAACTACGTCCAAGATGCTTTGCAACCTCTCTTCAACCCAGTGAGCTACAGGAATTTTCACGGATGAATGCGGCTCACCCGCGGCTATCAAACGTCATTTCATAGATAAGCTCCCCGACGTATTCCACGATCAATTCGCCCTGTTTGGCCGGTTCGAGGAGGAATACACCTACTCCCCAACGGCTTTCCTTGACCTCCAGTTTCTATAATCATTGATATAGATTTATTCGTGTGATCTGATGTGTTAAATGTGCACGTATACCTTGAAATGACCTTGATGAATTTGAGAGTTCCCGCAGGTACTTGTTTCTGGATCTTCAAATCAAAGTTAGACACACTCAATCTTGCAAAATGCTACGTAACATACCACTGTCAAGTGCAATATATTAAAGGACGAATCGCAACATGAAAGATAGTCGGTATCACGCACCGACATCCGCATTTTACGCAAAGCTCTGGATCACATTCGCGTCGAGCTTCGACGCAAGAGCATCGCTTGACCTGCACACAACTCATTCCGTCGCGTGCTTTGGTACAACGACAACCTTTCCATCTCCGAGCACCTGGTGGAGGGTGGAATCAACCCTCGCGCTGGTGACAACACAGAAACAAACATACATTTGGCGGGGCAACGGCAGTTCCGCTGGCAATGAGCCTTGTTCTTGAAACATAAACATTTAGATAAAACGTCACATGGCCCAGAGTGATGACAAGGTTCGTTGCTGTGGAAAGTATCCAGTACAGCATTCAATATTAATGCAATAAGGGTACGCACGGTGCGAACTTGGACGGGTCATGATCTATCTCGTGTGGAGTGTCGGTCAATTGATATGTGTCCACATGCGTTCATCCCTACCTCGAAATTCTAGAGATCGCGACTTCCCCTTGCGTTCCCTATTTGGGCGCTCAGTTTGAAGCTCGTCGAAATTTGGATGTAGTAATCTGCGATAATGAAGAACCTGAACCACAGTCAAGCCAAGAAAAGCTCTCATCGTGTTGACAAACCTCGTGGCAAGGCTTAAAGCATAATTCAGCGTGGTCACAAGGTATCATATCTGGCTCAATATCTAAGATGCTCTTGAACGAATTGATGTCGTCTTCACTCCAGCGAGGGAGTACATCAACTGTCCTGCTCTGCAAGAAACAGCCAGCTTCGCATGGGTGTTCTACACGTTTCAGTAGCTCTGACAGCCGGATAGCTTGCTCACGGGGTGGCGGTACGGGGTTCATTTCAACTGCAAATCATATTGTTTGGGGATCAAAAAGGAAAAATAATTGGAAGCCGTACCATGAACAGAGCACAGTGGCTCGATACAGTTGAGGTTAGGACAAAATAATGCATGACTGCGCTCAAGCCGATGTTGAAGAATACTGTGAGACAGAAATGAAGAAGGAAAGCTGTAGGAACAAGGGATGGTGGTCCCGTTCCATTTGAGTATGTCACTGTACATTAATTTAAAGTTTGGATGCGATCACGAAAAATGATCGGGAATCCATACCGACGACGACTCAGGGTAAACAGTCCAGGTTTGCCTGAAGTTGAGAAAAACTTGAAGGGAAGGACCCCCGTGCTATCTGTGTCCCGATACAGTAGATTGTGAACTGTATGGAGACGATAGGCTGCCTCTAAAGAAATAACTTCTACTATTCACAATGATGATGCTTCATGATATACAGTGAATAGTAGGTACTCACAATCTGGATCATAATCATCATCCTGCCACGCAAAGGAGCCATACAACAAGGTATGATCCACGTGGTCGAAGGTTGGATCATCCGCATATGGGATGAATGCCATCATATCGTCATCATCTCCCTTAAAGACATTCCTTGAGATGGGAGTACAATACTCATAGGATCTGTGTGGCCCAAGAAGCTCGGCGTGTACTACTTGAAGAGATATCGTGGAAGTTGATCTTGGAGTTCCATCTTCAAAGTAAGAGGTCAATGCGACCATTCTTTCCGTATCTCCGTCCGGACCCCCACCGGCCTTACCGACGACATGGAGAGATGTGTCATCGCAATCTGGTATGGGAACACGTGGACTTGGTGTGACATGGGACAGAGAGCGGATGAAATGCTCGCAGTATTTGACTTTCCAGCCACTGAATTCGGCCAGAACCTCTGCAAAGACTGTTTGCACCAGCCTATAAATCGCTAAATCATCATCACTTGGCTGCAACGCCTGCTCGTTCGTTTGCACAATCGAATTCGAAGCAGGCGACATTAGAGTATACTTTGCTAATAATGTGGTCGAGGTGAAACTGTAGTATGTCACAGTCACGATATCCATGAATTGTGACATACGCGCCTTTGTGACAGCCAAAGCTCCCCTAAAACGCACATCATGTCTGGGGCCAACATGACCATTTTTCGCGCCTACGCGCAAAAATCTAATCCTGCCAGTCTGCCTCCATCAGTTCTTCTCTCACATTCTGAGACGTGTTTGACGGTTTTTGACGCATTTCCGAAATCGATCTTCCATTTTCTCGTCATACCTCGTGTCAGGTCACCCTTCGATGTGTACCAACTCGCTAATCTACGTTCATTGCTCAAATGCGAGAAAAGCTGCGCCAAGGAACTCATCACAGACCTAAGCCGAGAAGCGAACGATGTCAAGAAAATGATTGAAACCGAGATGTTCAAGAAGTACGGTTTCAAGTGGGAAATATGGATGGGCTTCCATGCAGTACCTAGCATGGAGTAAGTCTCGACTGGTTGATCTTTTGACGCACTCATATATGTTTATTTCTAGACACCTCCACCTCCACGTACTTTCTGCTGACCTATGTTCTCCAAGAATGAAGTTGAAGAAGCATTACAATTCCTTTCATCCAAAGCTCGGCTTTTTCATTCATTTGAGCGATGTTCTCTCTTGGTTCGATGCCGACCCATCGTATTATAAAACAGTAAGTTGTTTTTACTTCACTCCCGTGCCTTCTCCACAGCGGTAACCATTGCCATGACTCTAGACCTCTCAGCTCAAGAAGATTGAATATGAGCCTTTACTCAAGGAAGATCTTTCTTGCTGGAAATGCGATCGCGACCTTTCGAATATGCCTAAATTGAAGTCACATTTGCAAGAGGAATTCGACAAACTGTCCGATCAAGAGAAAGCAAAGGCAGAAAGAAAGAGGAAACGTACCGATGATCTTGCACAAACATCTTCCACCCGAATACTAAACGATGACGATCCACCGCCGGATAAATTGGTCCGTGAAAGCGAGGAGGAGCGAGGACCCAATAGTGAAAACTAAACTTCACTGTTGTGTGTGCCATCCAGTGAGCCGATCATTGACTCAATTCTGTACCATGTGTTTTCTGTAGCTCTAATTATATGATTTTCCGACTTTCTCGCGTCTGATGTCGTGCCATATCATTCAGATTTCAGCCCATGAAATATATTTTTTGTGACTCCGGTCCGTCGAGGGCTGTCAATATCATGGGATCCCCAGGCGCCCCGCCTTCCGATAGATATAAAAACTAGCCGCAAGAGAAATGAGTCAACATCAGCTTTGACTATGACACTTTTCACACTTCGCTGGGGCATCATTTCTACGGGTTGGATCGCAGAACAAGTTGTTTCGGTAAGAAAATGGGACTTTATCTCATGATCGCGTGAGTTATTGACCCCTGTTTTCCGTCCAGGATTTGCTTGTTGATCCTACCACGTACGAGCGCGTGTATTTTCTCTGAAATCGAGACTCACGAGTTTCCTCAGGCGTGGTACCAATGATGTGGTGCACAAAGTGACTGCTGTAGGCTCCCGAAGCGTCGAGAAGGCCCAGAAGTTTATCGACGAGTTTGTGAAAGGCGACAAGACCGTAAAGGCGTATGGAACATATGACGAGGTCTATGCAGATAAGGTTCGTGGATCACTTTTGTCGAGTCTATTTGCCTCTTGACACCAATCAAGGATGTAGACGCTATTTATATAGGTATGACTTATCCAAGGCATGACCACAAACAAAATCAATATTCGATCCTACTTAGGTACACCCCACACGTACCATTACACAAACGCTTTGGATGCGCTCAATGCAAAAAAGCATGTACTTTGCGAGAAACCAGTGACCTGTAACGCTTCCGAACTGCGTTCACTCATAGCAACGGCGAAGAAGAATGGGGTTTTCTTCATGGAGGCACTATGGACGCGTTTTCAGCCACTTGCGAAGGAAGTGAAAGAGCTCATTGACTCCGGCACCCTTGGCCTGCCTGTGGTTGTCCATGCTGATTTCTCCGTTGATTTTGGCATCGACAGTGAGTGACCCTGCTTGTATCGCAATATCCATATGAATGTCACTTGTAGAATTGCCCCTGACTCACCGCATGCTCGATCCCAAGCTTGGTGGGGGTGCAATTCTTGACCTGTGAGTGCAATATGTTCCCATCGAGAATCAGTTTAATCTAGAGTTGCACAGTGGTCCGTATCCTCTAATTTGGGTATGTGCCGTTGACTATATATCATCCTCTCTCTGTTCAATCCTATCATGCAGACGATTCTTGCCCTCTACGAGCATCCCGCCAATAAGCGCACGAAACCTTCAAACGTCACCGGTACAATGTACAAAACACCGATCACAGGCGTCGACTGCAACACGTCATACATCGTCACCTTCTCTCCCAACTCCAGTACAGGCTCTACGCTCGCCGCACAGGCAGTCCTGAGCTGTAGTATGAACGTAGCGTCCCACAACCCAGGCATTACCATCCGATTTGAGAAAGGGACCATCATGATTGACGCGCCCATACCTTGTCCACTCGGGTATACCGTGCAATACTTCCAAGAGGGCAAGCCAGGCGAAATCGTGCGCGAGGATACCCGGACATTCGACTACGTTGGTTCGGGCTGGCATTTCCAAGCCGATGAAGTTGCACGATGCATCAGAGACGGAAAGCTTGAGAGTGAGCTGTGGAGTCATGATAAGAGCATTTTAGAAATGGAAGTTTTCGATGAGGCGAGTTGCATAACTGGGTTCACTGTGCAAGTTTTGATCTGATTTGCGGCGTGACAGGTTCGCCGTCAGGGAGGTTACATCTTCCCTGATGGCATTGAGAAGGTGCCACTATAGGATCGGCATGAAATCGGACGGGAAAGGAACAATAAAACCAGAAAACATTATGTAGGTTGTACACATCACCATCTATACTATTTACATATTATTTTACAATGAGTTGCAACGATATCTTCGCTCCAAGATTTCCAGCCCAAGTATGTGGTCATCTCATTCAGCCTCACCTTCCTCTTCAAACACAGTGGCCGCAGCTTTGCTCGCGGCAAGTCTAGCAGCGCGAGAACGCTCGCTGGCCTCGCGTATGGCCCACGTAAGTTCGTAGGTCCTACATGCGTCTGCAACGAATAACGTCAAATCGTGAATGAGTGACGAGTCTAGCTGATAATGCACCTTCGTAGGAGCTCAGGATCTGGGCAGCCTCAGGGTCCTCTTCAATGTCCTCGATGATGTCAATCCAGTTGGATACCTAAGTCATATGTTTGCCTTGGGTTCGTCTTTAGGGATGTCACTACTTACCTCAGAGAAGAATGGGTCGTCATCGGGGAAGGTATACATTTGTTCGTGGTCATCGCCGGGCTTGCGGACATACAACACAGGTTGAACGTAAGGGTTGACCAGCCTAGGAATATCATGAAAAGGTGATACAGTAAGTTTGAAAAGGAGCATACTTGAGGGAGTAGCCATCAGCATGAATCTCGAGCTCACAGCTGTAGTTGTGCCCTTGGAGGGTCACAGTGTGAATGAAACTGCCAACTGCACCGGAATCATATTTCCTATAATCAGGTTAGTATCTGACTTCTCGAACATAATAACGCATATTTACCAAGTGGCTGCGGTAACACGGGGAATCCTGTTCTCCGGGGCAATCTTGCTTTCGTCAACGCGCACCTTGGAGAGATGGCCAGCATTCTCGTCCCAATCAAGGGAATGAGCGGCGACGGAGGCTATGTCGACTTCCCCACCAAAGTACCGCGAGAGATCGCAGAAATGGGTTCCTTGCTCGATAACGGGACCAGCACTGATGAATCAAACTTCGTTATTGACTTTACACATTCTAAACCAGAACTCAGCTCACCTCTTGGATTTATCCCACCAGTCGGGTTTTGCAATCGCCTCGTAAGCACATGCATAACGAGCAATAGTGACCATCACGGTAAGCCCGTTCTCCTGGATGATTTGCTTCATCTTCTGGACGGCTTTCAGGTACCTTAGCATGTACCTGTGGAGGATAGATTCATTTCATTTGTTGAGTCAACTGACTATAAGCAGTACCCGACAGAACAGATGGCCCCAGAGTCGGAGATGGCCTTTGCAATCTGGAAAGACTGCTCCAGCTCGTGCTTTGGACCGGTCGCTATAGGCTTCTCCATGAAGATAGCCACGCCAGGGAAGTACTTCATAATTTGCATCTCAATGTCGCGACCAGGCTGGAGGGTTCCGCGGAACATCGGAGGAGAACCGACGACAATCGCACGAGGACGGTCCTTTTGGGACATATTCTTAACAAAGTCCTCGAGGGTCTTGAACACACGTGTTGCCTGGTACGCGGAAACGACAAAGGAGTCGCATTTCTTTTGGAGTACGGCAGTTGCACGCTCGATCGCGGGATCGATGAGGGCAACTACTTTGAGACGCAGACCGAGCTTGCTGTGATGGTTTATAGGTGGAAGAGTAAGTGGAGACAAGGGGGGGCTTACTGCTCGAAGCGGAAAGAGTGATTCCATGGTCCTTCATCGGATCCTGGGGTAGCGGGGATGAGTCAGGTACCCGCAAGGCACGGATATAACTCACCAAACATGATATTTCCTGCACCGATAAAGACGACATTGAAATCATTGGTCCCGCCGACGTGCGTGGTTCTGTTAGAGAGATATCAGTGATCAGATCATACAAATGGGATGGTACTGACTTATCCATCGGAATCAGTCTCGATGGGTCGATGGAAGGGCGTCTGGATTGACCAGGTGAATATCCTGATCCACGCCTATCGGTGAGCCTGCGTTCTGAGCCTCGACGAGAGGCAGGCTGTTTTGTGGAGGTCATCTCGAGGGTTGACGAAAGTCTGCGTGTGGAGGCCATCCTGTCGATTTTGAGATAACGACGGGGGGATCGGAATGGTAGAGTATTGCAGAACGCGGAAGCTGCACTCTTTATAGCCGCAGTGTGGAGAGATTAGTAATAAGTTTTGGAAAATCATGGACGCACTATATAGTACTCGAGGAACAATTGGAACTACTACTACGGTACACACGTAGCGCTGCCGCTAATTCGCACCCTGTCACCGGGACCCGGTGTGTACACAACCGTGGTCTGATTTTTGTTAACTCGGACCATAAAGCGTGGTGTCCATCATCGGATGTAAATCGGATAGAATGTTTAAATAATGCTTATAACAACGACAGGGTAAGGAGAGCAAGGATGTGGGAAGGAATGAGGGGTATCAAGGGATGGAACTGAGTATTAGAGTCCATTTAGAGCTAGGATAAAATGAATTTTATGACCGGTTGGATTGTGCAGTGTTGTTCTGTTGTGGCTTCGAAAATCTGCTAGCTAACTCCTGACGTTTGCGTTCAGCGGCTTCTAAGCGAGCAGTCATCGCCTTGAGCTCCTCTTTCAACTTCTCATTCTCCTGTGTTAGTTTCATCACGTTACTAGCTCGCTTCTGGACTTTCTCGGCCCTGTATGAGGTTACCGTGACTGACTGTCCCTCTATTGGGCAATCAATGATATGATCCGACTCACTGTGGTTCCGAAATTTTTGAAAAACCCATGATCGTGTCAAAGGAAAAAGTGAGATCAAGTTCCGCTGCTGGAATCTCTGGGAGAGCGGGAGAAGGTGTCTCCGAACGATGTCTGTGCCGTTGAGACGGTGGCTCTAGGCAATTGATTGAAAGGCTGACAGTTCAAATGAGCGAATCTATGGACTCGCGTATGCTCTCTTTACCGCACCTAGAAGGGTTTACTGAATCCATGCTGAAGAGAGAAATGTCAAAACCAACATATCATCATCAGCCACAACCCTCAAAACCCATGACTGTCCAACATCGGTATATAATTCTCACGTATGTTTCAAGAGGAAATATATTCCCATGACTAATTGTCATTCGGAGTTATTAATTACAAGTGGGTCAATGACATTAGCGTTTAGCTTCAGTTCCCTCTTTCCTTTGACCCATTTACTTCTCTCTCTTCGCTGGCGCTGTCGTTGACGACGACTATATGCCAAATTTAATGTCAACCGTCATTGACGGTCACGACGTGCTCGCGGCTAATGACCACATCCTAGGTCACCATGACTCTCACACAAATGACGCCGACATTCACGACCTCAGCATTCCGTCAGCTCACTTTCACAACTCTATTGGCAGCAGTATCCCTGTATCTATTAATGGATCCCACAATGTGTATTATAACTCTTACGCCGATACGTCCTTCCAGGACATCGGTCCATATCCCTACCCCTTGCAGCAAGGTCATGTACCGGATGCTGCTCAACTCGACCTTCAATATATCCTGTCCTCGGATATGTCACATTCACACCCCAATGATTTCATACATGACCATTCTCAGTTGCAAACAAAGCACTTTCAACAATCGCAGAATCTTTCTTCCTTAGGTCCTCCTTCTGACCCTGAATCACAACCTCAGTCCTCTCCCTCAATTTCATCTCCAGCTAGCTTTACACATGCTCTCCACGATTTGTCACGCTCTCCAGAAAATCCTCCCACTCCATATACTCCATCATCACCCCTAAAAGTTGCCAGATACGCTCACGCAATGCTACCGCCCATTGTCCATTCAAGTCCTTCTAATGCTAGAAAGGACGAAACCGATGTGCGTTCTAGTACATTCTGATGTGCCTGTCATCTGATGGTCTCCTTAGAGTCGTTCCGTGAACAAACGCCTAAACTCCGGCGCTGCATCACAGGTCGACCCCTATGCGTCCGCATTTTTGCGCGACCAGCTAGGTGAACCAAAATGGAATACGTTTTATGCACGGTTATTCGAACGTAGACTCGGTCCCATCAAGTCAAAGATGCGAGTCAAGACCAAAGGCACTGGAGGCGGTGGGCTTAGTACCTCTAGTCCTGGCGCCACGGCAATCGATTTTCTCATCAAAGTCGAAGTCGTCAAAGAAGTGCTGCGCACCTACGTCCCGTGAGTTTCGCCGTCATTTCATTGGTGAATTAATTAAATTAAATGTTTTGCCTTGCTGTGCTCTTTTATCAGACATCCGTACAATCCGCTCAAGTCCCTAACACATGTATTTCCGGGCTCTCCGTCAGGATCTGTTACCCTGACTCGCTCTACTATCCTGGTTCTATCTGGTTGGTCCAACACGCAGTTTTCGTATTGGGCTCGTCGCTCTGAGGGTATCTCTGTCCTAAGAGATCACGACGAGCGTCTGCAGTCGGTTGCAGTCGCCCTGGAAAAGCGCTTGAGGCAAGGCGGAGTGCTCCAAGACTTACCTGATGACGACGCGTTCAGTTCCCTTACCTATGGCCACGTGGCGGAGTCCTCACCAAACGTCACCGGCAAAGGTCTTGACATCATCATTGAGGAGGTAAAGAAACGTACTGGACTCAGTCCATTCCTTCGTGGGAAACATTCTTCCCTTGATCCGTTTGGCTCTACCAACGGTGACAAAGATACAGGACCAGGCCCCCCGTCTGGCCTTCCCTCAGGACCTGTGTACATGCCAACCTTCCAGGCAATGGAATATTCTCATTCTCCTCCGGTATCTACGGAACCTCCTCGCCGGCCCAAGAAAAAGAGGCGGACGAGCGCTACTGAGTCAATATCTTCGCTTGCTGGTTCTAGCGTAACTCACGCAGAACTGGTGGCAAGCTCCGGTCAGTTGGGATACGCGATGGAGTCAGGTGTCAAATCCGATATAGCGAATGCGATGTCACCTGATATGGCGTCGCCAGCTTCGCTCTCGGTATCACGTCCGCTGCCTCGGTCTCTTGGCGTCATAGATGATGCTATTGGTGCCTATCAGCTCCAGACCAATCTGATGGATGACCCTGTGGAGAGCACTGACAGGGAGTACTTTCCTGTATCCGATTCTCGTTCTGACTTTGATGAATTACGACACAAGCGGCCATTTTCGTATTCTGATCTTTCCATGGAGACGCGACAGAGGCTCAGCGTCTAGATGATTCGACAGGCTTTATGCCATGATGTGCATGCCGTTTCCGGCCTTTCGGTTTTATGAAGTTCACGTGCCTTTCAGGACTTTCCAATGCATGCACACTAGCCTTCCGCATGCATAGTACTTCCCTTCTCGTCTCACTTTCTCGATGTTCATCGATCATATGCCCATTCACTTTACCTGACCAGTCTACCTTCCGCTCTCTAATTCTTGTACCACCACCAGGAATCATATTCAGAAAACTTATCAATCACCACCCTAGCTACGTACGATACGGATCATATCTCATTGCAGTACTTTTTCTGTGGCTTGTCCACTCGTAGTTTTCCATGTAGTTCTAGAGCATCTTTTGTCCGAAAACCCCAGTTGTAATAACCCACACACAAACACGTTATTTTGCTTATTACCGTTTTCAGTGTTTACCACTTACCATGTCCACCGTGTGATGTTGAACATTGGGCATATCATAACGGCGCTGACGGCCGCATTCTTCGTCGTTGCAAGCTATGTGATCATATTGCACACGTTTTTGCCGCTCTCTGGTGTTTATGTACGTTTTTTGATATCCAAGAAACGATGCCATCGTAACGCATACATGAACCGCTGACCGTCAGGTCCTTGACGTCCTCGCGCAAGACACCCATTACAAGTACTTTACCCTATTCATCATTCCCATGGGCGCGTACTTTGCGATTGCAAACTGGGTAGGCTGGCAGTACTACCAGAATTCTTGATTGTGAGTGCTGTTTGCCTCTGCCTTTCCTGAACTCATTTTCAACGTGACTGCCAGTGTGTCCAGGAATGAGGGAACACAACGAGGGTACACACGACCCACGGCACCAGATATTTGAGCATAAGCTTTTGATACAGGTATTGCAAAGTCTAGCCAATGACGATGTACTACATGTGCATAAAATGGGTATTCAAACGTGGGGCATATCGAAAAAATTGCATGAGGTAAATATGAAATCGAATAAGTTATAAGTAAAAGACAAGATCGGTATGCCATCCTCATGGAGGTTCAGGTGTTCGTGACTTTTCTGTTTGGGGTCTTGGTCTTTTCTGTACTTGTCTCAACTCTTGCCAGAGTCGACTGCGCTCGGGCTCCTCCCTCGGCGTGGAGGTGTAGTTTGACCTAGTGGGACTAATCTCCCTAGCACGAGAGCTTCTGGACCGTGCAGGGCTAATAGCCCGTCTCCCCGTGAACCTGGGTCGTACAGGTGAGGACGGTGCTTGGGATGGTGGTATGGATGATTTATTCGATCTCGTTGGGCTGGGATCACGGAGTCCCCGATTCGAGGACCTGGCGCTCTGGCAGGCCAATAGGTTCGGGACGAGTTTGGTTTGCAAGAAGACGTGCAATGCTAGGCCTGGTAACCAAAATAGAAGATCGAGTAGCGGCAGGGCGGCTCGGTCCTACTTCTGAGCCTTCTGTTTCGCTCTCTACACGAGTATTTTGACGAGGAAATGGGCTGCGACTCGTGCGTACCGGTGGTTTAGGCGTGGAGTTGGCTCGCCCAGGACTAATGGACGGCAAACGAAGATAACGAGCGCGGCTATTTGAAGGTATTGAACCAACTTGTGCAGTCACGTGGCAGAAAGAACTTACGCTATTTCCTTCAAGTGAGTTTTTGTTTTGTAGGACTTGGTGCCACTTTTCGAATGCTCGACCTGGATTACGAAGGTTATGCACTGGATAAAATCGTCACATAAAGGAAATCTCACTCAGGACGGCATCGTTATGAGTTTCTCGAGCTCTCTTAGCCAGAAGCGCCTGCGGCATAGCAGCTCTCCAGATAGCCCAATACCTCATCTTGGTTCGTGAGGCCTGGAAGCGGATGGCTGGGAGAGACTGAACGGACGTTAACAGACGTGTAAATGTTAGAAGGGGGAAAGAAGAACATACTCGGGTCTTCGAATGCCAAATACCAAACGTACGGAAGAGGAGGTTCTTTTGATTTTGAATCCCTATCTGGCGTAGCTATTATTTTCGAAGTTAGGAAGGTATTCTTTGTTGAGGATGCCACAGAACTCACAAGGGGTCGAAGTTTTTCATCCATGTACCGTTCTCTCCATCTGTTCCAAGCAACCTGCACATTTGCGCGGTCAAATTCGAGTTCCTTTTCGCGCAAAGTAATGCGTTTATGACGTCGAGCACGAGCCCCCATCAGCCAGCGATGGAACATCCGGCGAACGCTCTCTACAGTGCGAGGATTAGACAACCAGCTAGCTAGATAACCCCAACCTAAGTACTGACCGGCCCTTTTGATGTCAAGATGACTCTCCATGAGGCTCAAGTCTTCAACGTGACGCAAACATATGTTCTTCCACTTCTTGAAGGCGAAGCTGAAGAAAAGGTCAGATGTATTGAAATTATGGAGGTGCAAACGGTCGCGTACACTGTTAATGCGTGGGCGCTTTTCTGGCTGACTTCCAGTTCCCGTAGCTTGATTTCAATGACACGATTGGTCCAGAGTCTCAGAGCATCCCCGTTTTCGCTATAATGCATTTAGACTGAATTTCAACGCTTGAAAAATCGTTCGACTTGCTAGAGACACGAGATCATATATTTGCTGCGCTGCCAACCGCCGGAATCGCTTGGTTTGATATTTCTGGTGCCATGCTTCAGGTAAAATAAAAACATCAGAGACCAGCTTATTAGATCATAGATACATCAACTTTACCTGTCATGAAAGTGCGAAGTCGACGCATCTCAAGATTTTCTAGTTTCTTCTGCCTTTGGCGTTCCTCAAACTTGACCTTCCAGGATTTCAAAATCCTTCGCTGAAGAATGAAGTTCTCCACGAATCGAGCTTGTTTCAAAAGCATCATCTTCGCTCTCAGCTGGATGCGCCACTTGAGTAGCGCATCATACTGCACCCGAGCAAGGTTGCGTTGAACAGCAAAGGCATGGCGATTTTGGTAAATTGTATAGACCTGATGCCAATTTCGCAAAGCTGAAGAGACAGTATATGAATCAGAGCGCATGGAGAATGCGAGAGCATAATCTGTCTCGACGTTAAAGATCTCTAGGATAATTTGATTATTTAATCACACTCACCTTCGAGGTGCTTGCGTTCTCGCATGCGATCTTTCCAAACAGCTATTGAATTTTTCACTAGACGCATGTCTCTCACCCTTTCGAGCAGTTTCCCGCGTTCGCGAGCCTTCCAAACCCGTGTGATGGCTCGGAGCAAAAAAGCATCTTGACGAGCAAGGTATTTGTCGGCACGCTTTTCCGTAACCTACTAAAATCAGTATTGTTCAAAGATGTCGAGTAAGAGACCGTACGCGCATTCGATCTCTAGTAGTTTTCCATCGGTTTATCGCTCGCTTTAAGATAGCAACATCCCGATAGGCATCCGCTGTCTGACGCTCACGACTGCAAGGGGTGTTAGTTGTCTGAATGTGAAGAAAACTATATTCACTTACGTCTGCTTCTTCCACAAGTCCATTACAGTTCCTTTGATCCTGAGTGCTGCCTTGTGTGCAACGGTTTTTCCAGCATCTCTGGCAGCCATGGCCTTTTGCCAGTGCCTCCATGCTCTATGAGCAGCGCTCCCTTTGATTCTTCGAGTAAACTCGTCTGCAGCAGAATCCATGTGATCTAGCTTTAACAAAGAGTTTTTCCATCGCACGAAAAACCGTGCAACTATGCGCTCATTGTACTGCAGTTCCTTCAGAATAGAGCGATGGGACTGTTGCCATTTGATCCATGCATATTTGATAAGTTTAGTTTCATGCCTTTCGCGAACCGTCTTCATCTTGGCCCGCATGTCATTACGCCACTGTAACTGTTTTTTCTGCTTATGTTTTGCGTGCCAAGCACCAATGGCGAAGCGAAGGCAGCGCACATCGGCAATGGAAGCAGCGCGGGCGTGCATTTCAAGGCGTGTGGCAGTAGCATTCCGCCAGGAGCGCAATGAAGAACCTAGGATTACATTATCTCGAGCTTGAGTAACTTGTTCGTTCGTTGTCTAGACTATAGTATCACCACCTGACACGAGATCATAATCAGAAAATGCCTACCACTAGCCACTGGTAGCCGAGAACCCAAATCTCCCAACAGCGTTCGAGGAGTTTGTCTTCACGGAACTTATCCGCGTCTTCTTCATCTCGCGACATCTTAATTTTCTGCCAAGCTTCATCTTCATTGATCACGCTTCCCTTGCGCGCACGACCCTTTGTAAATTCGATCGCATCGACTGCCACGGGGTTTTGAATCGGTGACGATGCACGAAGTATAATTTGACCCCGTGCTTTTTGAGGGACAGGTGTTGCGACAGCAGCACGATACGATGGCGGAGTAGTTGATAAAGAAACTGGTACATCACCACCGTCAGTGGTATCTGACATTTCTTCCCATACGGCTGGCTGTTGATGACCAGCAGCTGTTTGAGGACGGGGAGTAGATACACGTGTAAGAGCAGGTGGAAGGATGCTGTTCGAAGGGCGGCTTGCATGCGTCCGTGTCACCCGCGTCAATTGTACTGATGCGTTGGGACGTGTAGCTTGGCTCAGGCGCGTAAGGGGGCAAGGAGGGGCCCGTTCGGATTCGGCATCTGAAAAAGGGGTTTCTGTTTCTGTTTCTGTTGCAGTTTCATCTTGTTCCTGATCTTGGTGTGAGTGAAGGGTAAACACATCATCATCCTCGTCGCGGACAGGCGTTTCAAGACGGGCATTTGATCTCGCAGGCTTCGAAGTCGGGATGGGTGCTTTGACAGACATCGTAGGAATTGGAATTTTTGAGGGGCCGTTATAACCATATTGTTGTTTCACCCCCTCCCATTTGTGATTCCAGCTTGGTCCTCGGAGTTTGCAGAGCTCCAGCAGCCTCCCGTAATGTACTGTCTCCGTCTGGCTATCCCAGCCCCGGTCGTGCAGCTCATCATTGTACGCCTTTAGTCCCGAGAGAAACGAGGTAGCATTGGGGGGTATTCTTTTGACAACTGCATCAAAAAACTCGACTTCCGCAGACGTCAGGTTATGTAGTTCAGTTTTTGAGGCCGCCGACCCGCGGGAGACGTCAGATATTGTTGCCTGGAAAGAGACTGACGGGCGTTGAGCTGCAGCGAGGGGCTTCGCGGGCGAGGACGTATTAGTTGGCTTGAAGCCGGGCATATAGACAAAATGGAGGTGTTTAGTGATGGTACATCGAGCAAACGTGGCATCCGATAAATGATCAACAAGTTGCAGACGCGTTCGCGACACAGGCACGTGCAAGTCCTCATTTACGTAATATCAAGCGAACCACTAGTTTTCAAAGTGGTACAATTGGCTGTCTTGTTTATTCTGTGTGCCTGTGGTTAGGAAACACTGTCTATTGTATCTCCCGAACAAAACCAAGTGTGCCGAGTGACGAAGCCAATAAATCCAACACTCGCCCACTCTCCTTCTTCTGCACTTTTAAGAGCTCCTCTAACTCAGCTCGCAAGTCCTCATTCTCAATAATCACGTCTGCATGGATTCGCAGGACGACATTTTGTAGTGTTTGCACTGCTTCAAAGTCGAGATGTGATTGCAGGCGTCGCTTGATGGCGCGAAGAAATTGTTGGAGGCTGTTCAACACTAACAAGCGCAACTCCAAGTCTATTGCCGCCGGCGAGAGGCTCTTAATGTAGTCGAACAACGCATCGTCTACTAAAAGAAGCCTTAGCGATCAACATCAACGAATCATGAACAGAAAGAATCATACAGCTACTATTTTCATCTGACTCGGCCAGCAACTTTTGTAACGTGCTTCGCGAGTTCGCAGCAATTTTGTCGAGCCTGCGGGTGTGTTTATCCTCCGTCTCTTGTTTCTTCTCCTCAATTGCAAAACAATGCTCGACACCCGGCAACGTAGGCAAGAAGAACGGTGCATGTTCGGGTTTTTTCGGTGGCTCTTTTGGTTTGTTCCGTTGCTGCAAAATAATTAATTCTAGCGTAAAACAAACAGACGAGTGCGAACCTGTATAACCTCTAGATTCAGCAGTGTCTGCCAACGTGCGCGAGGGAGTAACGTTAATGTCACAAGGTCTCCATCTAATTGAGATGGAGTCGAGAAGACGTCTGTGGGTTTATCTTCTACCCCCAGTGCTTCCAGAGCTTCTAATGCTGGATACAAATCAGTGATTATGCATAAAACTGAATGAACAAATAATTTGCCTTCATCTTCTTCAGATCCTTGCATCGAAGGAAGCGCAACTTCCGCAATATCACTTTCTGAAATAGCACGGAATGCAACCTCCGAGTATTGAGACCGATTTGCCCTATCCAGAGTTATCAACAGAGATAAGAAGTTGGTATGTGGCATCTTACCAAAGGAAAATGCCAACGCTGTCGACGTGCGTAGTGGCCAAAAAGTCATTTGTCGGCGAGAATGCAATGCTCGTCGCGACACTAGTTGTGCGAAACGCATTTATTAACTGTCCAGTAGGTATATCGAATGTCCGTATCACAGAGTCCAACGATGTGACCACTATCCAGCGGGAATCTGACGAAAACGCCTGTTACTGCTTCAGCAAAGTTCTGAAGTTCAACGCAGTGTCCGCAACCTACAATGTCAAGTATTACGAGCGTGAATGCCACACGCTAGTTCTCTGACAATTCTATGAGTCTCGATGTCAATGATTCGAACGACCATATCATCGCAGATGACTGCAAGCAATCCAGAGTCTCGCTGTAACATTATCGAACTGGCTGGAGTTGGTAAAACAATCACTTGGTCCAAAGTGCAGGCGTGGAAGTCAAAGAACTGTGACCACCAGTTATTATGAGTTAAGAGCGGCGGAAGAAGCAAAAACTCTCACATTCACAGTACCATCTGAGGTAGAGGCAATTACTACCCTGTTCAGAGCATCTGAAACCAGGCCAGTAATACTACGCTTCTCTGGCTTTTAGGTTCGTCATGGACGAAAGTTCGAGGCGATCAATCACGGCTTGAGGGCAAGGTCCAACCTTGAACGACTTTCGCTTCAACCCAGACTGCATGTTCCACATGTGTATCTCTCCCGTTGAAGATCCCGCAAGACCGAAATTTCCACAAGCAGTAACACAGACACACTAAATTACAGGATGAGAATACGGAATGAAATAAGGAAGACAACGTACCTTTACAACGCCTGAGGGAGACTTTCTTTTGAAACTTTCAGCGGAGTTGAACGTGTGCTTTCCAACGCGCTTGTTAAGCACTGTCCAAGACCGCACACACATCTCGTCAGTATGTGCAGTCAGAACGTCATCCCAGTCTTTGGATCGTGTCGACGAACAAGAAATGGAGGTGATAGGAGGGAATTTTAGTGAAGCAAGAGGTTTTGATAGAGTTGTAGCTTTGCGTGTGAGAGATCCTGAGTGGATTCAGGTTAGTCATCAATAACACCATTCTGCACTCAACACCCACCTTGCGACATTTCGTATGACCTCGAGTCTCGAACAACAGAAATATACCGTAGGGTACGGTCTGCTGACGCAGACAACAATTGTTTACCATCTTCGCCATAAAACCGAATGAGATGTGGGGGTGCATGATGACCGGATCTGAACTTCAGGAGTCGAGGCACAGCGGTAGGGGATTCGTACAACCATTGCTATTTGACGACCATTAGCGATAAATAGACCTGCTTATTCTTATAACTACCTTGACGCTGTTATCCTCACCTGAGCTGATGAGAACAGGCTGTCCGGGGACCCACTCAAGTGCACTAACAGCACCATCATGTGCACCCCGGATGAGGTGCAGAAGCCGACCTCCAGAATCTAGGTCCCAGAGAGCGATGTGTCCAGATGACGAGGCGGACGCCAGAATGGGGTGACCATCTAGTATGCAGCGAAATCAGAACTGAGTTTGCTCATGCCTGCAACAACATACCACTCCGGAAAGATAATGCCTTGATTCCTCCATTATCCATGTACATTCTCATGAGCCGCTCATCAGCACGAACGTCGTACACAGATATTTCCCCTGACATAAATCCAACACCAACCACATCGATAGCAGGGGACTGCGTTAATGCTGTGATGGGACTCGACAATGAGTTCATATGCTGCTGAGATGGTAATGTGCGCAATAGGGAATTGGAAAATTTGTGTATACAGGTTCTGTAGTAGCCGTTGAATTCAAGTGATAGATCGCAGATATTCAACTCACTGTGTACGGATGTTCCAAAGCTGCATATCGCCCTCATTGCTAGCAACTAGAACTTTGTTCAGATATGTGGCAGGATGGAGAATTGATGTAGCCGTAAACCCAATATCAAACTGAATAGTTGCGGATAGGGTTTGTTCTGGAGTGATTATGAAACAGATACCCAATTTGACAGAGCAGAAAGCGTACCATTGGTTGATATCTCCCATATTAGCATCCGCCCACCATCTTCCGTCAATGCAAGCAACTGAGAGCCAAATATAATGATGAATGCTAAAGGGGTCCGAAGCGGATTTGACACGCGTAGAACCTGTAACTGAGTTCATAAAAAGCACGCGGAATATCTGAAAGCTCCTACCTCTTTTCCTCGAAGATATTTGATTACATGGACGCCTGACGCTGCCCAAACAGCATCTCCATCCATAACTAGGCACGAAATGGGGTCTTGAACTTCCGGACCTGCGCATCATTACATAGGAAAATCAAACATGCCTTCTGACTTGAAATATACCAATAACTCACCCACAAATAACAGGCCCATTTTACCCCCCTCCCATAACGCCCATGATCTGCCGAGACAGGTCAAAATGTGTATCCGGGGCCCATCAGTAGCATCCTTGTAAGACCTGGTTTGCAGATAGAATGGTATATGGTTTGTGATTAGACCCAGAGCGCGGAATGGCGCAAACAATATAGGTACTCTGGGCAGGGGAGCGGGACTCGTCGCACGTTTGCGTTTTGTGCTGTTGCGAATCCTTTTGCGAGGGCGAGCTTCTATCATCTCCACATCTTCGGCGCTCTGAGTGGCCATAGTCCCGCTGATCACCTGCGCTAGGCTAGAAGTAAATGGACAAAAGACCAACGAGAGTGAACGATCGCAAAAATCATTGAAAATGTATAGCTACTTTGAAAAACCATCTCACGTGACTTGTAAAATATCAATCGATCAAATTTGGATCAAATATGTACAGTGTACCTATGATAGTTAATTTACTTCTTCGACTGCTTTTCTAGAGTCTCAGACATTGTTGAGCAAAATCGCTGACTAAAAGAGCACGGTGCTCCGGCTTTCCATAAATTTATGTAAAAGTGAGCCACATACCCGGGATTTGCCAGAGGCTCTTGCATTCAATTAAATATCGCAAACCACAATATGTGAGCGCCCCCAACTTTGAGCGTCGACACGCTCGGCACCATGTCAGGTTCATCAAGATTACACGATCCATAACACCCCTGCCTCTCACATCTGAACACCGTGATGAGATCGATCGAATCGTACTTGAAGAAGCTGACCTTGAAGATGAAGGGACTAATTGCTACTTTGTGATCATGTCACAAACTATTTCGGCGGCCAGTAAATTGCTCAAACGCGAGCACCTGAAGGGTGGTCTTGACACGGAAGTGTCATCGACGAAGAAAACATTACAGAAACACCCTCAACTACTACTGGAAGTTATCCGCCATGCCTGCCAGACGCGCTCATTCTCCCACATTGCTGACCTCGGTGAGTGTTCGTGTCAGCAAGCGACATGAATGTCCCTTTGTTGACAGTTGCTAGAAATGCATAAATATCCCAAATACCTCAAGCTAGCGATACCGTGCAGTCGTCTCAAGGTGAGAGACTTTTATCTTGTAACATTTAAAGTCACATCTCAGGTCAGTTGTATCCTAAATGAGGACTGTTCAGACTTTCTTTACGATTCATTCGTCAGACCTTACGTTGGCAAGGCTGTGGACGGTTTCTACGAATACCTGAAAAATAACAACGTGAAGTTCACGGGTGGCATGCATAGGCCATACTATGAATCTGTTCGATCGACCAAAGTTCTGGTACAGGAAAATCAAGACTAATGACCGAGGTTAGCGTTTTACAGTCCATTTTCGTATCAGGTTGCTAAAGCATCTAATTTAGCTCTGGAACAAAGGTGTTATTGTTTTGTACATGAACCTTCGTGATCCAAGTGATCGGGGCTTCCCTATGCGAGACCTAGTGCCCGCGCGTATATTGACGAAAGATACGGACTGCACTCAAGCCGAGTATACCGCTCGTTGTTGCGCCTTCTTTACAGCCATATGTCAGACGCTTCAGGAGGATCTGAGCAGCAAACTACCTCGGCTACGCTCTGGCAATCCTGATCCTGTAATCAAATCATGGAATGACCACATGTGCAGTATGCGCTCGAACGCGAGTTCCGAGTTCTTTCAGAAAGTTCATTCTCGATATCAGGAGGTGAGCAGGGAAAATCATAGTCTATTGACAGATGGACTAAAAAAGTTTGCAACAGACCCTTACCAAGATCAAAATACCAAACCCCGGAGAGAAAACAGACGTGAACTCCGCTGCGCCAACAGCAGAGGAGACCGCCGCAAAGTTAGGGAGTATGTCTCTCACGGGTAATTGTTGTAATTTGCGCGATGCAGCCATCTGAGCTCACTGCGTGATCAGACGAGAAGATCGTGGCGCAGAAATTGGAAGGCGAATCATTTGTCACGACATCTTATAACAACATGCTGATGGTTCTGCAACATATATTTACTGAGAAAAACAAGGACGAGGTTTCGAATAATGATCCCAAACTCGTGATAGCATTTGATGAGGCCCACCCTCTGAGCAACATGAGTACAAAGGGTTTTCGTCCATCACATATCATTGGCAGAACGATCAACTGCTACTCCAAGAAAAGCGATGCATCAATCTAGGTCGTCTTTGCATCCACGACCTCGCAGGTGGCAGATTTTTCAGCGCCTCAGTCGATCCGTAAGTACCTGCTATACGCTGCCTGTTTCCAACCTTGAACAATCTAGCAGATGATTCTCTGCGCGTAGCGATAGCCGGCCAACTCCTCTATCCGCCCTATACACATCTTGGTTGGGACCAGAATGCAGATCTTCTGTCTAGTACATCGGCGAATAATGTTGCAAGCTTTGATCACATCGTTGGATTCGGTCGTCCACCGTTTGTCCCTAGGTTTCTATTCTCGATTTCTATCTCGTTGACCACCATGAATAGATGGAAGTCACTCGTAGGGAAACGTACTATCGCTGATGTTTTGGAACTGGCTGCCCAGAAACTCTGCAAATCGATAGCATCTGACGCAAATGATGCGAACCAGGCTCTTGCTATACTGTCCCAGAGATTCGGTCTCGACGTTTGCTTGGGCCACCCCGATGCTGTGTCTTATCTCGAAAAAGCAGTAGCCAGTTACCTGCGCATATGCTTCTCGACGACCGAAGACAGGATGTGGACCTTCACCGGTTATCCATCAGAACCCATTCTGTCTTGCGTTGTAGCAATTATACTCCATAGGACGCCTAACGATCTGAATGTCGTTTTGGGGATCTTGAAAAAAAGGTTGATGGTGGGATGGTCGAGATAGGACAGAGCGGGGAGTTAGCAAGCAGGCTTTTGCTGCTTCTTGCTAAGGATCTCTTTATTCGCAAAGACCCCCCTAAAGGCGTGATCCGGGATTTATACTATAACGGAAGTGGGGATGCGGAACTGATAGACTGCCGGAAGGTCTCCGTCATTGATTTCCTGGAGTACCTATTTGGCCAGACGTTCTGGTCGAGGACAGTTGAGGAGGCCAAGGCAGCTTTTCAGCATGCTTACATCAATTTCTCGCACTGGGTGTCTATGACAGAGTTCATCTTACCGCCAGTTCCCGATCAAACTGACGCTGATTCGTTGAGGTGAGCAAGCTTCTAGGCATCGTGATATTATATCTAAGATTATTACCTCTGTATAGTGCTAGATGCAGCGCCAAAGAGTGGACTTTGCGGCACTGGCATCGCACAAGCGCGGTCCAATGCTGTCATCTGCAGCTGCTCGTCGACAAGATGATCCCCATCTATTTTGACGATCCTGCCCTCGGCTCTGATGATCTCAGTCGCGTCTCACAGATGTTTATTTCCGACAAAGCGGGGAAGAATTGCCATGAGCATGACTTAGGGTTGGTCACTCGCACGCATGATTCAATCCAGTGCCTATCGAATCTCCCCTACATCGCTCTTCTTCTCGACCTGAATGTGAAATCAAAGCTTAACGTTACGTTCCCGGAGAAGGAGCCAAATCACGCAGAAAAAGACCGATGTCTGCGGATCTACGCTTCTGGAATAAGCAAAACCACATTTCCATTCTTGAGTCAACATCCCCAAGTTGCGAGCCAGCTGCGTGGGCTTGTCTCTCGGCAGAAGGAAGTACCATCCCAAACCACTCTCGAAGCCCTGGTCAGATTTGGGAGTACCGCTAGGCTACGCAACTTGCAGTGGGAATTACAAGATACATGATAATTCAGTACAACTCGGATCATGACTGTACGATTGTATTAGTAGGGTGATTGCGCGCAATTTCCTTAGGTGTATGATAAACAATGATCGTAGTGCTGCTGCTCTGTTCGATCTGTTTCCACCCTATGTAGCCTTGTAGTTTTACGATTTTTCAAGGAACTTTTTCGGTCATTTATTTTTTATTTTACACAACAAACATTGTTCTTGGAGCCCCCACTCACTCACATCACCGCAAACCGTTCCTCTTGAACGCCCCAGGAAGGACCGAGTCAATGGGTTCATCGAACTTTTCATCCACACATGAGTATATTCCTAGATGATCAACATCGGTTGATTTGCAAGTGACAGAAGTACATATGATGTTCCAGTCCGTTTACAAGCCATTCAAATAATTGCTATGCGAATCATTAAACTTCATGCACCACCAGAGACCACCATCCATAAGGTATAATCACGTATCGCCTGGCCCTCGCTCTATGATTCCGTCTTCTGCTCGACACTAGGAGTGTCGTCTGTCATGTCCATTTGTGTGCGTTCAGTGGCGTCATCACGGGAGGCTTGTATCTTTTCATTCTCAAAATGTTCCGACTCCATGACTGGCAAGCCTTCTTCTATCGTAGCTTGAACGGCATCTTTCTCAACGTCTCCTGACTTCTTCTCTCCGCCATGGATGATCGTGCGCTGCAGTGTGTAGCTACGAACAAAGAGAACTAGAAAGAGACCGACCGCAGATAGTGGCACGTTGACCAACCAAATCGTGCTGATAGACCGCGAGTAAGCGTGCATAACCTCATCGCGCACTGTTATATTCTGGTAAGATTGGTAAGTAAGCCAGAAACACAGATGGTAAAATGTTTCTGACAGAAATAGAAGAGATCAGCCTGATGTCATCATTCAAAGCTGCTGGGGAAGTGTCGATGGTGAGGCCTTGGATGCCAAGCAGTTTCTGTTGGAGCACACTGGAAATGATAGCCTCCCCGATAGTAATACCAATCGTACCACCAAGAGTTCTGAAGTCCAATAAGTACCAACGAAATGCACACTGTAGAGTAACACTCACCGGAGGAATACGAAAGTGCCTGTACTGGTAGCCATATCCTTGAGGGGCATGGCCGCCTGTAAACCAATAAGCGGGGTCTATCATAGCAGCGATGATGAGTACAGATTGTTATGGTAATGTAGTAAACTCACCTGGAACAAGCAACCGATGCCAAGTGCTGCAATCAAGGGGTATACTTCCTTCTCTGCACTATTTAAAAGAGCTATAGTGAACATCTGACTTATGACAGCGACTATAGACATACGTAGTGCTCGTATAGTCCAGCATGATCATGAGACCCCAACCAAGTGTCATGACAGTCCATCCAGCCCACATGACAGGACGGTAGGATCCGGTGCGGGTCACGATCATTCCAGAAACCGCTGACATGAGCGCGCCCGTTAAAGAATAAGGTAGCATTCTAAGCAAATTAGTAACTTGGAAACAACGACATATTCAATACTCACTCGACGCCAGAGGTCGTTGCCGATGCGCCAAGGACTGGTGTTGAGGTCAGCAAGGTGCATATTTGAAGGCTAAGGGATAGATCTACCTTGGTAGTACATTGGAAGGTAGCTAGAACACCGCATGAGATCGTCAAGTACAAGTCTGTCTACAAAATACTCACTATGAACCTGGAATGGCCATATGCGTAATTACTAAGACCCAAGCCAAATTTGCGCACATGACGTACCTGAGAAGAATACCACAGCATGCAAGAATACAGAAACTAATATCAAGCCAGTTGTGCGTGTCTGGCGAAGTATGAGAGACAAGATGAACAGCGTTCTCGACAACTCACCTTGAAAAGACGAGGAGGGATGATGGGAGATCGCTTTGTATATATCTCATTGATGCCACCAAGGATTAGCAACGTGCCTCCCACAACAAGGAGAGCAATGGTTTCGGCACTTTTCCCTAGAGAACAGTAAGATTTGGCTTTTAGAACATAAAGGATAGCGGTACATGTTGTTTCACTCGAGTTGAAACCTATAAGCAGGCAAATGACACCTGCGATGATCACGAAAAGCCCGACGAAATCAAATTCCCGGATATGGTCGCGGAATGGTCTTCCTTGATGGGGGTTTAAATTCAAGTTGAAGAATAAAAGTGCCCCAGCTAAGCCGCCAGTCGGTCTGTTTTAATAATGAGTTCTTGATCTCAGCGCAAACATCAGAAATGCATATCAAACGCACAAATTAATCCAGAAGCACCTGGTACGCGTCGATTAAAATTTCGAACAACAACCGAATGCAAACACTCACCACCGCCAAGTTACATGATCAGTAAAAACCTAGAACAAATCATCGATTCTCAGATATCTTCAGAGGATGCAGGAACCTTACGCCACCGATTAATGGTCCAACAACGCTGACAAGATAGATGAAATTTTAAACTTTATGGTGACGAGTCGGTCTTACCTTGCTATGCCCCAGGTGGCACCGAGTAAGCCGCCATACTTTCCTCGACTGAAAAATAAGCAAGATGCATGATAAACCAGAGTTACTGACAGACACTCACTCTTGCAATGATACAATGTCAGATATAGTGATCTGTACGAGTTGCATGATGCCTCCGCCGCCGATTCCTTGCACAGCACGACAGACAATCAACCATGTCATATTCTGTGCTGCGCCACACAACGCTGAACCAATCTGATCTATAATGTCAAAATAGAATATGACCCACGTGCTGGGAACATACTAAAAATATGACGATGGATCCATATAGTATGGGTTTACGGCCTGCAGATCTCATTCATTAATTTCCAAAGGACGATGTGAATGAGCATGGCACTGAAATGGTACTGGCCTGTAATGTCGGATAGCTTGCCGTATAGCGGGCCCAAAGAAGCGGACGCCAACATGTACGCACTGCATGAAAAGATATTATTAGAGTGTGATCGAGCCAAACTTGCACTGGCATATACGAACCTGCCTACCCAACTGTAGTTATTTCCCCCTCCAAGGTCCGCTACGATTGTGGGCAAGGCTGTGGCTACAATGGTCTTGCGAAATGTGAGACAATTTTCACGAACAAGATAAGGAATTGTATACTTGATCTAAAGCCGCCAAGAATGTACTGCACATCAAGCCGAAAAACACGATGCCCAAGCGATTTTTGGGGACGACATGCTCCTCGCCCTTTTTCCATGATGCGCCTGGCTTTTCTTTGGCCTCTTGTACTGGAGATGACGGCTCTGCCATTTGTGAAGAGTCTCGTCAGTGGCAATCACTCGAGGAAACTGCGAGTGAATTTCGAGAACGGACTGACAGCGCCAAAAGAGGACGGGTAGAAAGAAAGTGGGTTCATATTCGTGGATGTCTGCGTGTAATACTTAAGAGTAGAAGTGTTGCTCGAAAGATGTGCCGACTCTGCCGAGGTGCCGGCCCTCAGCAAAAAGACTTCGCTGACTCAGTCATCTAGACAAGATTGGTCACAAGAAAGACTTACTTTGTGAAGCATGTGAAAATCGGCGCGCCGTTGCAAGTAAAAATGTGTTCAGGGGTAAAGTTCATCCGCTCGACACGCACCACCACATGTCAGCTTTTAGTCACATATTCGGAATTATAATTAGAGAAGAGAATCCTTCCGCAGACCAGAGGTTTTTCGCCGCTTTGTTGATGCAACAACAAATCAGTTGTCCTGGGAATCGCAGTTTCAGATGGACCTCGCTGCGGCGCCGTAGTCTAATTACTCGGAGGTTTTCGCAGGTTTAACGTTTAATCTGTGAGGGTCGTAGTTTAATTACAAAAACCCAATTCCAGACACGCACCTGCAGCTGGTGATCCACCTTGTGAACGTTTGAACGATGAACGATTTACATAATTTGTTGACGGGGTAACGACACTGCTTAGCCGAACATTTTACCACGGAAGCTCTGCGGCCAGTCATCGATACTGTATTGATGAACATCTATGTCGACTTGTCATAGAAACAAGAGGTTTTAGCATATTTTAACTCCATGAACACCAATGAACTTTGTTCTTGCAAAAGCACAACGGTTTACGATTACAGCAACAAACCACGTACTGTGCCCAATGAGTTAATGATGCATGACTCAATGTCACAATGTGCAGGCAGAATGACAGAATGACATTGAACTCCCCACGTCGACCCTCGTCAGCTACGGTTAAAATTAGTCTCCCCTATACAGCCCTTTATAGACGAAGGAAAATAGTTGCTCCGTCTAATCGACAGCTTGCAATGAGGAATCATGCGATAGACAGGAGCTGGGGGCCACGACAAACACATAAATAGATTTTTTCTGCGATGATACCTTCCAATTGGTGTAGAGGTCGATCTCAATACTATGACTTTGGGCAGCTTTGGAGTCTAATACAGGGCAAAGGAGGAGAACAGTATATGCTGGTGAGGGGACACTGAAACCGTCGTCGATGATTTCTCGGCATGTGGCACTTATCGCCCTCGAATGTTCGTTAGTCGCCGCAGAAATTTTGGTGCTACATTGAGTCAGCCAATGAAATTCAATCATCGGTAGTCCAATGACTGCGTGGGATTTCACTAAAAGTCCTTGTTCAATAGTCGGCACTGCAGTCGCAATACTCACCATGGCTTTCCAAAAAAATCTTGAAACCACGCATAGCAAGTGAGATGTTTCTGACGCAACAAAAGATTGGCGACCGAAAGAGTAAAATCACAGCAACAGCCGGGTCACCGGCATGGGATCTAGACTTGGCATGAGACTCAGTTTAAGATAGTGACCGAGCCACCCTGGCAAAATAACCGCCTTAGCCCTAGGACACATGCATATATGTAGAAATACTTACTGTTGTTCATGATGCAATAACGTTGTGATAGCCAAAACTCGTGGTTTAGTTCCTGGACGCTTCACGATGGACAATTGATACATCGCTGCCTACATTAATTAGTACGGTTGAAATTGTCCGGAGCCTATTGAAAAGGAACGACTTCCTTAGTTTACATACAACGCAGACAAGCTCGCAAAGGAAGCTACCAGTCACAACATAATGCGAACGCACGACGATGTAATAAAGAAGATCTATTGAAGAAGTGGACGGAAATTGTAATTGTCCTCTATTCACCCGTCAGCGCATCTACCTGCGGAAAGTTTCTTGCAACCTCATACCAAGTGAAATCATGGGAGAAATAGTCAAATTTATAGAAGAGTCTGATGCATGCAAAAAGATTAGATAAGGATGATGACAACATTGCAAGAGGACGAATAGATGAGGTTGAGGAGGGACGCGCTAGAAAATTTTGGGGAGAGAGGATGTAAGAAATGGACAGGGTGAGGGGAAATGGGAGGAAGGAACAACAACGTTTTGAACGTGCCAGTTTAATATTCGGACATCTTGCAACGCAAGCTAGAAGCATAAACGCAGAAATTCTCAACCAAATATTAGTACATTAATTATGTAATCCCAGTTAGCCTCGTCCGTTGTTGCTATAAAAAATCTCTGACAAATCGGGTCCATAGTGATACTTTGCTGAGACCCCGGATGGATGGCTCCCCGGACACCTCGGAATACAACTGTTCTTCTACACAGACCTCGATGAGCTCACTCATCGGAGAGCCCTTCCAGGTATCAAGCTACCCTGTTTCAACAAGAACAAGGCACGAAAAAGTACACAATCCTACATATGCGTTATACAGCCGCGATTTTCCCGGACATGCAACAGTGACCGTCCAAGCAGAAGGCATACATATCGTTGATGTGAGTTTTCTAAACTCCTGCAAAGAGGTGTTGATGGAGGTTTTTCTGTTTTAAGCTATCTGAACTTCATACAGTGGCATCGCACACCTGTGGATCTAATGTTGCATTCTCTGGACCTGCGAGTAGCCGGTGTACGCTAGAGGATGATGGGCGTGTATGCACAACCTATGCACTCGTCTCTTCCGCACCAGAGGTTGCTGCGAAGAACAGGGACCGGACGGTATGGATTATGAAGCAGAAAATATTAGGTGGCACCTCGGGAAAAAGTGACAAACGCGAAATTGTGGTGTGTCTTGCTCATGAAAACATCCCGAGTCATATCCTACCCTGACGCAATCGTTAGCTGCCTCACGAAGTCGCACGTATCTACTCAGATGATAAAAGTTCAAACATTTTACTCGTATCTTCCACTGGTGATATCAGTGTCGCAGATGATGAGTTGAACATCCAGTCCACTCTCATGTGTCCGCATCAACAAAATTTCCTAGACGTGTTTTTCTTCCCTGGCACATCATGTACTTTTCTGCCGCCTCATGAAAACACCCCAGACACCATAACAGTGTTCTGCTCGAGCTCTGACTCCACCCTGCTCGTGTCCGTTGTATCTGTCACTGGCAAGGATATGTCCATCATCAGCAAAAACCAAGTTTCGATCTCCCATGCAGTCTCGGAACCGAAAAAACAACACCACGTTATCGCCCTTTCATGTGGTCCCTGTGGGGTGTTGAGCTACATAAGTGAGCTTCTGTATCTGTTGTAAATTGAAGATTTCTCACATCGTTAAGATGAATCGCACACTTGGGCTGCTTACCAGCTCGAGGTAAACAGCCCAGAAACATCCATAACACAGATTGGCAAGACATTATCTCTGGCCCAATTATCGCATTCGAATGTTCATTCCTTTGGACGCGGCATGTGTCTCCTTTCACTGGATTCTTCGTTGGTTCTCCTCGCCACCATGACCGATACACCATCGTCAGAGATATCAATCCTTCTCTGGGACATGCGGTACGGTGTAGTTATTGCATCACATGCTATCCCAATACCATCCGCTCTTGCGCCGAGCATCAAAATGGGCATTAATATGAGCTTACTGCTCGCAGATGCAGGACAAGTATTATTAACATTGTGCCCTGCAAATGTTTCACGGACCGCCCCGTCGACCTCTGATTCTTCATATCGTTCCATAGTTTACATTATTCCCCTGGATCGGAACGTGAAATCTACCATCGCTGGTGCGATCGGAAAAGCTCACGCAACTTCTGAATGGCTGGCACCGAATCCTAAAGCTGAAACGCTAGCGGACAATGACCCTAGATCTAAACTGCTTGTCGACATGTCGAATCATTTGCAGCACAATGAACCTCATAAGGCGGATGAAGCATTTTTCAGATGGGTCAAGGGGCACACTTCAGCTAGCGGGTCATCCTCAAGTAATGTACTGTCAATCTCGACACCGGTACGCAGTTACAGTCTCAGTCAGAGTCTCTGATGCCGAGTTTGCCAATAGGACGGAGCGGCGTCGGAAGCTCTTTATGGCTACGTTTTTGTCAAAGAGCTTCTAGCCCTTTTCTTTGTAAAGGAATACGCTAACAAGCCTCAATACTCTCCGCGTGTCATACGTCACTTGATTGAAAGTCGCGTCGTCAGCGCAGGCATGGTAGAAGGCAGGCTTCTCACAGCACTAAAACGACACGGCGACTGGGTGGGTGATTATGTCTTTAGCATGATATGACCAATAATAGCTCGTGCAATAGGAAAGTATCATGTCATCGTTCAACTCGGTCGTGGATATATCCGAGGATGAAATGATCTCCCTCGCCAAGGCGCTTATTGATGAACAGCGAGAACCACAAATCGATCCAGAGGTCATGAATGTAGACGGCAATAAATCCTGGACCCCAACTCTATCAGCTTATATGCTGATGTGTGTCTCATATCCAACATCCCCTGCTCCCCTGCGTCTGGCCATCAGAAAACACTTGACAGACGCGCAAGATCTCATTTTGATCTTAGAATTGTTGGACGGCTGGACAGTTGGTGGAACCGAGGAATACCTTCGTACTCTTCTAAAATCTGTGGCATCGAATGCTTCGATAGAACACCGTGGCGGAGTGGCCCCACCATACGATAAGGTATGCTTACGTCCAATAGCCAAGATAAAGTCTGACGTTTTACAGACAATATCCTTCCTGCAAGTCTTGCTGGACGCTTCGTTTGTTTCCTTGTTGCAATTCCCTCCGTCGCACGAACTGCTTCGAAGTATCATGTCGCATATAGAACCCGAGGTAGGACTTCATGAGCGTATGGGGCACCTTCGAGGGGCATTGGAACCCTTTGCCAAAGTTCAGAGCCGAATAATGAAGGAGAGAGCTGAAGGAACGCCGAAGGAAACTCCGAACGAATGGAGAAAAAGACGTAAACATCAAGAACAACAGATCGCACTCGGGGTTGGGCTGTATAGATTGGAGGAGCTTGTTATCTAGCGCAGATCTGTGTCTCTAGATGAGAATTCTGAGTTGGATGAGTGCTCTGCAATGATTTTCCGTGCTCAAACAAAATTTACACGTTAGGGACTTTAGCCTGCTGAGGTTGAAAAAGCTTCTTCACAAGAAGGCGTTTTGTTGAAAATATTCAATGGAGGGACTAAATAGTGGGGCACCGCGAATGTATCGCGAGGTACGGACAATTGATAGCAAGTGGTGATGACGCCTATGATTCAAGCATGGGGGAAATTCTCACCCAAGACATCATACGTGCACCGAAGCCTACTCCAATGGGATCCTAAAGTTGTTTGGATCACATTATGGAGGACGCAGGTGGGTAAACTGGCGTTTGACATTACACAGGCGCACGCATTCAGCGACAGCGTGCTTACACAAGCCGCATACTGCCACATGCGTAAGTCCTGCTTAATTACACCCTCCTCGACTATCTTTCAGACCTTTCTTTCTCCCAGACGTCCAGGGCTTCGCAATCCTCCAGGTCTCGGCGCGGTAGCCACTCGTCGTCTTCTGGCCCATGCTCTTCTCGTCTATGATTCTGCCAATGAAGTTCTCAGAACCCGTCCCCGAACCACCCTCATCCCCCCTGACGTCTATTTCTTCAGACAATACACCCGCCCACCATATTGTACCTACGAAAAGGTATTACGACTCTTCCTCCTCAGAATCCGATACAGATAATACGCATACATCCCGTAACCATCCACGCACGATGACTAAGTCGGCAAGAGTTGAGCAGTCCGCCCCCCAATAAACTGCCCAAGCTCTCGGCGGGCGAACTCACGCCGGAAGTCGCTCGTGATTGGGACAACGCCTGTACGACGTATTTCATGCACAAAAAAATCGATGCCAAGGACCAGGTGAAAATGATCGCGTTCGGAATGTTAGACCCTCGCCTTCGCACTTGGTACTTGACTCAAAGAGCAACATTGGACGGAGGAACATTCACCCAATACATGACGGCCCTCAAGAATGCCTGGCTCGAAAGTCATTGGGACACCAAACTTCGTAGAAAGGTTCTTGGATCCCAACAGGGAAACCGGCCGTTCTATGAGTGGGCTCTAGAGTTACAGAATCAGAACGCGTTGTTATATGGCAGTACGACACACCTGACAGATGCACAATTACGGAACCAACTCGAAGCAAACATTTGCGAGGAATTGACCATTCCTGTACTTAGGGCGAATCTCGCCGACAACCTCACACTCAAGGCATGGATCGAAGAGGTCAAATATCTCGACGATAAACGTCTCGAAGACCTCGCTGCCCATAGAAAGATAGCTGAAGACCTATACAAGTCATCTAGACGCGCCGCACCCACTAGCGCTCATCGTCTTCTCGCTTGGGTTCACTAACAGAGTCTGAACGCACATTGCTGATGAAACATAAAGGCTGTTTCAAATGCAGGAAATTCTATGTGTCGCACCAGTCGAGAGAATGCACCGAAGGAGCACCCGACGCCTCGGCCTACAAAACACTCACAGAATCGGACGCCATCGCAGCGAAACTGAAGACAAGAGCCGTTGCTGCAGCAAGGCCATCATCAGTGCTCGACGATGAGACAGATTCAGAAGATGACATTTCTGATTGACGAAAGTGTCGTCAACAAGCTTGGGCTGCGTAAACGCAAGCTACATACAAACAGAGAAGCCAATTCAGCATTCATGGACGGTTCTACGTCTTCCCCTTTCTCTTTTTCTGAATATGTTCTGTTGTCTCCGTCTTCTGTTAATCACGATTGGACTTCGCGCACTATTCGTGCTATTATTGCACCGAGACTCGCTGTTCCGCTCCTCGGAGGAGGACCTTTCTTATCACACAATTGCCTTGTTATAGATCACGACTCGCGAACATATATCGTGAAAGACTCAAATTATGATCTGTTGAACCCCCCCCCCCATGTGCACACGCCCAGAAATTGTCATTTGTGGGTGTGAAGAAACAAGATTACAGATGTCCTCGTGATTTCAAGACTCCCACTCACAGTATTATCCAATGATTCGATAAACGGAGGTGGCAACGAATTGTACTTGTTGGTGGATTATCCATTGCCATATCAGGGGTGGCCTTGGATGCTGAGCGCTGAGCTGCACTTCAATATTTGTTCAGTCCTGGCTGTTTAGGTCATGACCAGAGCTCGTCGCGAACGTCATTTCACCAAAATTCGACTTGTCTGATGTCTTAATACTACGATCGACATCACTGAAAGGTCTCACCTCGTGTTCGACCAACAAATGTGAGGGTTGGCATTTTGAAAATCAGCAGCTAGCTGTCATGAAAAAAAATTGTACCCAACAATACATGTTTCATCTTCTCCAATAATTCGTACATTTGAAGCCTTACTGCCTATGAGCACTCAGCTCTCCGGAACCTTGGAATTTCAGCGTCGAACCTACACATGTGTGAATGCGATGCACCAGTTTGGGTCGAGATGAACACACCATATCCAATTCTGTCTTGTTAACCATGTGTGGTTAAAGCTGCCCTGGGAGAGCGACCATCTACAAATTGCCTTGGCAAGCTCGGTGTCAGGGAAGCTATAGTTATAACGGAAAACAGTGGTCATGACTAAATGGGTGCGAATTTTTGGTACTTGAGGGGTGGAATCGCCTTCGCATTCCATTATCCAACCATTATGAACTGAGGGGTCCCAGGAAAAGCGTTCGGAGGATGTGGACAATACTGGGCGGGGCGTGACCCCCGTAGTGTCCAGAGGAATGGACCAGCAGTGACAATCACCCACCCACCTCTTCTCGTCCAGAAGAAATAATTGGGGATAAGTGACATGTTCCGGCCCGAACACTGCATAGACTCTCCAACCCCTCCGCAGATACTTTGCGACGGCATCCAATTGGTTCGACCCGGGAATTCGGATAGCCATTCGCTCCTCGAAGGTTGCGACTGGGTAAAAAGAGAAAGCTGCATCGAACGTAATGATATTCATCACGCAAGCTACAAGTAAAGCGTCAAAAATATGCTCAAAGGAAAAGCGACAGTTTAACAAACTTGAATGAAATTGCGTGATAGTCTGGACAGGATTGCACTTTGTTGCGATAACCTGAACCTTAAGCATCGCCATCTCTGTATCCATATCCACAGAGCGCGTGAACGTGTAAACACCTGCGACTTCAGAGTACATGGGGTCTGGTACACCATTGAGCATCATTTCTCCGTGTCGGTTGACTCTTCTTGTTGTACCGTCCCAGTCAGCTGAAACTTCGTCATGCCAGTCCTTCTGTTGCCACGCTTCAGGTTGGTATGTATACCCAACAGAGTCCAGCCACTCTAGCGCCTCGTGAACGTGACCAGGATGAGCGTAGAGGTCAAGGTCTGATTCGGGATAAAAGCTCCTATCAAGGAACTGCAACGCATTGGAGCCTGAAATGATCAGTCCGGTGCGTGCTTGGAGGGATCGAAATGCAAGGGGATCCGGGAAATAACGAGACAAGTGTCGATTGATGTTGTACGCACGGCGTATAAAGTGAGTTACGGCCTCGTGTGCACAACGACATGTGCGCGAAAGCCACACGAGGGTGCGAGGGCTCAGATCGCATAAAATGAGGTCGTAGATCGGTGGTGTGGAAAAGACTTCTTGGAGGAAGCACGCTGGCAACGGTCGCGGGAGCTCTGGCTCCCACATCATGCGATAGTGAGGGTAAGTAAAAGAGACTGAACTGAAGTATCAGTTTTGCATACTAATTGAGTCAAATTTACCACATCAGAAAAAAAATACAGAATAAGTACAGTTTTGTATGCATAATATCGAAAAAAATCAAGGCGCTGCAGGTACCCCAAAGGAGCGCGAAGCGTTACGCTTGTTCCCTGTATGGGCCAGTATCTCTGATTCCAAAACCTTTACTTCATCTTCTAGTCGCCGACGTTGCTTTGCAAGCATTTGCAGACGCCTTTCTTCACGCTTATTTGAGGTGGGTGCCGTCGCGACTCTAGACTGCATAGCCTGTGCAGCTTCAACCTTCGCATGTCAAGTGATGATCGTGCAAGATAAGAGGTAAATTGCTCACTTTGCTTTGAATCAAGCCCTCTCGACGAGTCAAAGCGCCGAGACCTTTCTCTGCACGGTCGATAAGTTCATTGATCTGAGGCTCAATCTCGTCTGCAAGATCAGCTTTATATCTGTGCACTGTGCCCTCGTCGATTAGAAGGAATACCTGTAACGAGTTACACGGTGTGTACTTGCGAGGAGAGCTAGTATGGTGTTACCCTTTGGCTTTCAAGGACTTTGCGCATGCGGGGCAGATCGAATGTCCCGTTTCGAAGAAGTTGTTGAGCTTCATGCGCCTAATAATGATGGTGTGAACTATAGCGCGTTATGATAATATCCACCTACTTCCTCGCAGCAATCTTCCATAGCAAGGACGCACTCGCGTAGGTTTGGTGGACAAACGACATTAACATCGCCACGATATGGGTCGAAGCCGCCTGCAAACACAGATTCTCTTGGTCTTGGTAATGTCGACAATCTTGACATTTGAAGTTCCCGCACCCGCGCTTACACGACGAGCCTATCGGGGCAAACGCGAGTCGGGGCTTTCGGAGTTTTAAAAATGAGTATATAATGAGCTGTAAATTTTAACGAAATTCTTCAGTGTCCATTCAACCGCCTGAAGCGTTAGCCAACAGCACAGAGGTTCATTCTTCTGAATGGCGTTGTTACTTTCTGGTTGATGGAGCGAGGCGCTCTTCGGGGCGTTCACAAGATTGAGCGTTGTTGCTTTGGTTCGTTCTCGTTATATTCTTTGTGACTGAGTCTGCCTCACGGTGTTGATTCGTTGCAAAGGATGAGGACTGAGCTATTGTGATGGTGCGGCGTCATATTCCTGTATCTTCCGTACCCGCTTTCCTTCGGGAAAGTTGCTACTATGTGGCCTTGACGGTTGGGTGAAACCATGACGCATACATATATCCTTGTAGTCTTTGTACTTACTTTCCAATGAAACTTTGATTCTTTTAACGCTGTCTGAACTGGATTGATTGGTCTCCAGTAAAACTCTTGACGCTCTCCGAATCGACTCTAATAATCCATCGAACTCATCTTTGAGACTTGGATGATGCGCGATGCAGCTCCATCGTCAAACGTGGGAACTTTCTATATATGGGCAATTTCTTGTCAAAGTGGCAACCAAACCTTATCTCATCTCCTGATTTCTGCCTTTTGACCCTTGTTCATCGTTTTCTTTCTCCAACGACGACAGTCTTATCATGGCAAACGTTCAGATTCCTACTTTTAAGCTGGTCCTTGGTAAGTGCTTGTACGCATCTTGCTCGCAGTGATCATGATGCTGATGCTCTGTGGCTTATTCTTGATCATCTTGATTTTGCATGTCTTCCAAAACATCGCGTGCTTCTTATTGCGATATCTGTCGCGTCTTTGACGGGAAAACTCAGTCGGTGATGGTGGTACCGGCAAGACCACATTCGTGAAGGTGAGTAATACAGTTCCGCGTCTCAGCGATCACAATCTGATTTGCCCGATACTTAGCGCCATCTTACTGGTGAATTCGAAAAGAAGTACATCGGTAAGTTATGCGCCTTAAAACCCACAGAATAGCTATAATAATACGGTCCCGGACGATCTTCTTTGTATAGCCACTCTCGGTGTCGAAGTTCATCCACTTTCCTTTTCCACAAATTTCGGCACGATCTGTTTCAATGTCTGGGATACTGCTGGACAGGAAAAGTTTGGTGGTCTTCGTGATGGATATTACATCCAGGGCCAGTGTGGCATCATCATGTTTGATGTCACTTCCAGAATCACTTATAAGAATGTGCCAAATTGGCACCGCGATCTTGAGCGTGTTTGCGAGAACATTCCCATCGTACTGTGTGGAAACAAGGTGGATGTTAAGGTCAGTCAAGATCACATCTTTCGTGTGGCCACTTTTGACTCGATCATATAAATTTAGGAGCGCAAAGTGAAGACAGGCGCTGTTACATTTAACCGCAAAAAGAACCTGCCCTACTTTGAAATCTCCGCCAAATCAAACTACAACTTCGAGAAACCGTTCCTGTGGCTTGCAAGGAAGCTGGTTGGGTACGTCCATTCTCAACTAGCGCCACTTTGATTTAATTAATGGACATCATGCAGTAACCACGATCTAGACTTCGTAGCGGCCCCTGCCCTGGCCCCTGCTGAGGCTCACGTTGACCCTGAGTTGATGAAACAATACGAAGAAGAGTTGAAGAAGGTATGTCACTTTTTTCCTGTCCATGAAGCGCTACTCACTCAATTGTACCTTTGCACCAGGCGGAGGCTGTTCCGCTCCCGGAAGAAGATGACGAACTGTGATCTCGTGATTCACCGTATACTTACGCTTTGATACGACCGTTGCACCCCATACTGTGGTTTTCATATTAAATCTCATGTTGACCAGCCACCAATCCAATTGGTACATTCTTTCTTAACTTTTTTTTTCTGCTCAGTGCAAATGCAATTACCCACATTCATGAAACGTATTCGAACCACACACGCGATTACTTCTCCTGCAGATTGTGGCAATAGAACTTGCAACGGACTGTTGGGAATACAGTTGTGATCATGCCCCGTTGCCCCTATCTGACAATCTCTCTATGCCTAGCATCAATCCACTGAATTCCAACGGAGTAAGTTGGAGGTACAGATTTTGGGAGAAAATCCAGCTCTCCTGTTCGGATGCCTGCCACCGGATGAAGGCGTCTAGTGTGGTTTTCGCATCAAGGCCGATCCTCTTGAACTCCTGAACCTTGGACTCCAAGTTAGGCCGCAAGGAGCTGAGGAAATCCTTCACATAATCGTCAGGAGCCGTATTGCTGCACGTTCCCTGTGGGGTCACGGTATCATGCATCGTGCTTCCCTCTCTGTCAACAGAGGATTCACACCATGTCAAGCTCCTGCGATTCTGTATAATTCAATTAAAACTAGCTTGGGAGACAAATTTTTCACTTGCTGTGGGCTCTTCGTGATAAAGTACTTGTTTGAAACTGATGATTGCCTCATCATCTTGCTAATCGAAAGTCGACAACATGACTAATCCGATGGCCGCACAATGATCACTGACATACCCAATGGATAAGATCATCAAAACCTTCGCCTCCGACGTTTTGTTCCCCTTCAAGTTCTCGATTTTTGTTGATAACCCTGCTGCGACGCTGCGCGGGCTGCCGATGAGTGACCCTACTAGTAGAACTTCGTACCTAAAATCAGTAAGCTTGATGGTTAGACATCCGTATGACATTGAATGCCAGTGATACCCGCACCTTGCTGGCACTGGGACCTGTGGTGGAAGAATATTGCGTATGTGTGGAAGACCGACGATCACGACGGCGCATTAGTATGATTGCGACGACTTCCAGCAAGTACTGGTATACAATTGCGGTTGGCGGTATCTTTACAGACAAGAAATTCGAACAAAGAAATCAATCAGATAAGAACGACTCATAAGCGGATAATCGACGACTACGCTATAATTCCTTCCAGGATCGTACTATCCCCGTCGACATTGCGGAAACTAAAGCCACCTACCCCGCATACATTTAAAACCGTCAGATCGGAGGCGAAATGTACGACACAATCTTCCGAATGTTTACAAGATATCTTAGTGGATAGCGCTCGAAGACTGTGCGTTGAACCGCGAGGCAACAATTGCACAGGGACCACCTCAGCAACTTCCCGACGATTAGCTGTGATTCAATATAAATCGGCATTTTACGGACCTGGCAGCATATAGTACTTGCCTTCACAGCTTCAGTTATGGTATAGGCTCACATCGGCTCTTAGGGGCGCCACACGTATATGCCGGAAAGCGTTTCCAAACGGACCGTTGAACTCAAATGCCAGGATAATTTTTAGGTTCCTGTCGAGTCGTAATGATTGTCCACACACTAGCATGACGAGAGAAAACACAGCAAACGATCCCGTTAGGCTGGCCTGCACCGCACCACGTGTAGGCGCTTGCTAGGAAGCCTGTCCTGTAGGTCGATCCCTCGAGCATGCTCAACTGGTTAGCGCTAGGTGACCGATTGCCCTCCAGAGTCCAGGGTCGACTTGCAGGGTCTTCACTGCCACGGTTGTACCGCGACGGCCAGAAAATATCTTGAATAAGCATGCATAGCCTGATCATGATGATAGCCGCCAACGAAGCGATGATTTTGGCACTAGCAAGGACAGTATGCTTGCGTGTCGTGCGTCTTTATTGCTATTGTTCAACCCCTCGTGCAGACGCCCGACTAGTATCCAGGCGCCAACTTGTGAAGACCCTATATATATCACGAATACTGCGGTGCATGGTGCACCTGCAATGATCCGTGGACTCCTGTTGTGGCAGCTGTCCAGTTGACAATAGTACGTACTAGATAGCCACGCTACAGCAGAAGCGCCCAAGTCGAAGCTTGGCGATTCCTTGTTTACGATGATCTTGGGTGGAACGTTCACGAGTTGATGCCAAATTGTGACAAGCTGCAGCTTCTCGTGTGCATGCACCAAGCGCCGAGCGTCTGAGAAGCATGGTGCAAGATTCGAATGTCAACTCGACTGCCATACGATGAGCGTCAATGATGAACCATGCTGGGCCTGGACCAACAAACGCGCTTTCCAACTGAGCGCCAGTGTGGAGCATAGATAAAGTGATGGTATAGAAAATTTTAGCGACTCGTCCATAATTGGCGCCCTTAATTGTCAGCCCCAGTTGGCCTGAGCAAAGCTGAAGAGCACGTGAACGGGTCAGGTACCAAATCTGTCATAAACATACCCAAGTTGCCAACCAGACGTACGACGCACCCACTTCAGCTTTTCCCAAGTTCAGCTTTCAACAATATGCCAGTAGAAAACACATGCTCTGTCATACAAGATCAAATACCAGCAGAGGCTGCTCAGGCAACCAAATATTGCTTGTATTGTAATAATCCACTCGATTCATCCAATGCTGTGCTCATGCAGGACGACCACGATTCCAACACTATGTGTGCTTGGTGTCGCGATATGCAACCACAAGGACAACAAAATCATGATGTCTTCACAGATGACGATGCCAGCGCTTCAATTATCCGAACCACCCCTCCCGCTGTCTCTAGCCAGCTCAATAGCGCACCGCTCAGTTATATTGCAGACTTGCAAGGCATCTTTGGCCATGATATAGACATGGATGATGCTCCTACACCCAGTCCAACAATTTCTTCTCTTTCTCCTCCAATTTCTATCACATCTTGCCCCCATTCTATGTATTCACAATCGACCATACCTGTCACCCCCAAACCCATCCATACTCATGCTATCACATCTTCAAGACCCCTGTCCTACCAGTCCCGCAATAATGTCTCCACGGATTCTCACTCTCTGCATACAAATACCTCTTACTCTTCTCCAAACCCCCTTCTTGACATCACGCATATTCGCGTGCGCTCCCAAGGCCATCACTGCTTATATCCTGGTGCTGTGTTCCAGGGTACACAGAAAAGCGGCAGGAATAGCTACGAAGTAAATGTCAACATTGTTGTACGTCGAATTCGAGGATCAATCTTATTGTTCGGCGCAGCTCATTTTCCTATCAGGATGTAGACTTTTCTTCCTCGTTTCTTTGTGGATATCTTCGCATCCGCGGTTTAACAGATGACTGGCCTGAATTGACTACTTATTTTGACGCAGAGATCATAGGCAGCCGTTATGGATTTCTGACCCAAAATTGGGGCGCCAATGAACAAGAGGACATGGTTCACTGGCAGCGCTTCCCTGCATTTCGGCATGTAAAAAACGAGTTGAAAAAGCCGAATTTAACAATCCCCGATCGCGATCGTGGCGCAGTCTTCATGAGATGGAAGGAACGGTTCTTAGTACCCAATCACAGAGTACAAGATATCAATGGCGCAAGTTTTGCAGGTGAGCGCCTACCTTTTTATTAGGCGCGGGTCACAACGTGGCCGGGATCTGCAGCTTCTGACATAGCAATTCGTGCTTCTACTGTGACCAGGCTTTTATTATGTTTGTGTCGATTTCAATCCCCAACCTCCTTCGTCCGCCCCCGCGCTTCGCCCAGTTACACAGTCCGTTCCGCTGGATAAGGACGGAATTAATGATTCGCCGTTGTCCCATTCGCTATCCCTTGGGAAAACGGAGACAATGCCTACCGTGCGGAAACGGAGGGATTCCAGTGTCAGACGAGGAGGCCGAGGCCTATCAGTTGGTCCACGATCTCATCCTCCTGCTGCAACAATGAGCGGATTTTACTTCCATCAGAACTCTGAACCGTACGTATATTTTTTTTTTGTGAGATTAATGCTTCTAATGGACCCTTCCAGATATCAACAATTGTCGCTTAGTCATGTTCCGGAACGCTTTAGCTCCAGCTTTGAGTTTCGATGAGACGCTCGGGGGTGGAGCGTTACTTTGCTTGTATAGTAAAAACGCGCTACTCACAGAATACTGGAATGGACTTGATTGATCTGTGGCGAAGCTCTGTCTGAGTATGTTAATTTTTTCCTAGTTACCCTCTTGTTTGTTGTCCTGATATCATCTTCCACTCATTCTCTGTATTTGATGTGTTCTACATGACATGCGGTCTTATCTTTGTCTATCACTCTCGGTGCCGTCATCCTAAACTTGGTGCTGTCATTCCTGACAAGCATCGCCATTTCCAACATTCCGGATTTTGTCCGCCAGCAAGCGCTCAAAGAAGCTGAATCTTAACGATTGGATGAGCTCGAAAGGAATATCCTATTTGGTTGGCTGGTCACAAGGACACTCGTAGAGGTAACGTCAACCTATTACTGAAAACGTAGCAATCAAATGTCCGTACTCGGTCCGTGCAAGGCATAGCCTCGACTTAGGCTCCCATGGGCGTGTAACCATGCTGCGCATCTTTTCTTTCTACCCACGACAAGCGAAATATTAACTGTCAGACATGAATTGCGATACACCTCGAGTGGTTATAGTTGGTGCCGGGTACGTTCCTGTTGTTATGCGAATGGCTAAATGGGAGCATAATACTTAAACAGGATCGCTGGAATTACCATGGCCATGAACTTGAGAAGCAAGTTGCGCCATGATAACTTTATAGTAAGCCAACCTAAACATGGTTCTGTAGGACGAGAACTTGACCTTTGCCGCAGATTTATGAAAAGCAGGATCTATCGGTGGAACATGGCGAGTGAGTCTCGATTGAGAGCATACTATGAATCGAAATGAATGTGTTGTGCTTACAGGAAAACACATATCCAGTAGTGTGACTATCTAATCTCCCGATTAGGGTTGTGGGTCCGATGTTCCCGGGCACTGGTATTCCCTTTCGACGGAACCAAATCCATACTGGAAAAACTACTACATTACGCAGCCCGAAATACGCGCATACTGGGAGGAAATATATCGAAAACACGACCTAGCTTCCCGCAGAGTATTCAACACCTGCGTTAAGCTCGTTGAATGGGACGAAGCAAACGGCGTGCATGACCTGACGCTAGAAGATGGTTACACAAATCCAAGCGGAAGCTGTCATACAAGCTGTCGGCTATTTCACAAAGCCGGTATATCCGAATATTCCGGGAAATGATAAATTTAGATCTGGACCAGTCTGGCATTCTTCTCAATGGAGGCATGACGTAGATTTGAAAGGCATGACTGTCGGCGTCATCGGCAATGGCTGCTCTGCGTAAATTGTCCCTTTTTCTGCTTATCAAATGCCACGTGTTAAATATTTTTTTAGAACTCAGTTCGTACCGGCCATTGCGGCCGAGCCTACAACTCGGGTCATAAACTTTTGTCGTACCCCACAATGGATTGCACCGAAAGTATGTTTTTATTCTTGTGCTTGAATATCGTGCTGAAACGCTAAAAAGTCGAATTATCAACACCCAAACTGGGTCAAGTGGGCATTTGCTCATGTTCCCTTTCTCATGTACGCATATAGAAGTTTCATGATGATAACGGTATGTACACTTCAGACACTTCTCGTCTTGCCTCAAACTGACTTTTTCAATCCCAGGGTGATCTTTTATGGGGTATTTTCCTCGCAAGTTTACCTGTAAATACAGTATTCAAGAAGGTAACATCAGCTCCAACCCATGTATCTGATATCTCTAATCATAATTTTTAGCTCCTGACGTGGTACATCCGAAGTACCGCACCGGCAAAATACCGCGATAGCTTGATTCCCACATACCGTGAGCAATTTACAACATTGGCTCGCCCATTTGACACCTGCTAAATAGCTCCTGGATGTAAACGCATCGTCCTTGATTCAAACTACCTGGCCGCTTTGCACCAGCCCAACATCGATCTGAATTGGACCGGAATCCAAGAAATTGTCGAGGATGGCATCGTTCTCAAGACTGGTGAAAGGTATCACTTGACGCAATCATCTTTAGCACCGGCTTTTACCTGGTGATTTTCAATCTCCCTCACGTGTACTTAATATCTGATATTGTACAGGCTGAACGAGATGTAGTCTTCCGCGGAATCGGTGGCCGCACTCTTAACCACTACTTTGAATCAGAAGGTGGCTATTATGGAACAGTTTTCCCTGGGTTTCCAAACCTGTTCACAATCGTGGGTCAGTGGTTGGCTGATACTGCAATTTGACATTGTCTGATAAATCTGTCAGGGCCCAACAGTGCCTCGGCTCATGCTTCCCTTATTTTCGTTATTGAGACTCAGGTATGTGTTTTTAGAAAGTTGCAGTCACTGTGATCAAACATGAAGCTCTTCGGTAGGTCAGCTATATTCTCAAGCTGATGACGCCCATCATCAATGGCAAGGCGAAATCACTTCAAGTCACCCAAAAGGCTACAACCTTTTACAACACCTGGATTCAAAAGCGTATGGCGAGCACCATATTCCTTTCCTGTTTTTCATACTATCGAGGTGACAATCGGACTGGCGCCAAAAATTTAGCCACGTTCCCTGGTATGGTCTCACTCTACTGGTGGATCATGCGAAAACCACGTTGGGAAGATTTCAAGGTGGTAGGTGGAGAGCAGTGGTTTTACCAGCAAAGGAAAGTGGGACTATGCACTTGTTGGTTTGATGGTTTCTATCGTCGGTTGCGTTTTCTCTATGCTCTGGAAGCTTGTATTCGGACTCAAATAGAAACTTCTCTTCGGGTGAGAATTCATATACAGTTTTTTTCCGTAGTTTGTGCTGCCATAGACCATGTACACGTATCGTTAGTTCATTAGTAGAGACGTGCCGATGATTGATAATCTTCCGGCGTCACACGCAATTGATGCCATTGAATGCAACTGTATAGGGAGTCGCTTGTTTTGGCAAGCTCGGTTTTGACCGAGGTCTGTACCCTCAACGTTTGTCCACCGCCCGCCGCAGAGGCAGTAGAAGGCCTTGGAGGCCTTGTCCTTGCCCTGTATACGGTCTACTTTTCTTCTTCATAATAACCTTTCATACGCCTCTCATGTCTTCTCATAACTCTGGTACGGCGAATGTAGTTGGCGCGCATTACCGTGTTGGCAAGAAAATCGGAGAAGGCTCATTCGGTGTTATCTTCGAAGGTCCGCACCTCTTTCAACATGTTTCAGTTTGAGCTGACCATAGCATTTCAGGAACGAACTTGTTAAACTCCACGACTGTCGCCATCAAGTTTGTGGGTGCTCTGCTTCACTGATCTCTGCTTTTATTCCTTATATATCTTCCTTGGCTGTAGGAGCCACGCAAAGCAGAGGCACCTCAACTCCGAGATGAATGTCGTTCATACCGTATCCTAGCTGGCTGCAGTGCGTAAAGTCGTCGGACTTGCAAGTAAATGAAGTCTAATTCACGCGTATTGTAGCTGGTATTCCCCAAATATATCACTTTGGGCAGGAAGGCCTCCACAACATTTTGGTGATTGATCTTTTGGGACCCAGCCTGGAGGATCTATTTGATATGTGCGGCCGCAAGTTTTCTATCAAGACGGTGTGCATGGCAGCCCGACAAATGGTACGTGTCACCTTTTTCGCTTTCTTACCACCCTCTGACTATCAGTAGTTGTCCCGGGTACAAACTATCCACGACAAAAATCTTATTTACCGAGACATCAAGCCTGACAACTTCCTCATTGGGCGTCCGGGCACGAAGTCGGCCAATCGTAAGTTTCCTACGTTCATGGCGGATATTACATTCACATATGTCTCGTAGTCATTCATGTCGTTGACTTTGGAATGGCCAAACAATACCGCGATCCTAAAACCAAGCAACACATTCCTTACCGGGAACGGAAAAGTTTGAGTGGCACGGCACGATACATGAGCATCAATACTCATTTGGGGCGAGGTATGTGTCTTTCTGTCTTGATCGGTCGTATTGTCTTATTTCTTTAGAGCAATCTCGGAGAGACGATTTAGAAGCGCTTGGGCATGTCTTCATGTACTTTTTGCGGGGAAGTCTACCTTGGCAAGGGCTGAAGGCTGCCACCAACAAGCAAAAGTACGAAAAGATTGGAGAAAAGAAGCAGACGACACCCATCAAGGACCTATGCGAGGGATATCCAGGTTTGTTGGTTCTTCAAGTGTCTTAGTGCTCCAGTAACTCTCGTACAGAGGAATTCGGTATCTACTTGAACTATGTTCGAAAGCTTGGATTTGAGGAGACCCCGGACTATGATTTCTTGAGGGAGCTCTTTTCCAAAGTCATGAAGAATAACAACGACCCAGACGATGGCATTTTTGATTGGAACTTATTGAATGGTACAATTTTCCTTGCGTCTGGTAATCTCTTCATTGATCTTTCGCAAACTACACAGGTGGTAAAGGTTGGGAAGCTTCGCAGGTAGGTGAAGTTTCATTTTCCCAAATACAAGAAATTTATCGTGTCGTGCAGGGGCAATCGCAAGTACTTGCTCAAATACAGAATGCCGCCGTAGCACCCGCGCCGCAAGACCGTCGAAAAGATTTGGAACGACGTCGGGATGCGGATTGGCGCCGCACATCTCAGACTGGTGGAGTTAACCCACCTTCACCAGCGCTCGTTAGACACGGCTCGAAGCGTAGAGTCCCTAATGCGCTTACCCCTGGAGCAGGAAATGCACCTGGTGGCACTGCTACCCCTCTCTCTGCTGCTGCTCAGATTAACGTTCCAATCTCGACGCCACAAAACAGATCTAATAATGTTGGTGCGCCGCAACATCCTTACGCGAATGTAGTTACTGGTGAATACGGCTGGGACGCAGGCGAGGAACCATACGGATCTCAAGCTGCATACGGACGTGCATCTCCTATGGTGTCGACGGTTGGGGCTGCTCCACCTGCAATAAGCGCAGTACGTGCCCACGGCAATGAAGCAGGTGTTTCTCGCGGCGAGGACTACCGCCAGCAACAAGATGACGACCCTCCCCAACCAAAGTCGAGTATCTGGAGAATCCTTACATGCCGGTGCGGCTGATTGTCGCCAACTTCTGGTTCTTCCCCTATTTCTGTTCCATGCTATGATCAACGTAACTCCATCCATCGTCAGTCATTACCTTCGACGCTTTGATATATACCCCATTCATTACTTGCACCTAATATCCACTTTCTCGGTTTATGTTTGGACATCCGCCGTAGCTTTGATCAAATGATCAAATCTTGCTCTTGACTATCTTTGTACGGATTCACTGACTACCAGGAGTGTGTAAGTAAATTGGTGATGGGAGTGGTATACAAGAGTAATTATGATTTGAGATATGTGCAGTAAAGTGGTCAATCGAGGATAATTATGTACAACTGACTATGGGATCAGGAGTGCTCATTCAGGGCAAAATACAAGCTCAGTACTCCACGCTAGCGGCGATAGACTCAGTTTCAGTTTCCAGAAGTGAGGGAGAATTGCCATCGTCTTCAGAAGAACTAACTTGGCTTTGAGCTCGAGTAGGCTCCGCGACGAGTGTCTCGGGCAGATCATTCTCCTCGTCAGATGGGGCATAGGACTGCTGTGTTGTGTCCGTATGTGACCCTTCCATCTCTAGCTCATGACACGATGTGTTTTCGATGGGGAGATAGTGACCCGCAGATCGATGTCCGATACGGAAAGAGTGGCCCATCTCTTGGGTTTGGGCGCCTGTACTGGTAGCGGTGGAAGGCGTCGCTGTGTAGGATCTAGCACTAGGAAGAGAGTCTCGACCTTCCTGGTGCCTGTGAATCGGAGGAGTAGATGCGAAAGGATAATTGACAGGACCTTGTCCAAGAGAGTCAAGGTTGTTGCGCTTCTTGCGGGATTGCGCACGGAAGCTTCTCGCCATGTTTGTTAATTCCACGTTGCGTCTTTGCATTGTGCATATCTTGTCCTCCAATATTTCGTGGCCTTTCTTCATTATTTCGTTATCTTTCTCCAATCTGGCATTAGCAACCCTTAACTTTTCATTTTCGGCCAGCGCCAGGCGTAGCTGCTTCTGAACGACTGATTGGACGTTATCGGGTATTGCTTGGCTCCGCGCTGCTTTCTTGGCGGGGTGGTGAGAATTTGGAAGTAATTTGACGGGGAATTGAGGTTTGTTCGTGAGATAGACTTTGCCAGTTGACGCACTATGCAGCCATACGCTCAGTCACACTCCCACTTTCGACAGATGAGCCTACCGTTTCTCTAATCTGAGGGGCTCTCTTCTTCTCAGAAGTCTATTTCTGGGGGGACCAACACGCTGCTTCTTTGGAGGCGGACCACTCGAATCGCTGGCGGAGGCATCGAGCTGTTCATACTCGTCGACATGCCGCGTGTGGGTTCGAGGATAAGCGTCAAGTCTTGAAGATGAATCATCTTCATCTGGCTATATACATCCTATGTCAGTACCTGATACGCGAAGATAAATGTGGAGCAAATACCGAAGATCCTATACGAGTTGTGTTATCGTCAAACATACTGGATGAAGGCCCATCACATGGAATGGGGGGAACAGATACAAAGTCCATAACAAACCTTCGCTTCTTCCCGTTTGCAAGTGGTACGCCTGGAAGTTTTCGAGTTGTGGGCAGTGATTTATGATCCGCACGGTGGCTTGGTGAACTACCTTGAAAGTCGTTTGGAAGTGATTCACTAGAACTTGGAAACCTGCGGGAAAGCGTTGACGTAGACGAAGAACGCTTCTCAGGTTTAGTGAACGTTGCCTGGGAACTAGAACCATCGGTCGCCTGCTTTAATGGGGACGATGCAACCTTGTCAATGTGTTAACTGCTGCGCGGAAACAATAAGAATGGGGGTCCTCTCACAGATGCGCTAGTCAGCTCTATGCATTTATCATACCATCCTGGTATCGTTGCATTCGGGTTGATAGACCTGCACGTACGAAATTTGGATGCAACGTATGCCAACTTCAAGTGAAAATCTGGACGTGCACCAGTCTCTTCGTCATGCTGGATATGTGCATACTTTTCCCTGAACACTGCCTTGGATTCTTTGTGATAGCCATGCCACACTTTTACATCATTCGACATCAAGAGCGCTGGTGCAGAATGCATATGATAGCCCTCCAATATATGAGTCATGCATCGTCCGACATGACAGAGTGGGCAGTAGATTATCGCACTTTGAGAGAGTCCATGCTTTGACAAGCACACGCGCAGTGGCTCCTCGACGTAAGGGAGCTTCGGTCGTCGTTCATACAAAACGCACGCAGCTATAAAGATACCGACATGACGTGCTGATACGATAGACCTGAACACGCATTTAACCAGCAGCTTCCCACAAGCACAAGTATACTCACTTTGAATTCCCCAGTAGACACTCGTGGTCCTTTACGACTTCAGGACATACATCTCGAATGGCACGTAGGGCTTCATCACGGGCTCTTAGCAAATCGCCAAAAGGCCGGCACTGAGTGGGATTCATAGTCCCGCAATTGCAACCACGACCCTCGACATAACAAAGAGGGCAAACCACAATACCATCTCCGATCTTCATCTCGTTATGAAGCCCAGGTAAATGCAGAGCACAGGGTATGCACTCAAAGAAACTCTGGAAGATATCCGCGCCGCAGAAATCACAGGAGATGTCGCTTTGATGGTAGGTATCGGATCGCGAAACATGCGGCATATCTTGATGTTTTGGTGAATATTCTTCCCCGAAGACATCATCAAGTAACTCAAGTAAGTGATAAAGATCATCAGCCACCCGCTTAAGGTCCAAATTTACAGTGGGCAATAACCGGTCGGGGTGAGGAGAACTTGTCTGCTGTTGAAGTTCACGAAGCATCTGTGTCTGTCGGTGAAGGGCGCAATATATATTCAACTTGACCTTGTATGTCTCCGGTCGGCATACTCTGCATAAGTATGTCACTGAATCGGCAAAATGCACCAGTATAATAGAAACATACCGATGATATACAGGAAGTTCATGATAGAGAGCATTCGACAACCCCTTGAAGGTCATACGCGACCAGGATGTTTTCATCGTGATGCCACCATTATTGATGACTTGGTGACAGCTTCTTGGGGGAACGAGTACTAAGTCGCCAAGGGTTTGTTCCGCAATGTAGATTTTGAGTGTCGACCGCCCCAACTCTTTCAGGGTCACGACATGTGTTTCAAAATCTAATTCCTCGTTGATCTTCTGAAAGAATTCAGCCATGGCTGGTGCAGCCGAACTTTCTGTCATGAACCAGAAAGATGACCCGCCATTCTCAGTATAACACATGAGATTTTGGCCAGAAGATGCGCATAGATCCTTGTGAAAAGGAGTAAATGTGTCCCCTACTCCAAGGTAGCACATCAAAGTCTGTACATCGCTCTATTCGAAGCTGATTATCTGTATAGACACAAAGTATAAACAAACTGACCGAAAGATACTTTAAGTAATCATTACTTCCGTGAGGCAGGAGATCACTTGGGAGGACGCCAGACGTTGATAGCCAGGTGGCCCACTCATGCGGGCATTCCGCATCTTTGCCATAAAGTCGCTCAGTTTCTGGCAAAAGTGAGATGACACAAAGAACGACGTGATACAGCGTCCTCACCATTTTCATTAGCATATACTGGTGTGGTACGAAGTTTATAGATGAGCTCGGAAAGCGGCAGGTTGAAATCAACCCAGGTGCGCACGTTACGTGCGAACGCCCCTTTGAATCCGCGATTAGTCGAGCGGCACGCGTTCGATTGTGAGAGATAATGCCTTACCTGGTTTCCCATGCTCACTGAGCCAATCCAAGGTAAACAGATCGGCAGGCCAGCTGTCGTGCTCATGAAACCCTTCAATGATCAAGGGGGCACCAGAACCTTCGTGCATCCGAATTGTTTGCATCAGCGTCGGATCGTCAAAACGGACCCTGTCCACTGAACAGAAATTGGGCGATTTTTTTATCAACTGCGGGAGGGTCCAGCCCTTGGTGGAGATTAATGGTTTGGTTGAGTGTCTAGTACCATGATTGACCATAGAGTGGCGTCTATGTGAGTCCGAATCGAGGGTTGAACTATGCGTCGTATCTGACCGCAGCTCCGAACATGAGATTGGAGCAGTGGTATTCGACATGATATAGCAAAAAAGGATGACGATCCTTCCGATTCCTTCGTCTTCAAAATGTGTCCTGTGAGTCGGATGATGAGAAATGAATGGTGTTTCATTTGACTATTTCGGTTACATAAGTACGGAAGTCTATTCTAACGCCCAAACGGGATAATTTCGCAGTTTTTACCATGACGGCGTTAATCCGCATTGCACTTACGTTCTGACCTTGCACCATGTCCAACACCGGAAACGAGCAAGTCGTGCAAGAAACAGAGTTCGATTTCTGGGACTTTGTCAACTGCTCCGTATGTCAACTCCTGTTCACATCAAGCGATTGCGGACCACCCGTTCCGTTTTGGATAACAGAATGTGGCCATGTTCTTTGCAATAATCATCTCAGTAAGATGCTTTCCCCACTGCCCTCGAATGTGGTGCATTGTAAACTCGTGTTAACTTTTCTTATTCACACAATGAGAGCCAGATCAGAGCTGTGCGCAATGTAACGCCCAAAACATCCAGTTGGTTCCCCTACATCGAAATGTATGAGTTTACTACTTTTGTGTAGGAAGATATCTGGCTTATTTTTTGTGGGCAATACAGCTGGAGCCCCCAATGTCAGACTGGTTTAGACCTCTCCCTTACTCACTAGATTCAATAGCAAGCGCTGTGAAAGTGAGTTTCCTTGACGTAGTTTCGCTACCATCTAGACCTCAATGCACCAGTTTCAACAAGAGACATTCGCTGGTCTCATTCGCTACTACCGACAAGCTTGTCTACATCTGGGCCAGACGTGCGGACGTATTCGAGCGGAGCGAAAGGCTCTTAGAAAGTCCGTAGACATACAGTTCGTAGCACCGCTAATCCTCACCTGGGAACAGAGAAGTAGACAGTTTGCGGCGAGAAGTTGAACACCTACGCCAGTGCGCTTCTGGCTTAGACCCCGCCCATTCCCGGGAACCTTCATCTTTCTCTAACGCGAATGGCAAGCGTCCGATGACTGATGTTCACGAGTAAGTGAAAGACTGCATTTATTTTGGATCTAACACGCAGCCAGTTTTAAGGCAAGCTCCAGCCCTAGGTCTATTGTCACCCCAATCGGACCAAATCGAATTACACTGCCGCTCGGGGAGCAACCAAATTTCACCCGTCAAGATCATGGACGAAATCCCAGTCAGAGCCATCAACTGGAACGACCTGGCACGAGTCGTTTTGTGGAGTAAGAACATCTATAATTTTCGCACTCTTTGGTTTCAATGGTGCATATCAGACAATATGCGTACAATGGTGAACAGGGATCACGCATGCAAGCTCCTCATCTCTCTCACGAACAATCGGCTCCTACCCGGCATCTGAGATTGGCGTCTGGGGAACAAGGTCAACATTCTATGCCACCTCCACCCCCGCCAGTACCCGGGTCTCGAGGTCGCTTCAGACCTGCGATGGGCTCGACGGATACAAGAACCACGACGACGCTGAACCCGCAGACAGCTGGACCACAAGTGGCACAACATCGGCCTCAGCAACGCTTATTCGCGGTCCCACAGACTCCCAACCGCGCTAGCGGCATACACTTCACTGGCCAGACAACCGACCAAATGCGCTCAGTTCAGTCCAACCGTTTCCTACAATCGTCTTCGCACGGACATCCGAACTCTGGCACAGGTGCAGCAACCGTGACATCCTCGAACGTCCCGGGGACCTCGTCTGGAAGACATAGGATGCCATTCGTTTCAGGGAGTGCCAGTGGATTTGGTTGACCTTGACTTTATCATACAATCTTCTTGATCGAATATGCAATGAACTGTCCATTCGTGTTTCTCATGCAAAATAACCCCATCGCGTAAGTAGGCAAATAACAGGTACATTAAAATAATGCGGACTAGAACGTTCCCATGGAATCATATTCATATTCATACCAAAAACGAAGTTTGAATAACGTGACGGGGAAGTTTAGTTTATACACATCAAGGTCATCAATATTAGGAGAGATTTATATGTTGAGAGAATATTTGAAATTTAAGCTCGCATAAAATTCTGTCAGTGAGAATTCTAATGGACGATCTACAACTACAGTATGCTGAACGACGCAGAAGAAATGCTTATTGATGACGAAGAAACCTTCGCCATGGACGTTGCGCAATGCTTGACCTATACAGAGAGATTGCGTTCGGCATTGTGCCACTCAAACCCAGCATATATGACTGCGCAGTCTGATGAGATAATTCAGTATCAATTTTTACAAGGTAGCTTGCGGATTGGATCGCAGTTGTCCTGGATCTTGCGACGAGGCAGCTACTATCGCTATGGTGGACTCAGTTGTAAATTAGTCATTAATTTGTCAGCAGATAGCAATGGCGTTGTGGCCCAAAATGGATATAATCTGTAAGGGCCCACATATAATCTTTTGCGAATTAGACGGAAATGAACAGCGGCATCACGGCATGACATCTCTCTATAGTAATTGATATTCTATTATATTCTATTCCGCAATATTTTAGCCTATGGATACCCATTTGTATGGTTGTGTATACATGATATTTTCGAAGTCGTGAAATTTCAAATATTTTCTTTGCATTTTGTACAACATATAAGCCTCTCTTAAATTCGGTAACCCCGATGTGTAATTATTCTTACTACAATTAATGGTTGAATTTCAAAAGGTACACCGTTTAAACATGAAATTATGTATTGTTTGCATTTGGCGGGACCTTGCACCACTTCGAAACCAATTAATTGCACAGCGTTCTCGTAAGTCCCGCAGCAACTCTACTCTTACCATCTCCATCTACCATGTCTCAATATAGAGACCCGCATTCTGAGCAGGAGCAAGGAGGTTACAACCAGCAATATGGTGATGCATCATATAACCCATACAATACCAGGCAGCCACACCAGGCGTACGACCAAGGCGGCTATGATCCCCATACAATGGGCGAATACAGAGACGACCCCAATGCGAACCCACAAGCTATCGCTACATCGTATGCTCCACCAGCACAGGGGGTAGACCCTTACGGGCAATCAAACTATGCAAAAGAAACTGGACGGTAAGTCACCACCGACTCTTCGAGGCTCCTGACCTATCTGACTACATTTTACAAGAAAACATCAAGATTTCAAGACCTGGAGAGGCGAGAACAATGCTGGTCTATGGACAAGGGTAAGTAACTCAATGTCTCGCTCATTTGGCGACGCATTGGAAACTAAGCGCCGCTTGTAGGGCAGCCGAGTTAGCTGCATAGGGAGGTTCTGCTGTTGCACGCTGATGATTGCTGTCTTCCTCATAATCAGCATACTGCTTGCACTGCTCATGGTGAGCTTTTCCAAGGGAAATGTCGACCATATACTCAAATGTTCTTGCAGTGGGTCAGTCCTCCGGATGCTATCGTTGGCAACGTAGGGCCGTCTACCACTCAAAATGCGGTAAGGCAGCCTTTCTTGGTGTTTATATACCTTTCTTATCTCTATCAGGTTCAACTAAACTCGGGAAGCATCACTGTTAACCTGGGCATCAATCTAACGTACGCTGATCATGTACTTTGTCTGATCCATTTCATTACCGGATCTACAGTGTTGTCAATCCAAATTATTTCGGCGTGTCTTTCAAGTCCATAAACGCAAATGTAGGTCATGCCCTGCTCACTTCATTTTATCGCTTACAAGTCATCAGGCATATTACCCTATCAACAACACTCTTGTCGGAACTGGCCAGGAGAATGCCATCACCTTCAATTCCAAGTCAGAAACCAACTTCACCTTCCCATTTGCGCTGGAATTCAGTACAAATATGACTTCGAGCACAGCAATTTTAAGTGATCTCGCTACAAAATGCGGTGTGGGTGGTGGAGCAGTGCAAGATATTACAGTCGATCTTGATCTCACGGTCCGTGCACGCACGCAATGTTATTTATAAAGTTCTCACTTGCGCGTTTTTCTTCAGCTTGGATTACGCGTCTTATTTTTCGTGATTTACCCGGTGCTGAGCATTCCCGCCAGTTTCGCATGTCCGATATCTGCTTCAGACATTTCGGTATGATCATTTTTTCCTGGTTTAAATTGTGTTTGACCATGTCTTCAGAGTTTGATTCCATCCGTTACTTCATTGATACCTTGATTTTCCAGGACAAGAATGTAGCCGCGCAGCCCGTATCTGTATCTCTTCTCGGACATAGACGTACACGTATTCATGCCGACTCTGCTGTCAATCTGTATAAAGGACTCTTACTATTTGACGCTAAACAGGTTCCTTGGCCGCATTACGCATGTGCAGTTCCTACTAACTTTGCCTACTGAAGATTCATTCGTCCTGGTATAATTTTGTGACACCCTTACCATCGACGCACCTCAACCCATCCTTATGGCGCCTATTCAGGAGCATACTAAAACTTTGTGGAGCAGGATATCATCTTCGCTCTTTTTTGGTTGGCTGGCTGCATATGGCAACACGATAAAGCTTTATGCCTGCGTTTTTATGGTGCAGTGGCTACATAACCTTAGAGCTTAACCAAACTCAAGATTTCTGGGGCCACTCGATTTCTAAGAATGCATGGGTGGCTCATTTCAAGCTGAGCTTGGTAACGGAGGTGCCGGCGACTCGAGTCGGACGTACTACTCATCCATGTGTGTATGGTGCACACACCTCTCATACAGGTATGTGCACCATCCGTTTGTTCCCATATGCCTATTACTATAGTCGCCTCAGACTGCTTCTTACACGAGTATTTTGCAAGCCTTGATCCGCCCATTCATGTACATGGATTTCCAAGTACTAGCTGTGCGACATTGTGCGATATTGGTACCAGCCCGTCCAGTTCGCACAGAATCCTAACTTGAACGCGTTTCGGCTTGAATTGGCGTCGAGTTGAGGCCCTAGGACGCTATGAAAACAGTGAAATAAATCCTAGATAGTATCAGCTCTCAAGTCGAACCAAAAGACTACTTGTACAGCAGCTTGACAATTTGTCCACAACAAATTCATGAGGCTGAGCGCAGAGCAAGGGCCAAAGCAACAGCTTGTGCCTTAAAAACGCAGTAAGCTCGGACTCATTCATAGCCAATATAAACCGTAAGCTCCCAGGTGTAAGCGCTATCAGCAAATCCCAATGATGGTATACGTATTACGCGCTTCTGAATTTTAATCCGCCAGTCCATGTGTTCTTAATAATGGTGGTCCTGACGAACAAGCTTTCTGAAGAGGCAGAGCCTGACATTGATCATCTACCTCCTGCTTATGACACATTGTCAATCTACGGAGGCGTTTCATCGATACCCCCCATCACCACTGCTCTCGCTCACCACGATGAGGCGGTTCCTATCGGCAGGACTACTAGTACTGTTGTGACGGACGTGCATGAATTTGAGCCTCCTTCTCGAAGTCAGGCACACACGTTGCCCAGGAGCAGGAGCAACGACTTTATAACACACGTTACACAACATCTAGTGATCCCACCAGTGGACGTGGGCAAATCGTCTCAAAAGCGTTCTCATTTTGATTCTCGCAACATCGCTCCAGCAGAGTCTGCGTCCTCCTACCAGAAGGGCAAGCCCACCAAGGCGCGTAAAGCAAAATCTGGCCCAAGCTCATGGCTTTCTTTTCTCCCATTTACATCCTCTAAAGCTACGAAACGCGACCGCCAGTTCGTGCTTACGCTTATTCACGACCTCGTTGTCCCCCCGCTAACCAATTCCGACAACCCAAGTCTTAAATCTCTGCAATTGGCCCCAACAGATCCACATGAAATCCTGGCCTCCTGTGCCCAGATATGCTCTGCGAAAAACCTGTCACTGTCTACGCTTCTTCAAGAGCTGGATATAGCAGGTCATACTGCCATCTATTGGGCTATTGTCAACTATCGCCCCTCCCTCCTTGATGCTCTGCTCAAGTATGCCTCCCCTTTAACCCATGTGACACTCAGTGAAATAAGGAAGGCATGTTTGGTGACGAGTAATCAGTCATTATTCCAGGACCTCAGACTCAGTATCGGATTGTGCGCAAGCTGGTTTACAGAGTGGTGAGTCTTGAATCGAGAAGCTGGATTGGGGCTGATGTTTTCGAGTTGCCAGCTGCTGATGGACTGCTTCTTGGTCAGGCACCCACCAGATGACGTGCGTAGTTGAAGAGGGCCCCAATGGTACTTTTGCTGCAACATTGGATATCACGATGTGGCAAAAACGTATACGTGCAGTTGGAAGTATAAGTGTGGAATTTATTGCCTCTAGGTGAATATCCTGCTTTTATTCTTCCTCACTTCTTTTACAAATGAAAACGTTCTTTGCTTTTCAGGCCGCATATTCGTACTAACTTTCTTCACCACCGACCGTCCCCAACCCAACTCCGATTCCACGAAAACCAAAAGAGCAGTAGGGCTATTGCACTGTCTCACTTTCCCTCCTCGAGCACAGCCTGCCGACCTACGTGGATGGAGCAGTAATCATCGATGGACCTCCTGCCCTTCCTTCTTCATTGCCTTGTCCACGTACACCAAAACATTCCTACTCGCCAAGAGAGCGCATCCACAGCGCCGACTTTTCAGGCAGAGAGACAGTCACAGGCGGCTCTGAGAAAGGAGTGGGGGTTGGGGGTTGTGAAGCGGGGAAGTGGGACTTCAACTATGATGGAGAAGCGCACGCACGCTTACCTTCCTCTGTTTCCTCACCCAGCTCTGCTGGCTCTTCTCGTCCTGCAAGTTTTGCAGGTGCACATGCACAGAAAAAGATGCTACTTCCACCTCCTTCGCACCCCCACCGCGGGCTAATACAGACGTGTTCATCTCCCTCGCTCAAGCAATTGTCCTCTTCACGTTCCTCGCATATGTTAACATCTGTATTGGACAGTAAGGTCGCAGCTCTTACACCCAAGAAGCGGCTCTTGAAGCTGAAGAATGCCTCGTTAGCACCCAGTGGTCGTGCTCCAGTGGTGCTCCGTTTTAGTGCAGGCGAGTCTATGCTTGCTTGTCGTACGAAGAATGGAGGTGAGGTCCTTTAAAATATTCTAGTCGCGAAGCGAGAAGCTTGTGTGTTGAATGAATGTTCATGGATTTTTGGCTGTCTATTCATCATACATAGAGCAAATAATCTGATCAGTCACATCTCTCCCAGCAGATCCATACACTCTACCTCGCCCTATCACTAAACCTGAGACCTGGTCCGAACATGGCACGTGGTATGTCTCTGCGATCGTAGTACCACTTGGAGAACAAGATGGAGGCGGGTTGATGTTTGAGTGAGTTTTTCGACATGTCCTCTCAAAATATGCAACGACGAATCGGGGAATTGAAGTAATAGACGCTGACGTTCGTTCGCAGCTCATCCCCACATATTGCGTCTGATGGTAGTTTACGAGCGCGGCTAGAGGCGAGGTTGGTGAAAACTGAGGAAGGAGGGAAGGAGTGTATCATTTGTTAGTTTGATGCTCAGGTGTGGTATTGTGGTTTGGTGAATCTTGTATAGGATTGCACTCAGACATATGGGACTCTGGGATGGGCAGACATTATCTCTCACCACCTCAATCATAGGTGGTCAGGCTACCTTGGTCTTTTCATGTTTCAGCTCATCGTGTATTCCATACCACCATGAGACATTCGTGGCGATTCAGTGGATAAATGGAATTCCTGACTAGGCCTGACTTTTGGATGACAAGCGCTGATTACGATTATATGAGATGAATTGATGCATGTGGCTGCACTCTTCAGGCTGATGTAGTATGCCTTCAACTTCACAACATGCAATATCCTATTTCACACCCTGTTTGCTTATGCTTGACTCCCAAGTCTCGGCGATACATATACCCACACAATCGATGCTAGCGATTCCGATCTATCCAGCAGTGACCTAGTGGGACATTCTCTTGAGCGTGTCCTGACTGATTTGCATGTACGTAGACTGCAATCCATCCTAACATTTCGGGTATGGACGACGGCAGACCTGTTATTACCTCTTGTCGGAACTCGTCATCACCCGGTGGGATTTAGAATGACAGCCTGAGGGTGATGGATAGCAACAGGAAGAAAAGTAGAACGAGCGCCTCGTCCAGAACTCTTTCTCGCCTGATCTATACAGCGATGACGTTCCTCCCGGCCTGGCGTTTGTAATGAATCGAAGGTTTGGGCTCGTCATCTAACTCGGAGATCTCCTGTCTTGATCAGAGCGCAGGGATAGTAATCAAACAACGCATTGAAGTTGTCAGACCTTGTCAGGGACGCGCGTCAAAGAAAGCTAACCGTATGTCTCTGTTTGTGCTTCACTGAGAGAGCTAAGTCCCCAACCTTTCTGGAAAATGGTACATGACACATTTTGCTTGTATTGAGAGCAAAAAACGACCGAGAGATTTGACTAAGTGACAACACACCCAGCACCCAGGTAAGCCCATGACTCTGACTCAAATCGCAGTCGAAGATTGTCGAGAAGAGGCACATCGATATCAAGTGGTAAAGCCAAGAGAGGACATTTTGACAGTTTCTGGCTAATACTGTGATCGGATACCGCGTCACCACCAGATTTGCCTGTAACGTAAAGGTCACTGAGCGTAATGGACGTTCCGTTACTCCTGTGAGGTTCATATTCAATGGACCCCTCGAGCAGCTAGTCTCGCATGCGCGCCGGAATGAACCGTCTCAATACGACCTCTCGCACGGAATAATGCGCGAAGCATGCGGGTGAAGAGAGAATTTTTGGAGATACCCGTGATTCCGCAGGTATGGTGATGTACGACAAGACTAGTGTCTGTCGACGAGTTTAAACAGATATTAGTTGCGGACCGATGGAGACGGACCTTTTGAACTTGAGAATTTACCCGGTTTATCGTACTCAGCCATGACCACGTAAATGGTTCTGCATTTTGCAGCTTAAACGGTGAGTTTGCCTGATCTTCGGGGTCTTCATATGTAGGGATGACGACAATTGCAAATCTAAAGAGATATCAGCGGAACTGAGACAAATTTGGATGCAACACGAGGTCCGCTGAGAGAACACTTGGGTTCATCAGGAGAATAAACCGGAGTAAAGATTGAGGGAAAACATCATACGCACTCAGCATGCTGAAATACAGGGCCACGTTTATACAGCAAGTAGTCGACGCAGAACTTGATTCCGCTTTTGACAACCCAACCAAGGGAGCGATAGTGGTGGTATGCGACATATGACACGAGGAAAGGATTGTCGAACCGCGAACGCGATGGTGCGTTTGGTTGTGGGATCAATGATGGTACGTGAGCATTTTGGAATGTATTCCATATTTCAGCGAGGGTAAAGGACACATTCTGGGTAAAAACAATGAGATGAACTAGCTGGTCTCATAAAGAGAATAAGGGGACATACAGTCTCGGGATTTGAGATTGTCAAACAGTCAAGTGCCCAGACAAGGAAAAAGGCCTCTTGAAGCGAGAGTTGGAGATGCTCTAGGTCCTGTATCGGCTCATTCTCTTCCTCGTCGTCTGGTGCGACGTCTTCAGGCGATCGTTCCGAAGCCACAGATGCAGATGTTGGTTTCCAAGTCGCAGCAGAGGGTATTATCCGTGTGCCGTCCGGCGCAATACCAGGCGCGATAATGCGACCTTGTTCATTGAAAGCAGTCTCTGCTTCGGCGGCGGCGGCAGCAATCGCCTTTGCACGATCGAGTTTGAATTGCTTGCGCTCTGCACGTCGTTTTGCGGTGATCTCTTCGGATGTGAGTGCTGCGCGAGTCAAAAGTTAAGATGTCCGGAGCGGCACGAGAGAATGACCTACCCTTGCCCTTCATTTTTCTCGCATTTATTTGTCTCGCTAACCAACTGGGCTCACTCCTGGAAAGATCACCTTTCCCAAAGAATCCGCGTTGCCATAATAGAGTAGCATCGCCAGGATTTGATACCCAAGCTGAGCGGGTGAGAGGGTCGAATAGCGCGGTGCAGTGAAGATTGAGTGGTCGTGTCAGGGAGAGTCCAATGAATTTGTATGTTGGCTCGGGAAATATGATTGGCAGTGGATGAGCGTATACTCTGGAAGTTTCTGCACGCCGCGAAGAAGACTTGGAAGACGCTTTTGAACGGGAAGTTTGGTCGATGAGCGACATCACGGCGACTTGTCAAGGTTAAGGTTAATTGCGTCCCCAATTGATCTTATCAGCAGACCGGATGCGACCGAAATCCAACTTCTCTTCTCCACCCAACAGGTGCTAGCGGAGGCCTCACAGTATCCTCGATCAACAATCCCTTACTATGTTACTTCACCAGTCGGAGATCACGGAGTCCCATCCCAAACCCTTGCAAGGCCTCTTAGGGGGGATTGGCATTGCGCTGTCTGTTCATTCTCTTCTGGTGCTTAATGGATCTGTCCTTGGGGTTTCTGCTTTTGTTCACCGCTCCATTCGAGGAGATAAAGCAGCGATGGCTTCCGTTGTGGGTCTGGTTCTAGGTGGCATTGTAGCCGGTATCATCGGCAATGTGGACACCCTGGAGCCCCACACTGTGTCTCCGCTTCTTCGAATGGTGTTTTCTGGATTACTCGTCGGTATTGGGACCAGGGTATGTTTAGCATTTTTTTTCTCTTACGTCTCCATTCATTGCGTAATTGGTCTACAGTTAGCCAATGGATGCACCTCAGGGTTCGCCTCCTCGGTATTTCTGTCACGCGCATGCGTCTGATTGTTCTCAAGCCATATGATTTGTGGCTTGTCTCGATTTTCTCTTCGGTATGCTTTGGACTCGCCCTTTCGGTATTTGTGGATTCATTATATGGAAAGTTCTCTGGTGGCAACAGTCACATTCTTTGCAAGTGCCGTAGCTACAACCTACTTCGCTCATGATGCTCTTGGAACATCTGTGTCGTTTGATTGGACCCTCGATAACCAGGGACGACAGTTTTTAGGCGCAATTCTTTCCCTTGGGACCCTTTGGCTTGCTTATACGTGCTCGGCTCTCAAGAATGGCAGCACTTTAAGACTCGTAAGCAGGTAAATCTATTCTTGTGCTATTCTTGTGCAAACATCCCTCAGTCTATTCTTCGCTATCTTGCGAGTTTCTTGACACCATTGGCCTTCGCGTTCTCCCTCCGCCTCGGCAATATGGTCGATCCTCACAGAGTTCTAGCATTCTTGGCGTTACCGTTGTCCTCAGCATTCGACCCGACTCTGGCATTCGTTGCAGGAAGTGCTCTACCTCTGGCTACCCTGCTCTATCGGTATGCGCATGTAGAACAACCTAAGCTTGGTGGCAAATGGAACATCCCGACCTCCCCAAAAATCGACCTGAGGCTCATACTTGGTTCAGTCATATTTGGGATTGGCTGGGGGATAGCTGGTATTTGCCGTACGTTGACCGTGGACCTTTGCAGCAGTATTACCGACCTATATTTCAGCTGGTCCTGCTCTAGTCAACTTCGGACGTTCCCTGTATGCTGGTATCGGTTTCGCGGAGTATGCGGCTTGGCTTTTGTTCATGGGTTTCGGTGGTTTGCTTGTCAAGTGATGTGATTATCATAAAAGTCGTTGGATGCTGAAAGCTACAGTCACCAGGGATTATCAGGATTTTGTCTTAAATCACAATTTTTTTTTTCAAATTGCGTTTACTTCATGTCACTCTAGCTAGCCTAATGTCGAATGCGCTGCGTATATGCATTATTGCAATTCGATCGTCTGAAGACGAATAATGTATATCATACATACACTCCAACTACAATAGATTAAATAACAAGCTCGGTCAAAATAATCTTGCACAATGGAATGGCATAGACACGGTTCATGCCGTCTGATGGACACGTTTTTTCCTGCAAGAACAAAGGCTTACGCAGGCGCAGGAACTGCTGATGGTCCTGCGGTAGGCGTTGCTGATTTGGAAGAACCCTTACTTCTTCCCCACTTCGCTTGAACTCGTTCGTTATCCATGTCTAGGCCATTCGCCCAAGCTTCTGCTGCCCTCTCAGCAGAATGGCGGTCTTTGAAGTTGATGAATGCACATCTAGAATAAATCTTAGCGTTGAAACACCACGGAAAGGTAGACCCTGGCGTACCGTGATTTTGCGACGTGGACGACCGACCGCAACTGTGATGAAGGTATTTGAGGTAATGAATTAATGACATGAGTCCGTATGCTAAGTTCCGTTGCAGAGGCAGGAAGAGAGGAAAGAAATAGAGAAGTCTGTTGTTCAGGACCGTCACACACTGCACCAGAAAGAAGAGAAATCTCACTCACGATATTCTCGTCTTCTGGTGGCTTCAGACCTTGCGCCTCCGAATGATTGGCCAATATTTTTCGTGCAACTGGGTCATTGTTACCATGATATCTGTCCTGAATATTTTGGTGGGAAAGTGAATTTTCAGCAGGTTTTTCATGTCTGGTAAAGCAAGCCTTGTTAGGAATTGAAGCGAGAAGGGCATCGTGTGTGAGCTCACCGGAACGGGCACTCGTCTCCTCTGTTACAATCCCCTTTTACGAAGAAGGAGCAGATGTGTGGGCGGTTGCGCTTGTAATATGGGTTTGTCCGAGCTAGCTGCTTCAGCATTTCCTTCCCAGCAGATGTAGCCCGCGTCCCAACTTGCATCAGCGATTGATTTCCATCCTCCATCTAAGTATGACTTAACAAAATATACCTGGGCATATGCTAGACGTCAACGCACCTTGTTCTCCATATTCTGCGCATAATACTCCCGGTTGATGTCGCTGGTTGGTGCTTCATTCTGAATGGCGAGGGCGGTGTCTCGAACTTGGGTCGGTAGTCCGTACTCAAGGTCAAGAAGGCATGTCTGGCAGACATTTTTCACTTTGGCGCACGTCTGACATATCACCGTTGTTTTGTATCGTGCACCGGAACCCGGATTCCATCGGAAAACCGTGAATGGGCGAGCACACGTACCACACGAGCGACCAAACTCTTGTTTCGACTAATCATCAAGCTAAGCAGTCAATATTCTGTTTGGTCATAGAACTCAAGACTGACCATTCGGATGAACGGGTTAGGTCCCAGACCTGGTCAAGCGCTTTAGTTTCTGGTCTAGTCAGGTTTGATAGATAACAACGCACATGTTTCACAAAGAATGGGGAATTCACTTTGCTCCCAACCTGCCTTGTTGATATCTGCCTTGGGCATCTTATTTGATGAATGGGAGTGTTGGGATAACTTAAAGTTCTAGTATGCAACAAGTCGATGAAGTTCACGAGAGGACTAAGCATATTACGTAATCGCTATGTCAGCGATGACTTGGCCAAGACTTAGCAATGTCATTTCTGTCTACAACGCGGAACCGTAAGCCTCACTTGGAGGTAGGATTGTGATAATGCTTGCATACGAATGTCTAAATCGCGGATAACCATACAGAAGTAAGATACTGTACCTTCACGTGTAAGTGACGATGAGCGACAAGCTGAAAGGCAGAGTCGAAGCAGTGACCACAACTTCTCCACCATCAGGGACAAGTTCAGAAACTTTCTTCTCTAAGTTCGGGCGCATAGCTTCTTCTAGCTGGGGTGGTTGTTGAAAATAAATCGGCTTTTCCGGTGTTGCGAGAGAAGGTTTCTTAATCTGACTACACTAAGGTGAGCCATGGATTTCAATGACGAATGAACACATACATGGTCTGTTTCTCAGTTAACAATTCAATGAGCTGCTCAACAGTCCAATCTCGACTTATGGACATCTCCAAGGCTTCACCTCCGCAAACAGGGCAATGGTCGCGCTTTTCATGCTCAAATGTGTACGAATATACTCCTTCGGTCCCAATGAGCATGAAGTAGTTGTTCAGATAAGCCGCTGAACTTGTTGCAATCTTGAAGGCTTCATTGCAACATGAAGCTGTGAATGCTCCTATCAGACAGATCGAGTAAAGGTGGGTGCTGACATACCAGCAATGATGGCATTAGTGGATGCGATTGCAGGGATGACGTTCTTGACAACACCCTGTGTAAGTGACCAAGTCACGCCTTCAATCTTGAATTTCTTTGCACGAGCAATAGCGATTGAATACAACCATCCGATGTGCTCAGGATCATCAGTGTCGAGTTTCTCATCTACTCTCATTAGAAGAAAAATGATACACGCAACGAGACTGACCTCCACGCACGCGAGGCCATTCGAGCACAGAAGCCCATTCTATACAGTGCTCAGGGAGACGGGGGGTGTTTGCGATGGTGCAGATAGGGAATGTAGTCGGCTTGTTGAGCATATCAAGGGAACATTCATAGCATGATGATACAGTGGGAAGGATGACTCGAGCTTGCCCCTTAAAGCCTTCTCACATTTATTAAGGTCACGCAGAAGGTAAAAGAGACATACTCACCTTCAGTGCCACCGTCTATGAGTGGCTTCAAACTCTCAGGATTCTCAGGATCCACTAGGTTAACGAGAGTAGCGTTTATCCACCGACGCGCTTCCACAGAATCTAGACCACAGATGACGAGGTTAAACTGCATATAATAATCGTCGCCTTTGTCTTGTATCTTGCCGTAGTACCTGCACGTCTCGCTAATCAGAAATGGTGTGCACGGTGCACGAGAAATTGCCAACTTACGGAGTGACTTTGACTCCTGGCACCCGTTTCATCACATACTCTGCAGCAACAATAGCCTTCGGTCTTCCAACGTCCGCGGGTCTTAAGGAAATTGGTCCCTAGGTCGGCATGTATATTCCATCTCATAATGTAACATACCTAAAGAGAAATTGACGATTAAGATTGCTGATGTCGATGGTGTCCATGTCGATGAGATGGATATCCTTGAATCCAGTCAGAGCAAGATTGGCGAGTATCTCGCATCCTAAACCACCTGCGCCGATGACAAGAATCTTGCACTTGTTCCGCAAAAAGTCCTTCACCTTTAAAGCATCCTTCAAAGCTGAGTTGTCTTGAAACTTATGGGATGCGTACCTCATCCCCTGCCAGAAATGATGGATCAGTTCGAGGGCCAGGTCTGTCGAGGATCTGGTCAACATGGTAATACCGATCTTGCCAGTCGCTTGAAGTCGCTACGCCGTTCACATGCATTTCCGTAGCCATTGAGAGGAGTGAAAAGGAGTTGGACTATATGTTTGACCTGCCAGCAGCACCCAGCTTAGCTGTTGCTGCTAAATTCCAATATTACAGGGCGATTAATATTTACTTACGTAATGAAAAAGTCTCTTCCATTACATCCATGGAGTCGAGATCATTGGTGAACTTCAGTGGACACCAATATTTGCGACAACGTCTAGTGCTCTCCATTCTCACCGGAAGGCATGTTCGAATTGATAAAATTCGCTCCGAGGATAAGGATCCCGGTCTGCGAGGTGTGTTCTGTCCTTTGCAGCCTGGCGTTTCTTGACGAGTAGTGCCATCACTCAGACTACGAAGTCAGCCTCTTGCGGCTTCTGGAGAAAGTCACTAATGGGACCGTCATTGAAATCTCAGTGACGGGTACGATCTACTTTACTGTCCATTACGCTAGAGCTCACACATGTACCCTCAAGGTACCGCTGTGCTTTTCAAACCAGGAGTCGTGTCTGGCGGTCCTATTACTCATGATTGTCCACTCTCACGTTCAATAGGTTATTTTTTGGAGCCGCTGGTCATGATCGCGCCCTTCTCAAAGAAGCCGTTTCAGCTGACTATGCGAGGCATAACAACCGATGATAATGATCTCTCTGTAAGCTAAATTCTATCGGAATAAATTGTCTACTAACAGAATCAGGTTGACCTCATCCGTACCGTGACACTACCGCATCTTCAACTTTTCGGTATTTCTGATGGGTTAGAGCTTCGGGTGAGCCAGTTGTTTGATCCGTGAAATTGTGCCTTCATATGCCTGCATAGATAAAGAGACGTGGTGCTCCTCCAGAAGGTGGAGGGGAAGTACAGTTCCTCTGTCCTGTTGTTAAAGAAGTAAAAACTCTGAACTTTGTTGATCCTGGAAAGATAAAACGAATCCGGGGCATTGCGTGCGTTCATTTTGCCCTTTCATGAAAGGCATGCCACACTGAAGTATTCTCCCAGACATTCTGTACGTGTTAACCCGCAGTTCTCTAATCGCATGATCGATGCATCACGCTCGGTTCTCAATCGCTTTATTCCTGACATCTACCTGTACTCCGACGTTTATAAAGGGGATGAAAGCGGAAAGTATGTGGGCTAATTAAACATATTTCTGCTCGTTAACCCTACATGAAGGTCGCCGGGATATGCTCTAAGCTTACTTGCAGAGTCCACCACGTCTGTCATACATTGTTCTGAAGCTGCATCTACACCAGGTGAAACCCCCGAAGATATAGCTCTGTTAGCAACTAGGGCCCTTTTGTCAGAGATTAGACATGGAGGATGTGTTGATAGAAAACATCAATCTCTAGTTTTGTTGATGATGATTCTAGGTAGTGAAGATATCGGCCAATGTAGGATGGGAGAGCCCTCCGTTAGAACGTACGCGATGATCAACTCTTCTGCTTCTATCGCTCACCTCATGACAGCATTCAATTTCTCCGTGATGTCAAGATCTTCTTCGGCACCGTCTTCAACATCACACCCGTAGATCCCACGGATTCCTCCAACACCGAGTTGCTTTACTCGTGTCTTGGGACTGGCTACGTGAATGTGAACCGTTCACTGGCGTAGCAAGCTGTCCAGCAAAAGTATATGTCTTCATGCTATGAGCCTCGATTGATGTATATATACAATGATCCTTGATTGGCTAGGGTATCATTTTCAGAGCTTTCATTCTCTCGGCTACAGTGAATGCCACGGCAGACTTTTCGACCCCCGCTGTCCCATGCAACCAAATGATTTGACTCTTTTCTTGCTTGTCCAACAATCCGCTGATTAATTTGAACACATCAAGATTCGCCGCATTTGTATTGCAGACGCATATCAACGATAAATAATGGACACTCTCCCGAAATCTCCATCTCCATCGCCTTTGCCACCTCCGATAGCCACTAGCCATTGTTGTAATTGAGGCCATCCAACCTCGAAGCGCGTACAAAGATCGTCTGTATGATGATCTCCATCGAGAAGTGGCAACAATTCAGGGGGTGGAGGAATATTCATTAGACCCGAAGAGCCTTGTGAATTTAGGGCGCGAGTGCGAGAAGCAGAAGGGGACCGCGATAGTCGTGATCTTACAGGAAAGGCGTTCTGCATTTCCGATGAACTGCGGTGCGCAATGCTTTGACTTCCAGCAATACTAGACGGTGGTAGCACATGACTTGTGGGCTGTTGATAGGTTGAATGTCTTCGGGTGTCGGACAGGACACGGCTACGACGCTCGTGACTGCGCTCAGGACCCTCTGGGGAAAGAGGAGGTTGTCGCATGATAGGGTTGGGTCCAGCCCGCGGGAGTGTTTTGAAACGTAGCTGCTCGAGAACCTTCTCTGCTGCGCTCGTCCGTTGTTGGGTTCGTGTGACCTCCATTTGGTGTATGGGAGAACCAAGTATAGGTGCAACACCAGACGTATCGGTACGGCCACTAAATCGAGGGGTATCCCCAATTGGAGCCGAGGAACTTGTAGGGCTTGCGTTCGACGCGGAAGAAGAGAGGCTTTGCCTTCTTCTGCGAGTTGGTGATGGTGCATCCGCAGGAAGTAAGATTGGCCAACGATGCACTCGTCGTAGAAATCCCTGAAATGACTTTGAATTCAAAAACACAAAAGGATTGCTGGAAAAATACCTTGATCACCCCGAAACTTGTGAAACGTCGAACGTCGATGCCAAGTTCATGAACATTATAGGTCTCCATCCAATCCAGAACCGTTTTTCCTGACTTTAACCGTGAATATAAGTGCGAAAGTTTCGGCCAATCTGGTACCGCTCTTCCTGTTCCACAGGTGAGTTAGGCATTTCGACGGAAGAGATGTACGGACCGGGTGCGTGCTTCGTGACATATAGTCCGCATTCGTCCTTAACATGGCACTCATCTGCAAGCCACTGCACGTTCTTACGAAGAGTGTACATATTGGAGTATTGGAAGATGTCGATAGTCATGATGACTTGATAGTAACTGCGAGACCTGATGAGGATATGATTGAAGTCAGAGTGAAATATCTTACAGTAAGTGAGATATTGCTTGGCGGGTAAGTTCAATATCACAGTCGGCTAGGTGTGCAATGCGACTGACGTGATTCACACCATCAATATGTCTGCACACCTTGATACATAGCTGTCAGGACAGTCGGTCTGTACACAAATTCAGCATACCTTGTTCATCGTTAGATCCCAATTATCTTCTATGCGCTTGGATAGGTTGATAAGAGACACAGGCACCTGCCAATCTTTTACTGGGGGTGGATTAGGATAAAAGGGGAAGATCTTCAGCTCTATTGAGTTGAAGGCATCAATTGGAATTGATGTTTCAGAATAAGAGTTCAGATCCTCGTATAACTGCTCGAGGATGGCATGCATGGCTGGCGATGATTTTGGACAGGAGAGAAAAAATGATTCTTCCTATACAATCTCATAAACACAGGGTTTTGTCGCGTACTAGGGTAAAGAGCTGACCTCGCAGGCCGTTAGGACACGGCTGACCTTGCGAACTATTGGTTCATAGCAACTTAAATCCGCAGACCGCTCGAAGACAAAGCAGACGTTGTACTGGAAGTAGTTCCGCTGGTAATTGCCAGGAAGCAGAACAGGAAAGCCGATGACACGATATTTCCGGGTAGCACAGATAACCAGCCGCCCACAAAGCTCTCCAGGAGGTATCACATACTTTGAGATGTCATCGAAATTGAACAGAACGCGACTGGAGGAAGAAGAGCGCTGATGAAGCGACGGGACGTTGAGAGAACTCGTACGTCGACCACCATGAGAATTGACAGAAGGACTTGACCTTCGCGAAGGCGTTACGTCCGGTTCCAAGGTTGCAGCTATTGACGGCGAAGGGGAAGAGGTGACCGAATGGTTGGTGATTTGATTTGCTGTCGATCCTGTGATGAGACCTTCTGGAACCTGATACACAATTTTTGGTCCCTTTTGTAAATCGAATACAGCATAGAACACGCTTTGTATTCGGGGAAGAAACGTATCTCCTTCTGAAGGCATATGGTAGGTTGGTCACCGTTGGTGATCTTGAAGCGAATACATGCATGGTAAGTGGCTGTGAATGCACCAACTTGGTGACTTGACCGTGACCCACTACTACGAACGGGGTTCAGAAACGAAACTACAATTTTTACTAGTCACACTCGCGTCCGTCTTGAGATCTGTCTCAGTCGTGCTCTGACGCTTGACTTCCAGGACAAAGACACATTTTAACGACTTGGATCATGGCTTTCCAAATCCCTCCTGGGTTTCGTGCCTTGCCGCTGTCAGACGTACAGCTCTCCTTAGCAGTTGTTTTGAAATGTGGCCAGTCATTTCGCTGGTCTTGTTACCCCCTACTTTCGTCTCTTGGCACAGAATCATCTCCTACCCACGAGTACCGTCTGTGCCTGAGGGACCGCGTAGTATGCTTAAGACAGTCTTCTGACTATCTTTACTATCGCTCTGTTTTTCCAGAACATCTTTCTCCAGATCAGGAGTCAGTTAGTGATGAAGAAACATTGATTTGGCTCAAGGACTATTTTCAGCTCCACGTCGACTTGGTGAAGCTTTACGACCAGTGGAGTGACCGAGATCACGTCTTCAATAAGCTTAAATCTCGTTTTTCTGGGATCCGGATATTGAGACAAGATCCTTGGGAGAACCTGGTATCGTGCGTAGCCTACTTCTGAACTAGCTCGGAGGCTTGACGGGTTTTTGTCATGCCAGTTTCATTTGCTCTTCTAACAATAACATTCCCCGAATTACCAAGATGGTGCACGCTCTTTGCAAACAATATTCTCCTTCCCTGATTTCCTTACCACCTCCTGAGCTCAGTGAAAGTGACTCTCAAGGTCCTACAGTGTATCACCCATTTCCCCCGCCCTCTCTCCTTGCTGCCGCCGAAGTCAAGTCCACTCTTCGGGGTTTGGGATTTGGCTACCGTGCTGATTATATTCAGCGCACTGCGAAAATGCTTGTGGATGCTCACGGTCCCTCGATATCCAACTCGGAGTCACGAGAGCAATGTGAGGAATGGCTGACTGGACTGAGAGACATGAGCACCGAAGCTGCTCGTGAAGAACTTCTGAAGTTCGTCGGCGTAGGACGCAAGGTAGCAGACTGCGTTCTTCTCATGAGCCTGGACAAAGTCAGTTGAGCCCAGTTACGCTTGCATCTGATAATGAATCTATGTCATTCTAGAAAGAAGTAATTCCAGTGGACACTCACGTTCACCAGATTGCTATCAAGCATTACGGGCTACGTACCATAGGCGGCTCCAAAGGAAAAGGTGTCATGACCCCTCGAATCTATGATGAAGTAGCCACCAAGCTTGCTAACATTTGGGGCGAATATGCCGGTTGGGCCCATACTGCACGTATCTATCTGAAGTTACCTTCTTTTTCAAGTTGTTCATTTTCTTTTCTTTAGGTGCTTTTCACCGCGGATTTGAAAGCCTTCTCTTCATTCGGCCTTGAACCTCCGACGCCTGCCACATCTAACATGAATGTGGGTGCTTCAGCATTGGTATCGTCGTCATCCAAACGAAAACATAGCGAGACTCAGAACGAGGTTGAGATGCAGAGAAAAGTCATATTGATGGGTGCTGCTGTAGCTGCTGCTGCTGCTACTGTTGTTGCTGTGGTGCACGATGACCCGAGTTTGCTCGAGGATGACTCGGATGATCCAAGTTCGGTTGAGGACACAAATACACCCACTAGCAGGCGAGTGAAGAGAAGGACAGGTTCTCATCGATAGATTTTACTCTTTCTAAATCCAAGATGTGCCTATTCACTTCTGATTCTTATCAAGTATGGTATAATAGGCACGCATGACATATGTATCCGGAAATCGATGTATACATGCAAACGATAATTAAGGATGAGATGTTGGAGAGGTCTGACACCCACTACACCATACAAATAAGATGCGTGCGTTCATAATCCTATCCGGAGTACTCTTCGCATTACCGAATCGCCGTCGTTCTTCCTGAATGATGGGAGAACGGGCACTGTCTAAAAAGTTGCGGTGAACATCAACAAGGCAATTTTCAAAGAATTTATACCATCGTTTGTTTGTACTTGTGTACTCGAGGCACCTTACATACTGCTACAACTTGGCTACAACGGAGTCTATCACTGGATAATCGATCTGACATTCAACTACTAATGGTCCGTTCCAGAATCTGAGCCCAAGTTTTGAGTGTCTTGTATCAGGAAAAAATCACGGTCATGAGAGTTAGGTCACAGTGAAAGTTGCTGCCAGCCAACTGCGCAATGAGGCCAGGCCGTCGGCGGCCACTCCCTCTTTTTCATCAACCGTGAGCTCTCCAACGTTTACCCATGTTCCTGCAAAATCAACTTCTCCTCCTTCCCAATCGGCAAACTTGAAAATCCCGCCAGGGCCACTACAATCCAAACCTCCCATATCAGAACGTTCGCCTTCAGCGCCCAAGCCTTCGACACCCATGCCGCTGGACTGAGCCTCTCGTCGCTTCTCCAGCTCACGTTCAAGGATAGTTCGAACGCGTGAGATGGCAACCTCGGTGAGAGAGCCTGAAGACGTAGCTGTTTTCATGAGGTCGCATTTATTGGCGAGGATGAGGAGTGCGGGTGCTAAATGTGAAGGAGGAAGCGACGTTATAGCATGAAGGACATGATGGAGGTGTCTAAACGTTGCACTTCGTCAGAACCGATGTGGCCACAAAGAGTCAAATATACGCACTCCGCTACTGTAGACCCATTGCGTGATATGGTACTTGCATCCACTACGAAAGCAACTGCTCTGGCATTCACTAAGTGCTCCTGGAATTGATCTCTAATTCGAGGATGCCCAGGGATGTCGATAACCGGCAGGATGCCCACTGGTGAGAGAGGCATGATAGAAGTATTGACTTGCAGTGACGTGTGCGATGACAGTGTTCCAGTAAATGCGAGCTAGATAAAATTGATTCCGAGATGAATAACCGATGTAACTTCATTGACAGATCACAAACAGTAGATAGTATTGCTGTTTTGCCAGCATCTGAAGGACCGACAAGAAGAAGTGCAGTGCCTCTGGACCTTGATTTTCTCCGAGAAAATGTGATAACTTCAGAGCGTAAGAATTTCTTCCAGAATAAAGTCTTCCAAAACGTACCAATCAGTAAGCCCACAACTAGAGCCAAAGAAAGCAGCAATAAGCTCTGAGGTGAAAGACCGTTGGTGAATGGAACCACCTCGGGTGCTACTGAAACAGTCTCGTCGCTCTGTAATTCAACTCCCATGTTATATTAAACGTCCTAGAAGATGGATGAGTGGACAGAATTATATTCCCAAGGACTACTGTTGTAGTGTGATAGAATGTTACGGACGTGTACTCAAGTTCTTGTTTGGTGTTGTTGAAATCAGAAGATACACAGCCACTGTTTAAGAAACCTTGCTAAGTTCCCGTAAGGTTATCGTAGGCGACATCAAAGTTGCATTCGAAGATCAAGTGATAGTAGTATCGACTTAGCCACAGCGCCTAGCGTTCAACGCTATCAACACTGCTCCCAACTCCAACGCATTTATTTTTCCACTAAATGTTTTGAGAAGAAAGTTACGTTGAGCCTTCTCAGGCCATGTAAAGAAGTCTTCCAGATGGCTCTCATCATGAATCCCAGCAGAAAGGAAATCTGGAACAAGTTTTACCAGACTGGGTGTCATGGAGTCAAGAAAACGAAAGACTGCATGAGAGCTTTGAACGGGTACTACGTTGCGTGAGTGTGCTGAGGCGGAAGAAGATCGGCTCCCGTCATACTGGGGAGCGATGACATGAGAGCAATGCGTTGCAATCGACGCCGTAATTTCTGGACCAGATGAAGGAACAGGCTGATCACAGGCAATAGCCCTCCTTCGTGTTCTCTTGGTCACATGGGCCTGCGAAGCACTGGTATCGAGTTGACGGATGGACGATCGATTTGTGTTCTGCGGGATGTTTTGAGAATCTAACCATCTGATGATGCAAAGTACAGAACATACTTTTCTGAGCTGTTGTAGTACCTGACGGCCAGCCTTCTCACGAGCAATTTTATCAGACCAGCGTTTCCGATATACTCGTTTCAACAGATATATCTTTAGGTACCAGACCAGAACCCATGAATTGGGATATTTCGCCGCAACTTCTGGCCATGTAGCGTGAACCTGAGACAAAGGATGGAGTAATGAAGCAATGCAACAGAAGGATCAATTAAAGCTCACCGCTTGGTAGAACAAACGAACCATTTCGGGGTCCTGGTGCTCATATCTGTCTTGTGTATTGAGAAACCTGGCGGCTGCATTAATGACGAGAGCCTTTTTCTCAAAATTAGTCAACCAGATACCCAGAAATTTAAATCACATACACGCAGTCTCCCCCACTGGCATGGATCCATCTTGGATGCTATTTTGACATCCCGAACACCCTTACATTGTCTCGCGGGTTGAGAGATAAAGAAAAGTTCTGAGCGCATGCCTGGGTCTGGTGATGAAATGATAACACAAAGGGCTACGAAGGGAGATGTTTTATACACTCCCTTTATTCCACCTTTGGATGCGACACGCGCACGAGCGTCGCGGGAAATGCCCAGCGAATAAATATAACAGTACACTACAAAGATACACGAGTCCGACATGCATAAAAAGATGGATTGATAACTTGGCACCAGGTCTCAACAAAATCGATCACTGTGGTAAAATCAGATGAGAGATGGATTCAGAGTGGATTAGAACATGCCTCTTTAACTTCGCTCGTCGGTCGAGCAATGCTTCTGCCAAGCGACCTTCCTTGCGTGCCCGCTTGAGCTGAGGCATTATTCATAATGTTACTGATAATAAAATAAAATATGAATGTCAACTCACCTCTCTCTTATCCTCTTTCGACACCACTGACCGTCCAGCTCCCCAGGCTTGGTGCATATGGCTTTAGGACCTTTCAGATCACAATTCAAAGTTCATCTTAAGAGAAACGTACTTAGTGGAAGCTTCGTCTATGACTGTCAACTCTGAGCCAGCTTCCCTCTTCTTTTTCTCTTCATGGGCCTCCTTCTTATACTTGTTCTGGATCTTTAACCAAAACCGCTCATGAAACCCGACTTCTTCGCTGTCACCTCGCAGCTGGAGTGAACCTCCCGCGACCTCGTCGATACTAAGATAACTTTCATACACGTTCATGAAAGCTACCATGCCATCGGGTAAAAGAACAGGTGTCCACTCCTCCTCGGGCCCTCGCGCTTCCCTGAAAGCACTGACGATACCGTGCTTGTCACAAGACAGGAACTTGCCTTCGCCGGTGCCCGTCCGAAGGTTGATAGTGGCAGATCCCGCGACGCGCGTTGTAACCCAGACCTGAGCTACTTCTGTAGGTATGCGATCGAGTAATGGTGGGGCATCAGATGTCGAGTCCTTGTCCAAAGGTGACAATATAATCTTGTTTCTTGTAGAATCAAAATTCACTGATATGGGCGAAGGATCCGAAGGGTGTATGATGAAAGTAGGCCCGCGAATTTCTGTTGCATTCTCCGGTAGAACCCAGGTTTCCGGGTCCTCATCTTCGCCTACACGTTTGCTGGCTGAGCCTTCATCGTAGTGTTCTCTCTTGCGCTTCTTCTTTATTTTGTCCCCTTTAAATTTCAGTTGCGAGGACCGAATTTTCTCCATCGACTACACGCGGCGAAATGTGTGCAGGTAAAGAACCTAGATCGTGCCGTGATATATCCGGCAAAAGCCGACGTTCAAACTTTGAACCAAACAATTCGTTCCATACACCCAAATTGAACTGCCCGACACCGTTATCGACGTCCTCCTCAAGATCAAGATGAAGTACAACCCTGGTCAGTGCTATCTTTGTACTCGCTGGTATCCATTCTGTCTGTCTATCACTTCGGAGTCACATTTCATGACCAGGAAAAGTTGGATGGAGACTCTGAAACTTGGATGAGATCTGTTTGGCGAATAAATTACTGACGAAGGAGCCTACACAACAGACGTCTCCTCTTCGCGGCGCAAGAACCGCAAGGCCCATTTCAGTGCACCCTCCTCAGTCCGTCGCAAGATTATGTCGTCATCCCTATCCAAAGAACTTCGGGCGAAATACAACGTACGTGGGATCTGTTGAGAAACGAGGCGCGGGGTGTTTATACTACTCACTAGACACGGTCACTACCGATCCGCAAGGATGACGAAGTACGGATTTTGCGGGGGAAATACAAGGGTCGGGAAGGAAAGGTCACACAGGTGTACCGCAAGAAATGGGTTATTCATGTTGACCGTGTGCAACGCGACAAATCCAACGGTGCTACTTCTCCCATCGGTATCCACCCCAGCAAAGTTGTGATCACCACCATTAAGCTTGACAAGGATCGGTGGGAAATCTACGTTTTCTCCATGTCCATCGTTCTAACGCTCTTTCACCAGTCGGGCAATTCTTGACCGCAAAGACAGATCAAAGATTGCACAACCCGCCGCCACCGAGGATGTTGAGATCGTGGACGTAAGTGATCACCATTAGATTTAACAAGTGACCATAAAAACTGATTTGTCCCATTTTCCAGTAATTTCCTGTTAGGCGTATTGATTGTCCTCAGCTTCCCTTGTTGCATTCACAAAACCACCATGTATCTATGCGCACTATCGCACATGATATGCACCATGACCCTCATGCTATATTCTGAGACAGCTGCCTTGGGCCATAATGTACAGATTGATCCGAGTTACCTTTGCAGCTGGCATAGAACAAAAGTAGTACAATGCGCTACTGACTATCGATCAGAAAATGACATCCTCGTCCTTCGTACTCAGCAAGTCCACTGTTGGTTCTTGTTCGTCCAGCTGTTTCAACGATTCCTCCTTGTCAGTTATAGCTTGCTTTTCCTGTTCTGCCTTCCCAGCGTCTCTCTTCTTCTTGCCTTGGACTTTCTTGAGTCTACAAGCATCATTGGCATCTAAGCTTGACCAGAAGACTCAATACGCTCACCTAAAGAACTCCTCGCGATCCATTTCGTCTAGCTCACTCATGATATATTTGATGGTGTTGTCCAACCGTGGAATGATTACATGTTCAATGGCATTCACTCGCCGGTTTGTAGCACGAATAACTTCATCCAAGATGGTAAACGCCGTTTGTAGCGACGCAAGTTCCACCAGCGTTTCGAGAGCTTTAGCGTACACTTCCTTCGCTCGTAGAACCTGTTGACCTCCCCGACCAAGACCTGTCAGATTGAAGTCTGATACGGACATTAGAATAAAATTGCATAGAAGTTCCAAAGCAACTACCAGATCCAGGTACGCGATCGACATCAAATCCTGGGAGGAGGACACCAGAAACGTTCTCTTGCTTCGCTTTGACACGGAAAGTGGCAAGTTTCGCTTGCTCCTGCACGATATAGGAAATATCTCCTGTAGTATACGTGACCTCTGCCATCGAGAACGACGCCAACTGCATCACTCTACCCATCTTGCGCTTCGCCTAACATTTAATCATCAGCAACTTGAACAAGTAAGCATGAAGTAGCGTAACACACCTCATCCACCTTTCTCAGTATTGCGCGAAATCGCGTGGTCAGGGCATCACGCTTTTTTGCCAACAACGAATGCCCGGTTTCAGCTCCCTTTAAACGGAGTTTTGTGTTTGTCAAGGCCATACGCGTGGCGAAGACATTCTCCCTAGGGCCTGCTCCAGACATTGTTGTGGGGATACTGAAGGTAAGTTAGAAGGACAACGCGCAGTACGTCCTTTTTAGGTCGATTAATACGCCATAAACCGCGAGGAGTCCACAAGCCGGGATAGCTCAGCTGGGAGAGCAACAGACTGAAGTTCTGGAGGTCCCGTGTTCAATCCACGGTCCTGGCATTATTTTTGCGCCCCATTTCTCAGTAAGGAGACAATCTCCAGTGATTTTATTTATTTCTGGCGTTTTCAATTCATAACGAATTTACACATTACAGTAATTTAGCACTGTCGCAACCGCGGTCATATCTTTACGAAGCGTACGTCTATGAACGAAGGTGCGAGGTGTGCTATTTTGCCGAGTTCATTGATATACTGAAGACAGCCAACGATGTCTATTAGAATGTCAGAACGTCTCATTATCTTGCTTGTACATAGTCATCAATCTTCAAGAGTAAGCACACAGTTTCTGTCGAGAGCTCAATCGCGCTTGTGGAGACGAGAAGAGGTTGAACAACATCCTCCTCAAGAATATTCGATATCAGGCCCTAAGGTGTATATCGTCAAATAATCGAAGTGACTGCAAGGCTGAAACCACTTACTGTGCGAACGTTGATACCAGCATTCCGGTCACCTAGAGCATGTCGGTTGCGTAATTCCGTGACAATGGCAATCGGGTGAAGTCCAGCATTCTCCGCAAGCGTCGTCGGTATAACTTCCAACGCATCTGCGTATGCCTGAAAGCAGTAGGCTTCCATGCCCTTGAGTGACTGTGCATATTGAGACAACAGCCGGGAGACGTGGATTTCAGGTGCACCACCACCGCCGATAAGCGCCCTATTTATCAGATCAGAACCTTGACCGATAGAAATGGGACAGTTGAATCTCACCGTTTCTTTACGAGACACCGGACAACACAAAGGGCATCGTGTAGACTGCGTTCACATTCCTCCACGACAAGGTTGTTGCCACCTGTAGCCAGAATACTGACTGTACGCCCACGGTTCTTGACGCCAGTGATCTTGACGACCTTGATACCAGCATTTGAAGTCTCTTCGACTAGATCTGCGTAGCCAAGCTTGTCTTCTGTAAAGGCTTCGATGTCGGCAATAGGTTTGCAACCGAGACTTTTGGAAAGAAATTCGATCTCGTCGCGCTCAACATCCTTGACTGCAAGGAATGTTAAGACGCTTAAGGAAGCTGAGGGACGTATCGTCGACTGCGTCACGGAGGATGGACTTTTGGATCAGCAAAACATTGCAATTTGCCTTCTTGATCTTTTTGCAGATGTTAAGCAGGTACTGACGACCCTCTTTGATAACCTTGTCCATTTGCCGGTAATCATTGATCACGACAGTGTTATCCATCTAATGAGATGCTATGAGAACTGAGACGAAAGCAGTGAAAGGCACATACGTCAGGTTTGGGAGCACTGAGCTGGAACTGGATAATGGCAATCTTGGCCTTTTCCATGCGAGTAGGACCGCCAGCTGAGACAATAACATTTTGGTTGAGGACAACACCATCTACAAGTTCAGTGTCTTCGATGGTGCCGCCGACTTTCTTCACAACCCTAATGTCACGAAGGTCCACAGTGGACGATTGAGGCGTAACCAGACGCGTGACAGCAGCCACTGCGATTGGGGCAAGTGTCGATGAGTATTGAGAGACGATCTGAAGGGTGCGTGAGCAAAGCGCGACCTTGATAAGTTCAAAAATCCTCGGCACCTTTGAGTTCAGGGACGTGCTTGCTGCTCGGAGCAGACTGGTCTTATCGCTGAGATCGATTGGTGTCGATATCTCAGTGAGATACTCGACTGCTTTGACCGATGCTTTCAAAAACGATTCTGCAATGATGGTTGGATGTATGCCTTTCTGTAGCATCTTTTCCGCAGCCCCGAGAAGACTACCTGCTAGAACAACGACTGATGTTGTTCCGTCACCTGCTTCCACATCTTGAGCAGCTGAGAGGTCGACCAGCTGAAATGACGTAAGTAGATGATCAGCAAGCATCACGACTCAACGCGCACCATCTTGGCGGCAGGATGTAGAGCTTGAATACTCCGTAGAATTGTTGCTCCGTCGTTAGTGATGATAACCTCGCCCTTCGAGGTTTGAATCTGCCCAAATGGATCGCGATATGACATCCCTTCACCATCAACGAAGAAACGTCAAGCCATACCATTTTGTCCATCCCCCTCGGACCGAGAGATGTTCGAACAGCATCGCTGATCGCTATGAGAAAGTCAACAATGTGAAACTATCGCAACTTAAACTCTCCACTTACCTTTGGCAGCGACCAAGTTTGACATCCGAAGCTCCATTGGCTTGACCTATGGACACGTTCATTCCATCGTATCATCGTGAGCATGAATGATTAGTACCTTGTCATTGAACGCAGCATTTGAGCCCGTACGAGCTGCTTGAGATGCTGGTGCAATCTTTGATGCCATTTTGATTTCGTTGGAGGCTCAGTAGATTTTAAGCAGCAGATGATGCGCGTACTAGATAAAACCAGAGTAACTAAATTAGCGGTCACGGGGTTTGCCGCTGGGTATGCGTACGCTCGACTCGTCGACCAAACAATGACTCTAGTTACTCTCTCACTTCACGATCTCGTTTTCAGATGAACTTTGTGGGTGCATCTAACAACAGAAATGCTAAAGCAACTGATCATTTCTTATAGTTTGACGATCAGGATGGTATGGCAGGTGGCCCAGGGGGTCTTTTTGCTCAGTTCGCCCAGTACGTTACCTTTCTTTGGCTTCCTGGGTCAGGAAACCTGACCAGCATCTATATCTCGCCAGAGGATTTGGAGTTCCTATGGTCTCTCGAGCCAACAGGCCAAACCCTCGTTCGTATAACGTGTACTTGAAGGCCTACAGTGTAGCGATGCTTCCTGGCCGGGAGCGAGAGAATCTCTCCTATGGAGGAAAGAGTTCGTAATCGGATCTCATCGTACATTGAACTCGTGTAGTAACGATTTTATTGCAGTTATCATGCCTCCGTCAGCTCTCGCACACTTGACTCACCTCGATCTCGAGGGTCCTTGGATGTTTCAGCTCACAAATGCGACCAATCCGGCCGCATCCACACATGCAGGTGTACTTGAATTTATCGCTGAAGAGGGAATCGTCCATCTCCCTTACTGGATGATGAAGACTTTGCGTCTCAATGAAGGCGACCCAATTCGCATAACTGGTGCTGAACTTCCCAAGGGCAAGTTCGTCAAGCTACAGGCACAATCTACGCATTTCCTTGAAATATCAGATCCAAAAGCCGTGTATGTCCACGTATTTTGGTATCACTGGCTCAGCTAACATACATCAGGCTCGAACAAGCTCTACGAAATTTCACTGCGCTCACTCAAGGTGATATAATTGAAATATATTACAACTCAATAATCTTCGGTTTTCTTGTGATGGAGGCGACTCCTGGTGGAGGTGGCATAAACGTGTTAGACACTGACCTAGAGGTCGATTTTGCTCCCCCGGTTGGTTACGTAGAGCCTGAGCGTCCGAAACCTGCCCCGCCTTCCACTATGGCATCCAAATTGAAGATCGACCTCAATTCATCAAGTCCCGGTTCCTCGCGACCGTCTTCATCTTTAGGTGGTGGCTTTGTTGCTCCTGGTGGAACGGCTGTAAGCAAAGGTGGAGATCATTGGGAGAGTTTCAAGGGCAAGGGAGAAACTCTCGCTGGTCGAAGGACGAAAGGCAAGGGTATCAGTCATCGGGGAGTCGAAGCAGTAGGGGGAGATAGCAAGATCATCAGGACTGAGTGGGTTTCAAGCAATCTGGTTATGTCTGGGCATGCTAACGATCTCAACAGCCAACAGAAGATTATCAACAGCTCTGTTGAAGCAGAGGTCAAGGTTCCCGCTGCACTCAATCTTCCATTCGGGAAAC